GTCTGAACCTCGATGGATGCTTTTGGCAGTAATCAATTATTCCGAGTATTAGGGTCTCGGCCTGGCTCAGTCGATAGCACTCTCGTTCGTCTCTGGGTCGAGAGTGGGTATTGGGCTTAAGCCCCACGTTGGGGACTTTGAGCTCACATGCCTAAAACCGTCTTCACTTTGTCTCCACAAATGGCTTCTCCTCCACCCCCCGCACTGTCTCATGTGGTGTCCCTCAGGGCTCTGTCTTCGGTCCCCTCCTCTTCACCCTCTATATGCTCCCCCTGTGGTGATATCATCCGCAGACATGGGGTTAACTTCCACATGTATGCGGATGACACCCAACTCTACCTTTCCTCCTCTACTCTCAACTCCACGACCACCGATGTCCTGACAGCTGCCTGTCCGACATCGAGTCCTGGACGAGAGACAACTTTCTTCAGCTCAACGTGCGAAAAACCGAGGCCCTCCTGATTGGCTCACGTCAGCGCCTCCGCACCTCAGGCGCCGACACCATCAGCATCCAAGGCTGCACTCTCCACCTCTCAAAGCCATCAGGAACCTCGGGGTTCTGTTCGACCCTGAGCTGTCCTTTCTCCCTCATATCCGCACCACAACTGGCACCGCCTTCCATCACCTCCGGAACGTCGCCAGACTACGGCACTACCTCACCCCTCACGCTGCTGAAACCCTGGTCCACGCCTTTGTCACCTCAAGGCTGGACTATGGGAACTCTCTCCTCGTCGGCCTTCCCGGCACCTCCCTCCACAAGCTGCAGGTCATTCAGAACTCTGCAGCTCGTGTACTGTCCCGCACCAGGCTTCGGGACCACATCACTCCCACCCTCGCTCGCCTCCACTGGCTCCCCATCCCCCAGAGGATTGATTTCAAGATCCTCATCCTCACCTATAAGGCCATCCACGGCCTCGCTCCCTCCTACCTCTCTGACCTACTATCCCCTTACCTACCTGCCCGTATCCTCCGTTCCTCCGGCTCCGGTCTGCTCCACATCCCCCGCCCCAATCGCCCTACCATCGGTGGTCGGGCCTTCAGCCTCTCAGCCCCCAGGCTCTGGAACTCTATCCCCCAGTGCCTTCGCCGCTTCCTCCCTCTCCTCCTTCAAGGCCGGTCTCAAAACCTTTCTCTTTGACCGAGCCTTCAGCTCCCCTCTCGACTCTCTTCCCCCCCCCCTCCCTTCCCTCACCCTGACCATTTCCCCCTCCTCGCTCCCCTCCCTTCCCTCCCCTCACCCTGACCATTTCTCCCCTCCTCGCTCCCTCCCTCCCTTCCCTCCCTCACCCTGACCATTTCCCCCACTGCTCGGGTCCTGACCCAACTGTGCAGCGCCTTGGGACGTCCTCCTGACGTGAAAGGCGCTTTATAAATGGAATCTTGTTGTTGTTGTTGTTGTTGTTGTGTAAAACGCCTCAAAAACGCTTTGCTGGCAAGTGAAGTGACTGTCCATTTAACAAATATCTTGCATTTGTTATAGCACCTTATCACGTCTTCAAGACGTCTCAAAGCGCTTCACAGAATTTGCATATTCTAAATGAGGAACATAAAAAAATACCGTAGGTCAATACACAGCAACCAGTTGCTCACACAAACAGCCATGGAGTGAGTAACCAATTTTATTTGGGGGATTGTCAGCCGGGACACCAGTAGAGAGAAACCCCCTTCTCATTTTGAACAGCGCCGCGGAATGTTTAACATCCACCCGAACAGGCAGGTGGGAACCTCGGTTTATTTTAATGTCTCATCTGAAAGACGGCACCTCGAAAATACGACGTACCCCCTCAGCTCTGCATTGGAGCGTAGGCTTAGAATACGTGCGCTCAAGTCTACGTGCGGTGTGATTGCACTGAGTGCACTGGGATGCAAGCATTCAAAGCCAACAACCTTCTGACTCAGTGTGACCACTCCACCAGGCTGACACACGCAATGCGGGCTCGCGTTTTGGTGGACTGTGTAACCGCAGCCGTGGTGTAGTCGCAGACCTGGAGCGCGCTTTTGAGTTAACGCAATCCAAAAACGCGAGCAAACATCACTCCAAAATATCAGGCTCTGTTTAATTCCCAGTAATTTTTCCCCTTCCACCGGCCTCTGCTTGCAGGCGAACTTTCTCATTTGGGATCACTTTGCCCCGCTTTCCCCCTTCCATTGCCCCCCCCCCCTTTCACTGGGAGGAGCCCTCCAATGCTACTGGCTCTGGCCTCCTGCTTGTCCCTCGTGCCCTAGGTTCTCTCAGTCCCTCCGCCTTGCCCCCTCCTTCACCGTCTTCAGATCGCACCTGAAGACATCCCTACACGGCCATGCCTGCGGATACATCACCCCCCCCCCACCACCCCGCCCCCACCACCCCCTTTGCTCTGGGACGATACCCTGCATGAGTGACGGAGCTGTGTAAATGCAAGTTGTTGTTGTTGTTGTTGTTGCTGAGTGCAGCGAAATGAGCGCGCAACCCCTTTCTGGTACCACACTGCCTCCTACTGGCTGAAACAATGCGGGGCGAGCAGAATCCTGCGGTCGTCATGAAATTCAACGTCCTGCAGGGTTTTCCGAAATCCTTCCGCTCACTCAGTCCGCAGTTCTGTTCGTCAAAAGACCTGCAGAAGAAGCGGCCTCGACATTTTCGAGGCAGAGATTCGGGAGCCTTACATTTCGCCCGCAAAATACTCGGTCAATCCATTTTACAGTCTATTCTGTGAAGCGCTTTGAGACGTCGAGAAGACATGATAAGACCCGTCATCAAATGCAAGGATTATTATTATTATTATTATTTACAAAATGTTTAAGCCGCATTATTTTAACCGCAATAAGCAATGGTCTTGGGGCTTAAGACCATGGGAAATTTCACAGGGCACTTGCTGTGTTCACACTCACGCGTACACATACAATACTATATGATTTACATTTATTTACACATCGTAGCATAGTGGTTAGCACGCTCACCTCACAAGCGAGAGGACTCGGGTTCGATTCCCCGGACGGGGCGAAACCTTAGGCGCATTTCCTTACTCCACAGGCCTCTGTTTATTAATGCCTTTGAAAAAAAGTGTGTTCGCTCAATTCACGACTATTTGTGGGACACCGCTGTGCGCAAATGGCCTTCATGTTTCGCCCACTAACAACCGGTTCGTACTGACAGCTAGTTTTTTTTATATAGCGTCTTTCACAACGGAAGATGTATCATCGCATGCGAGAGCAGTGCTTAATCAAGCCTGGATGTGATTGAAAGTGTGAACTCACACGCACACACACACGTACACACACACACACATACATACACGTACACATACACACACACAAGCACAACAGCATTAGACAAGAGCATTAGACTGACCCGGAGAAAACTTGGAACCTTTGTTTTGGTCTGTAACGTTGTTTTAGAAGGGTATATACAAGCCTAGTTGGTTACGGTCAATATCAGGACGTCCTTGTAATGGGCAAAGTCTGCCTGTTCAGACCTAGCTGCGGGAACTCTGCAGAACCATTCGACAACCACAGCGACCACAGCTCGCATTTACACAGCGCCCTTCATGTAGTAATAATAATAATAATAATAAAGCGCAATATCAAATGCAAGAATTATTATCATTATAATAATCCTTGTATTTGATATCGTGCCCTATCATGTCATCAAGACGCCTCAAAGCGCTTAAATGTACATAACTGTAAAGTGTATTTTGTGGGTGAAATGCGGCAGCCAGTTACACTCGGCGAGGTTTCAGTCACAAGGTACAGTCACTACTTTACAGTGTATCCTGTGAAGCACTTTGAGATGCCACGATGACATGATACGCCGCTGTATCAAAGGATTGTTATTACGATTAATGTCCCACCAGTAACCATGGAGTGAGTGAACAATTTTAAATGTGGGATTGTCGGGCAGGACACTGAGGGAGAGAAACTCCCTTCTCTTTTCCAATAGCGCCCTCGGGATCTTTAACGTCCAGCTGAGCAAATACGGCCGCAAGACACACAGTCCAATTCACTTTATGTGCTGCAAAGCACTGTGAGACGTCTGGAAGGCTTGACAAGGCGCTATCTCAAATTAATAATAATAATAATCCTTGCATTTGATGTAGCGCTTTGCACGTCTTCTCGATGTCTCAAAGCGCGTCACAGAACATGCTGTAAAGTGAACTGACCGTAAATTTGTGGGCGAAACGCGGCAGCCAATTGCGCACAGCAGCGTCCCCACAAACAGTCGGGGATTGAAAATGACCCATTTATCATTATTGTTTTTTTTGGGGAGGGATTTATTAATATTGGGCGTGTGGAGTAAGGAGACTTGCCCAAGCTTTCGCCCTGTCTGGAATTGAAGCCAGGTGTCTCGCTTGCGAGGCGCGTGCTCTAACCGCTGAGCTACAGGACTCCGTAATATTATTGTTATGATGGCGATGATGATGATTTTCCAGCGGCCTGTTAGGGCTTCGGCTTGTAGGGTTAACAAGGAGTCGAGCGAGAGCATTCCCTGACCTTCCCCCCGCCGCAGTCTGCCCCTTCCAAGTCCTGCTTCTGAGCCAGGATCTGGGTTGTGCTGTCATCAGCAGATAACAAGTCAGTGCAGAGAACTTGTGCGGAGAACTCCACTAGAGGGGACTGTGCTAAAGTTGTTAACAATTTGCATGTCAACCACTACTACCACTAAGACGTCGTCACGTCCGTTCCAAGTTATCGCTTTACACTAAGGGTGGAGAAATTTCCTGGTTAGGAGACAAGGAAGAGAAAGAGAGAGAAAGAGAGAAAGAGAGAGAGACTTAGATATAAATATAAATAAGGCAGTGTGTTTCTTTTTTTGGGGAGGGGGGGGTTTGAGATCACTATTAAAGAGAGAGAGAGAAAAAGGTTGTGTAAGAAACAGTTTTTTTTGGGTGGGGTGTAAAAACAGTTAGATAAGAATTAGCAAACAGTTGGGGGTTTTCCTGTGTGTGTGTGTGAGAGAGAGAGAGAGAGAGAGAGGGAAAGAAAGAGGAAATTGCTTTTTGTTCAAAAAGAAAAGTTTGGCATTGAAGAGAAAGACAGAGAGAGAGAGAAAGAGAGAGAGAAAAAAAGTGGGGTTCTGGAGGGGGTGGTAAAGTTTTGTGGGCAAAAAAAAACTTTGGTAAAAGTTATAAACAAGTTAGAAAAGTTTTAGGAAACTGCGTGTGTGTGTGTGTGTGTGTGTGAAAAATATTGCTTCTTCCCCCCCCCCCCACCAAAAAAAAGGGTGTGAAAGATTTTAGTAAGTGTGGGGTTGGTGGAGTGGGGGAGTTGAGAGAGAAATTGAACTTGGAAAAGAAGTGAAAAGTCACTTTTTTTTGTGGGGAGGGGAAGGAGGAGGAGAGTGGAGTGGGGTGGGGGGGGTCACTTTTTTTTGTTTGTGCTGTTGGTTGTTTGAGTCAGTAGGATGCAGAGATGAGTCTGTTTCATCCTTGTTGAGTTGCAGGAGATGAAATGGACCAAAACCCTTGTTGCATTGCAGAGGTTAACAAGTGTTAGATACGTTTAGGGGAAGGGAGGTGGGAGGCAGATAGATAGATAGATAAATAGATAGATAGATAGAGTTGCTGCTGCTGGGGGTGGGAGTGGGGGCTGCTGGTGTTTGAGATGAAGTTGCCTGGGCTTTTGGTGCTAGTTTCCTTGTTGGACATTTGCGAATCTAAGTTCACTTATCCTCTGATCGCCTCTTACCACCACCATCGCCACCGACCGCAAGGCGAGGAGCTGGGCAAACGAGAGGATGTGCTCGGGGGCATCTCACTGGCCTCCCAGGACTCAACAGCATCGGCTGCTGCATCGGCAACAACTGGTAATGGAGCAGTCAGCTTCTTGAACATGGTCGACAATTTACGAGGAGATATTGGCAGAGGTTATTACCTGGAGATGGACATAGGCACCCCACCACAGAAGGTCAGCGAACTTCTTTGTGTGTGTGTGTGTTGTTATTTTTAATGGGGGTGGTGGGTGTGAGGGCAATTAAAAGTTTATAAAGTGTTTCAAAAGTTAATTAAAAGTTGATTAAAAAGTGTATCCAGGGTGGATTAGAAACTATTATCAAAGGCGGATCAAAAAACTAGCATCAAAGGTTGGTTAAAAAGCAGTATCAAAGGTTGGTTAAAAAGTAGTATAAGTGTTTATTAAAACAACAACAACAAAATTACATTTATAGAGCGCCTTTCATGTCGGGGAGGACGTCCCAAAGCGCTGAGTTTGTAGTGTTTAAAAGTATGTAAAAGTTTATAGTGTTTTTAGTGTTTATGAAACATAAATAAAGTATAAAAAGGTTTACAAACAGTTAATTAAATCCATAAAAAGTTTATAGAAACTGAATTAAAAGTATTAAAAACTTTAGAAGCGGTTTATTACGTTTTATCAAAAGTATCGAAAGTATTCAAAACATTTGGCCTTCTCTCTTCCCTCCCATTTATGAATTTATGAATAAAATAAAATTTGGCAAAAAAAGTTGAATGGCTGCGGTTCTCTCTCTCTCTTCCTCTTTTCTTTGTGTCTCTTTTCTGTTCCTCTTTCGCCTCTCTTTCCCTCCCATAAGACAGTCCCTCCACCTCGCCCTCCTTCCACCCCCACCCCCTGCCCTCCCCGTCCTCCACCCCTCCTGATCCCAACCCGCAGCTCGGGTGCAGGATCCTGACTTTCCAGCGCCTTGGGACATCCTCCCAATGTGAAAGGCTCTATACAAATGGAATTTGTTGTTATTCTCTTCACTAGTTGAGAGCAATACAGTCCTTTTTTGTCTCTCTTTCTCACTCTCTTTCTCTCTCTAGCTCTTTCCTTTTTCTGTTTTTTCTCTTCTCTCATTCCTTTCTCTCTTTCGCACGCGAGAGATCTATCTTGCTCATTTCTAGTTTACCCACAAAATGCGCAGTCACTACGCTTTGCAGCGAAATCTCGTGAAGAGCATCAAGATATCCTGCAGCGGATGTGTCTTTGAGTCCTGTAACATGGTGGTTAGAGCATTCGACTCGCAAGCTAGAGGACCCGGGTTCGATTCCTGGGCAGGGCGAAACATTAGGCAATTTTCCTTACACCACACGCCCCTGTTTACGTAGCCGTAAGTAGGAACCCGGTGGTTAGTCAATTGGGTGATACACTTTCCAGGGGGGTAATAACCACAGAAACAGGAGTAGGCCATTCAGCCCCTCGAGCTTGGTTCTGCCATTCTATAAGATCATGGCTGATCTGTATCTCAACTCTAATTACCTCCCTTGCCCCGTACCCCTTGATACCCTGATACCAATCTGTTCACCTCAGTCTTAAACATTTGAATGGATCCACAATCCGTAGCCTTTTGGGGGGGAAGAGAGTTCCAGATCTCCACTGCCATTTGGGTGAAAAACTGCCTCCCAATTTCACTCCTAAATGGCCTAGCTCTAATTTTAAAATGATTTCCCCCCCCCCACTCCCAATGACTGTTCTGGATTTCCCCCACCAGAGAAAATAGCATCTACCCTATCGAATCCCTTTATCATTTCAAACACCTCAATCAGATCATCCCGCAACCTTCTAAACTCAAGGGAATAGAGACTAAGTTTATGCCACCATGTCCTCGTAATTGAATTTAAGACTTGGAATCATTCTGGTGAATCTGCACTGCACCCCCTCCAGAGCTAATATATCCTTCAGCCCAAAACAGTACTCCAGATGGGGTCTGACCAAGGCTCGATACAGTTGAAGCATCATTTCCTCCCCTTTATATTCCAGCCCCCTTGAGATAAAGGCCAACATCCATCAACAATTAATTTAAAAGTCCGCTGCCCGGATACTCACCCGCGCAAGACTCCGTACCCCCATCACACCAATCCTTGCCAGGCTCCACTGGCTCCCAATCTCCGAACAGATTGAGTTTGAGATCCTCTCGCTCATTTTCAAATCACTTCAGACCCTCGCATCTCCCTACCTATCCGACTTGCTTACCCCCACCACGCCCCCACCCGCTGCCTCCGTTCGGCTGGCTCTGGCCTCCTGTTTGTCCCGCGTGCCCTCCGTTCCACCATTGGTGGGCTTGCCTTCAGCTTGTTGTTGTTGTTGCTGTTGTATCCTGTTAGCCTTTTTAAGAACATAAGAATTAGGAGTAGGCCATTCGGCCCCTCTAGCCTGCGCCGCCATTCAATAAGTTCATGGCTGGTCTTCTGACCTAACTCTAATTACCTGCCCTATCCCCATATCCCCTAATCCCTCTGTTTTTTAAAAATCTATCAGTCTCAGCCTTGAAGATGTTCAAGAACTGAGCATCTACAGCCTTCTGGGGTAGTGAATTCCATAAATTCACTACCCTCTGAGTGAAGAAATGTTTCCTCAACTCTGTTCTAAAAGGCTGACCCTTAATTTTAAGACTGTGACCCCTGGTTATAGATTCGATAACTGTTTGTACCTGTGAGCTTGTTTTTAGTGATTTGTGTACGTGGACACCCAAATCCCTTTGCTTCTTCCACGGTTCTTAGTGTCTCACCAATTAGAAAATATTCTGCTTTGCTATTTTTGTATCCATAGCGGATGACCCCGCATTGAATTCCATTGTTCCCTTCAATTCACATCGACCGCTTCCAAAAAATAATACTGATTGTTTTTTTTCCCCCACAAAATACATAGGCCATCCACTTTACACTGTATCCGGTCAAGTACTTTGAGACGTCTCGACGACGTAATAGGTTGCAAAATCAAACGGAAGGATTATTAGGAACATAGTAAAAAGTTAGACGAAAAANGGACAAGGTTCATCCAATTCGTCTTCCAGTGGCTGCACGTGTCATTTCCTAAAATACCGATGCCCTGTATCCCGAAATATTATTCATTAAAGTGATCTGTCTCTTTTGCAGTGGAAAGAATCGACACTTTCTGCTTCTACCGTCTCCCTGTTCCTTACGTTTATCACTCGCTCAATGAAGTAGTGTTTCGGCAGATTTGTTCTGAACTTAGCCCCTCTTCGATCGCAGTCCTTGTCTTCTGGTTCTACTGTTCTGGACAAGATGAAACTTATTACAGTTAACTTTACAAAAGTCTATCAAGTTGGGACTATGCATTTAATATGACTTATTAATATATTATTATACAGTCAATTCATTCACTTTACAGTCTATTCTGTGGAGCGCTTTGAGACATCTCGAAGACTTGATAAGGCGCAATATCAAATGCAAAGATTACTATTATAATGCAAAGGACTTGGGCAGATGTACGACTTGGGCGATTATACCATTTATGCAGATCAGACTTGTGTGAGTTGTACTGTACTTTATTCTAATAATAATAAGATATTATCATTATCATTAACACATTTGGAGTCTTCTTGCTCCTCTGTACAGATCACTTGCCCTTGGCTTGCTGGCGATGTGCCTCACATGCTCCCCTCATGACCGCAGTGGTTTATCTTGGTGAGCGTTTCCCATGTGACTGGGATTAACAGTGCGAGCTTTCATTAAGATCCTCTTGCCTCCCCTCCCACAGTCAAAGCTATTCTGCAGGAATAAGCTTAATAATGCACAATAACCCTTGCATTTGGATAAGGCACCTTATCACGTAGGGAAGACATCTCAAAGAGAGCTGCGTAGAATGTACTGCAAAATGTAGTGACTGTGTATTTTGTAGGCAAAAGCAGCAGCCAATTTGTGCACAGCAATGTCCTACAAACTGCCATGAAGTGAGTGATCCCAAATTATCTGGGGGTTATCATTGGCCAGGACACCGGGATGGAAATTCTCTTTTCTCTTTACCAATAGTGTAAAGAGAAAAGAGACACTGCCAATAGTGTCGTGGGATCTTTAACGTGGAGTCCTGTAGGGTATTGAGTCCTGTAGGGTATCCGGGTCTGGCCTCCTCCTTGTCCCCCGAGTCCTCCGCTCCGCCCTCGGCAGCCGTGCCTTCAGCAACTACGCCCCGAGGCTCTGGAACTCCCTTCCTCACTCCCTTCGCCTCGCCCACTCCCTTCCTATTTTTAGGTCTCTGCTGAACACCTTTCTTTTCGACCGCACCTTTGGTCACCTTCCTCCCCCTCCCCCTGGCTCGGCCCCGGGATCCGTTTGCTGTGAAGCGCTCTGAGACACCGTCTGGCGTGGAGGGCGCTATACAAATCCAGGTTGTTGTTGCAGACCCAAGTTCGATTCCCGAGCAGGGCAAAGCCTTAGGCAAGTTTCCTTACTCTACACGCTTCTATTTACCTAGCAGTAAGTAGAAACCCGGTTGTTAGTCGATCGGCGGATCACTTTCCGGGGAGAAAAAATATAATAATAATAATAATAATAATCCTTGCATTTGATATAGCGCTTTTCACGTCGGGAGGACGTCCCAAAGCGCTTCACAGAACACACTGTAAAGTGAATTGACTGTATATTTGTGGGCGAACGCGGCAGCCAATTGCGCACAGCAATGTCCCACAAACAGTCGTAGATTGAAAATGACCAATTTATTATTGTTTTGTTTTTTTGGAGGGATTATTATTAGGCTCTGTGTGGAGTAAGGAAACTTGCCCAAGGTTTCGCCCTCTGCCTGGAATTGAACTCAGGTCTCTCGCTTGCAAAGCGAGTGCTCTAACCACTGAGCTACAGGACTCCACAAATAATAATAAAAATGTGGTCACTCAATCCACGACTGTTTGAGGGACAATGGGCTGCCGTGTTTGGCCTACAAAATATACAGTCAATTCACTTCACTGTACTGCAACAACAACAACAACAAGATTTAATTTATAGAGCGCCTTTCACGTCGGGAGGATGTCCCAAGGCGCTGGACAGTTGGGTCAGGACCCGAGCAGTGGGGAAACGGTCAGGGTGTTGGGAGGGAAGGGAGGGAATGAGGAGGGAGAAGAGAGTCGAGAGGGGAGCTGAAGGCATGGTCGAAGAGAAAGGTCTTGAGACCGGCCTTGAAGGAGGAAAGGGAGGAGGAGGCGAAGGCACTGGGGGATGGAGTTCCAGAGCCGAGGGGCTGAGAGGCTGAAGGCCCGGCCACCAATGGTAGGGCGGTTAGGGCGGGGGATGTGGAGCAGACCGGAGCCAGAGCAACAGAGGGTAGGTGGGAGAGGTAGGAGGGAGCGATGCCGTGAATGGCCTTGTAGGTGAGGATGAGGATCTTGAATTGGATCCTGTGGGGGATGGGGAGTCAGTGGAGGCGAGCGAGGGTGGGAGTGATGTGGTCCCGAAGCCTGGTGCGGGACAGTACACGAGCTGCAGAGTTCTGAATGACCTGCAGCTTGTGGAGGGAGGTGCGGGAAGGCCGGCGAGGAGAGAGTTCCCATAGTCCAGCCTTGAATGTACAGCCACTGTACATTTGAGTCATCTCAATGCCTTGACCTTAGTGCTATATCAAATGCAAGGATTATTATTTATGATTATTAAAAACTGTTCAGGCACGGACTCGACTTATCATCTCATCCAAAGGAGACTGGAACGAGTTCCCTTCAGTTGCGTACTCGCGTTTCCTTCCCCTCTGTTGAAGTATCAGTTTGTTATCTTCTTTCCTTCCCTCTCTCTCCTTCCCTCGCAGATGAACATCCTGGTAGACACAGGAAGCAGTAACTTCGCAGTGGCTGGAGCACCTGATCCCAACGTTGAGGTTTACTTCCACTCAAAGCTGTGAGTAACACCCCCCCACCCCCACCCCCCCACCTTCCCACAACCACAACATCGGTTTCACCTCGGAAATGCTCGAAACACTTCAGTGGAGATTCCGTGAAGTGGAGTGACCGTACTTTCGCTGCAAACGTGTGTCAGCCTGGCTCAGTGGTAGCGCTCTCCCCTCTGTGTCAGAAGGTTGCTTTGTTCGAATCCCACATCAGGACGTAAACTCACACGGTTTAAGCTGACGCTCCAATGCAGCGCTGGGAATGTGCTGCATTGTCGTAGATGCCGTCCTTCGGATGAGACGTTAATCCGAGGTCCCGTTTGCCTGTTCAGGTGGATGTTACAGATCCCATGGCACTACCCATAAGAGAGAAGGGAATTTTCTTTCCCGGGGTCCTGGCCAACAATCCCCCTAATAAAATCGTTCACTCGCTCCACGGCTGTTTGTGGGACACTGCTGTGCGCAAACCGGCTGCCACATTTGGCCACAAAATACAGTCAATCCACTTGACAGTGTATCCTGTGAAGCGCTTTGAGACGTCTCGATGATGTGATAAAGCGCTAGATCAAATGCAAAGATTGTTATTATTATTGTTAAGAATAATTATCAACACGGGGGTTAATTTCCACATAGCAAAGGTCCCACAAACAGGATGGCAAGAGACAAGGCTTGGGGACCCCAAGGTGTGCTGTTGGAGTTTTAACCAGCTAAAACCACATAGCTCGCCATTGATAGCACTTTCTGGCAAGCTTTCCTGCTGCTTGTCCAGCTTGGATCGCTCCGCTCATTAGGGCTTTGCCCTGCAGAGTTAACGGTACCTGAGTGGGAAGAATCTCTGCCCACAGGGACTAGTCTGCCCTTCCAAGTCCTGCCAACAAACCTGGCTGACTGTGCTGTCCTCAACAGTGCCCAAGAGCACTGCGCATCCTCCTGGCTCGGGAAACGGAGTAGAGACCGGGACCGAGGGTTGGACTCGATCGCTATATTCTGTTGCTCTCAGTAGGTGGGTGGCAGGTACCAGGAACTACCTGTGAGCTTCCTAGTGAACAACCCAGCTCGGCATAAAGTGCGTGAGAGCATTGCCACCATCTTCCTGCCCACAGTTCAGACACAGATTCATTGAGCGATGGTTCCATCAATTGAAGGTGCGGAGTTTAAGCAGCAGCTGCTTACCTCTCTGCAAACTGGTCAAGGTAGATTCCAGGCCCTCGATGTACAAACAGGTGTCCACGAACTTTGGACTCCCAAGGTAACGCCTTTCCAGCAGCTGTCATCCCAAGCCTCAGAAGTTATCCGGGAGTACAATATTATCCTGAGTTTACAAACTCATTTAATATTCCTTGCATTTGATACAGCGCCTTATCACAATTTCGAGATGGCTCAAAGTGCTTCACAGAATACTCTAAATAATAATCACTGAATTGAATTGACTGCATATTTTGTGGGCGAAACACGGCAGCCAATTGTGCACAGGAGTGTCCCACCAATAGTTGTTGATTGAGTGATCAAATTATAATTTTTTTTAAGCAAATTTGGAGGGATTATTACACCCGGAAAAGCAATCCGCCAATCAATTAACATCCGGGTTCCTACTTACTGCTCGGCAAACAGAGGCGTGTGGAGGAAGGAGTAAGGAAACTTGTCTAAGGTTTTGCCCTTCTCTCACTAAGCTTCAGGACTCCACTTTAAACTCCATTTCAAATTTAAGTTCTAAAAGGTTCTCTCTCGGATACCCTTCAAACAAAAACATTCAAAACAATTTTGTTTAAAAAAACTACACATTTATCGATTATATTTTTAAAAACACAGGGTTTTTTATTCTGTTAATGACCGCTGTGCGCAATTGGTTGCCGTGTTTCTCCCACAAAATACGCAGTCACTCCACTCTACAGTGGAGAATTCTCGACAATGTGACAAGGTGCTATTATCAAATGCAAGGATTGTTATAATTATTATTCAAGATTGAAGAGCTCCAGCTTGTCTAATCGTTGCTCGCAGCTCATTTCCTCTGAACGCTAGGGTGTTCCCCTCTACCCTGCGTCTCGAGCCTGTGCAGTCCTTGTATGTCACTGTGACCAGAACTCTATGTAGTCCTGCAGGTGTAGCCTGACTGGAGCACTGTACAACTGCTGATTCCGATCAGCACCGAAGCCCTACCCTATTTTGGCCACTGACATTGGCTCAAGCTGCAATTTATTCCCTGAGGGAGGCCAAGTAACAACCTGACTACTTAATCTCTCAGCCCCTCGGCTCTGGAACTCTATCCCCCAGTGCCTTCGCCTCCTCCCTTTCCTCCTTCAAGGCCGGTCTCAAGATCTTTCTCTTTGACCGTGCCTTCAGCTCTCCTCTCAACTCTCTACCCCCTCCTCGCTCCCTCCCTTCCCTCCCCTCACCCTGACTATTTCCCCCCAATGCTCGGGTCCTGACCCAACTGTACAGCGCCTTGGGACGTCCTCCCGACGTGAAAGGCGCTCAATAAATGGAATCTTGTTGTTGTTGTTAATCTAACGCCTTGTTTTGGCGAAACTCTGAACTGTCAGGAATGTGTGTAGGCGATTGTGACTCAATTTGCACACAACAACATGGAGCACGCTTCCTCTATCCCTCCGCCTTCCCCCTTTCCTTCCCCGTTCTTCCTTACGGTCACCTCCCCCTCCCCTGGCCCAGCATTGTGCTGCGTCACTATCAAGCGCTGTGGGGCACTGCCCTGCCTGAAGGCTGCCATATAAGTGCAAGTTGTTGTTGTTCGTGTAAGTCATATTAAATGTTACGGTCCTGACTGATGTGACTTATGTGAGTTTTACTGTATTATCTGAAAGATTGTCGGCCGGGACACCGGGAGAGACGTCCCCTTCTCTTTCCGAATAGGGCCGGGGGTTCTTTAATGACCAACTGTTCGGGCGCGGGCACTCGATTTAACATCCCAATCCAAAGGACGTGACCTCTTGACAATACAGTGCTTCCCTCAGCACTGCACCGGAGTGTCAGCTTGGACCTTGTGAGCTCGTAGTCCCGACGTGGGTGGAGTAGAATAGATAGAACAGTTGACCCCTTGCACAAACCCCTCGATCCATTGTCACTTGTTTACTGCTGTGGAGTTTGTTTACTGCTCCCAAGTGGAGACGGGTCAAGCCACATTGAATCACTGGAAACGAGGTCTTGATCCGTGCCCGCATGTGTACTTACCGGCGGCGTTGCATTACTCATGCGCATTGACGATTATTGATTAAATTGGATTTTATACGATTTACGCAAGTTTCCCTGCAACTCTTGACTTAGCGTAAATGTTCATATTAAATATTAAATAGGATCCTGACTGATATGGACTTACTTACGTGAGTTTTACTCTATTATGCATCATAACGAACCCACAACCTTCTGGCTCGGAGGCTGGAGAGCCGGAGCCAAACCGAGCTAAACCGACAGCCGTAACCTGTTGTCGTCTTCTTGACCAGGTCCAGCACCTACCAGGACTCTGATGCCCTGGTGACCGTCAAATACACCCAAGGCAGCTGGGTGGGGAACCTGGGCTCCGATCTCATCACCATCCCAAAGGGACCCAACCACACCATCACCGTCAACATCGCCACCATTGTTGAGTCCGAAGACTTCTTCTTGCCCGGAGTGAGATGGCAAGGCATCCTCGGCTTGGCGTACAGTATCTTATCCAAAGTAAGCCCCCTTTTTTGATCTTAAAATCACAATGCTATTTGGTGTGACCATCAGCGCTGCTTCAAATTCTACACCCGCTCCTCAGCGGGTCTATCTGGGTCCCAACTCAGCCATGACCTTCAACCATGTTCTTGCGATTTATAGACGAGTTTCTTCCTGAGTTTAAAATCCTCGTCCTCACTTTTAAAGCGCTCCACGGTCTTGCTCCTCCTCACCTAACAACAGTACTAACCTGCCTGCTCCCTATGCTCGGCATACACTGGGCTGCTCTTTGTCACCCACCCTGCCATTGCTGGTCAGGCCTTCAGCCTTTCTGCCTCCACCCTTTGGAAGTGCATCCCAGAACCCCTAACACTCACCCATTCCCTTACCTCATTCAAGGCCTATCTCAAGCCCTTCCTTTTTGACCGTGTCTTTGGCCACACCTCCAACTCTCTACCCCTCTTGATTCCAACTCCCAGCTCGGGTACAAACCCTTAACTGATCAGCGCCTTGGGATGTACATCCGACATGCCTGAAAAGGGTGGTGGAAACTGATTCAATAACAACTTTCAAAAGGGAATTTTAATAATAATAATAATCCTTGCATTTGGTATATCATCTTATCACTCTTACCACGGCGAAACATGGCAGCTAATTGCGCACAGCAGTGTCCCACGGGGTCACTCAATGGTTCATTCAATCCCGTGGATTGAGTGACCAGTTTATTATTATTATATTGAAGGAATTATGAGCCCCGGAAAAGCAATCCACCAATCGACTAACAACCGGGTTCCTCCTTACTGATAGCTAAACGGAGGCGTGTGGAGCAAGGAAACTTGCCCATCGTTTTGCCCTGCCCCGGGAATCGAACCCAGGTCCTCTCGCTTGCGAGGCGAATGCTCTAACCACTGAGCTACAGGACTCCACCTACTGGATAGATACTTGAAAAGGAAAAATTTGCAGGGCTCTGGGGAAAGAGTGATTGAGTGGCTGTTCGAAAGAGCTGGCACAAGCACGATGGGCCGAATGGCCTCCTGATAAGACTTGGAATTCGTCTCACTCTCTCTCTCTATCTATCTCTCTCTCTCTCTTTCCTCTTTGGTTCTAACTGGTGCTCCGCTCGGTCTTCACCCGCAGCCGTCCAGCTCGGTGGAGCCTTTCTTCGACTCACTGGTGAAGCAGACGGAGACCTCGGATGTGTTCTCGCTGCAGATGTGTGGCGCTGGGCTAACGCTGAACTCGGAGGAGCAGGGCAACTTGGCGGGAGGCAGCCTGGTAGGTCGTGCTGTTGAATAGCCTAATTCAGGCAGGTCGGAATCTTTAACATGGGGAGGGGCGAGGCAGGTGGAGGGGAATATCTTACGATAATCATCATATTATGCAGTGAGGTGAAGTTGCTGTCGGATATAATATTATAATAATAATAATCCTTGCAACTCAATTGACTGTAGATTTTGTGGGCGAAATGTGTTTAGCATCTCCTGAGACCAGGGGCAATAATAATAATAATAATAATAATAATAACTCTTGCACTTGATATAGCTCCTTATCAAGTCATGGAGCCGTTTCAAAGCGCTACACAGAATATACCGTTAAGTGGATTGGCTTTGTATTTTGTGGGCGAAACGCAGCAGCCAGTTTGCGGCGTCCCACAAACAGCCATGGAGTGAACGACTAGTTTCATTTGGGGAATCATTGACCCTGACACCGGGAGGCATTTCCTTCTCTTTGAATAGTGTCGTGGGACCTTTAACATCTGTCCGAACAGGCAGACGAGACTTTGAGAAATGTCCGGAAAATAGGAATCGAGTTAGCCCTCGGTGGTCCTTGCTGGACAAGCAACGGGAAAGCTTGCCAGACAGCGCTCTGAATGACAAGCTATGCGGTTTCAGATGGATAGACTCCAGCAGTCACTCCAATGCACACTCTGAGGTCCCCAAACCTTGGCTTTTGATAACTTGTGCCTAATACTCACCAGAATTAGGTGAGCAGGGTATGTCCTTCTGAGGAGAGTGTGCACATTCCAGTCCAATACCCAGGAATTTCCATGTCTAGGTGGGATGCTAGATGTTTGGTTTGGATACTTTTAAGCATGGTGATTCTCTCGTGTGTCAGACACTACAGGCGACAAATAAAATAGATTATAACTATTAAAATGTTCATTTTTGAAAATGCCCCACAATGGTAATGTGATTTTTATATATATATATATATAATATTGTTTGTATGTCTCTAGATCCTGGGTGGGATTGAACCCAGTCTTTATAAGGGGAAAATTTGGTATACCCCCATCAAGCAACAATGGTATTACCAAATCGAGATCCTCAAACTAGAAGTGGGGGGTCAGAATTTGAACCTGGATTGCAAAGAGGTAAGTGAATGTGAATGCAGACCAGTCGCTGGGGGCAGGGAATCCTCCCACTCAGCTCCTGTTAACCCTGCAAGCGAAAGCCCCAATGGGTAGGGTGGTCCTAGCTGGACAAGTGGAAAGTTTGCCAGACAACGATATTAATGGCAAGCTGTGTACTTGTAGCTGGCTAAGAGTCCAGCAATTACTCCAACGTACACTCTGGCATCCCTAAGCCTTGGCTCTTGCCAAGTTTCACCTAATGCTTTCCATGTGGTAGGGTGGGGGAGGGGGATTTAGGGTTAGGAGAGACCGCTCCATTTGAGCAGCCAACAGTGACACTTGTTTGTAGAACAGGTTGGGTAGGCTTCTGCTGTGTGTGTAAGTGAATTTGCAGGAGCCTCCGAGCCAGGTGTGTGTTGATTGCAAAGTGCTTTCCTCATTCTCGCGAAACACACACCCTCCCCAAGGTTATTTAAGTTAACCTCTTGCTCGACCACTGTTCTTGTTGCTTGGATGAGTCACCAAAGCCAAATGATATTGAGTTTAACCAACTAATTGCCAAGGATCCTTAGCAACGGTTTCTCACTCTTCTTGTTTGGCTTCATGGAGGTTTTATTGACATCTCATGGCCAATTTTTTTTTTGACGGTAGGGGGAGGAATTTTCATGCACTTGGAACTGGTTTGGGAGCTTTAATGTCTCACTGTCCTGTGGATTCTGAGCCTCATTCTTTGTTTGATTTGAGGAGGTCAAACCAGTATCGAAATAAGTTTGAGCCAAATTTTTTTTCCCTCTTTCAACAGAGAGATTCCTGATTCAATTAATATTTAGCCTCCGGTTTCCCTTGTAATCCCTTATCCTCAAGGGGCTGTGGTGAGGAGAGTTAAGAAGTGCGGTAAACGGGTCTCCTAAGACTGACTCAGGGCTTCCCCCCCACCCCCCCCACCACCCACCATCCCTTGCATAGCCTAGACTAGGGGTGGACAAAAGACAGCCCGTGGGCCATATCCGGCGCACCAAATGATTTTATCCGGCCCGTCATTGTGTCTAGCAGTAGAAAAAATTATAGTTCGTTCAGTCCCGGTAAGTCGCCCAAATTTCGCATTTGAATCTGACCAGGAACTGATCACACGATTTAGTTGTGCGCACGCTCCCTTAAGTGTTGAATCAGGCTGACGTCAGAAATGTACGGATTGGCAACATGCGGCAACCGCGGCAATACTTTTCACTGAAGAGGTCGTTAATTGGAAATGAGTTTATCAAAGACGCGGAAAGTGGACGCTGAAGGCCGAATATGGCAGTGCTCAAAGACTACAGCTTGAATCGCCATTTTGAGAGCAAACGTGCTTGCACATAAAAGAACGTTGCTGCCAAAGAAAAAGGAAAGAAAGCTGATGAGGTGGTGGTTCGAATGCAAAAAGAGCAAAGCATTTTCACAGAACAGTTTGCGTCCCAGGATGAGATTACAAGAGTGAGTTACCTGATTGCACACAAAATCGGCAAGAACAGCAAACCATTCTCTGAAGAATTTATAAAGGAATGTAGGTTGACACCGCCTCGATTCTATGCACAGACAAGAAAAAACAGTTAGAGAACATTAGCTTGTCAAGGCGAACTATTGTGAGACGTGTCGAGGATATCTCTGAGAACCTGTATCTGCAGTTACAAAATAAAGTAAGCAATTTTGCATGTTTTTCACTGGCACTTGATGAGAGTTGTGATATCAAAGACACAGCCCAGTTGATCCTTTTTATTCGAGGTATCACCAAACATTTTGAGCTCACAGAAGAATTGGCATCAATGCAATCAATGAAAGATACGACAACTGGAGAAGACTTTTTGGAGGCAGTAAATAAGTATGTCTTCAAATTAGGGGTGGAGTGGAAAAAATCGGTGAATGTGACCACTGATGGAAGCCCAAATCTGACAGGCAACAAAGTTGGTTTACTGAAAAGAATTCAAGATCAAGTCAAAGAAACAAATTCAGAACAGAATATTGTTTTTCTACACTGCATTATCCACCAAGAGGTCCTCTGTAAGAGTGTTCTAAAGCTAAGCAATGTCATGGACACAGTTACGAAAGTGGTCAATTACATTCGAGCAAGAGGATTAAACCACAGGCAGTTTGTAACTCTGCTTCAGGAACTGGAATCCGAGCACACGGATGTCAGTATCACACGAATGTAAGATGGCTTAGTTTAGAAAAGGTCTTGAAAAGAGTGTGGGAACTGAGAACAGAGATTGATTTATTTTGGGGTATGAAACAAAAAGATTCGGATGTCCCACAGCTGAATGATACAAATTGGCTCTCTGATTTCGCATTTGCCATTGATATCGTGGGCCACATGAAAGAACTGGATTCAAAACTGCAATGGAAGGGGGCTTTTGCGCACGATTTGTATTGCAGTGTCAAGTCTGCAATACAAGGAGTATTGCAGACTTGACACTGCAATACAATGGAGTTCTGTAGCTCAGTGGTTAGAGCACTCGCCTCGCAAGCGAGAGACCTGAGTTCAATTCCAGGCAGAGGGCGAAACCTTGGGCAAGTTTCCTTACTCCACACAGAGCCTAATAATAATCCCTCCAAAACCCAAAACAATAATAAATTGGTCATTTTCAATCCACGACTGTTTGTGGGACATTGCTGTGCGCGATTGGCTGCCGCGTTCGCCCACAAATGTACAGTCAAATCACTTTACAGTGTGTTCTGTGAAGCGCTTTGGGACGTCCTCCCGACGTGAAAAGCGCTATATCAAATGCAAGGATTATTATTATTATTATTAAGTCATTTATGATGAAATTATTTATTTTATCGCATCAGATAAGAAACAGGCTGTTCGCACACTTTCCAACTTTGCAGCAGATTACTGTTTGCGATCAAAGCCTTAAAAAGTATTTTCGTCATTACTTGACTTGTATGCCGAATATTCTCGCCGATTCCAGGATTTCAATTTGATCGAAAATGATCTGCCTTTGGTCCCTTTACCTTTCTCATTTGATGTTGACAAAGCCCCATTTGACCTTCTACTTGAGCTTATTGATCTGCAATGTGATCCACTTCTTGTGGAGCAATTCAAATCAGTGCCGTTTTCCAGTTCTTACCCCTATCTTAATGAATATACCTTTCCAAAAATAAGGGCTCATGCCCGGAGGATGCTTGTGCTGTTTGGATTAACATACAAATGCGAGGAGACATTTTCTGTGATGAAATTCAATAAATCAAAGCATAGATCTGCGATGACTGATGACCACCTTGCAACAGTACTCCGCATTGCAACAACGGAGACGATGCCTGACTTCAATTGTCTGGTTAACGCATATCAGCGTTTTCATTCTTCCCATTGAGTGAGCTTCTCACATTCTCATCAATATGTGAATAAATGAATGTCTGCTCAATGAGTTGTTTTTACTTAACCTCATTTTAATAAATGTCAATTATATAGACTTTATTTTATGTAGGTACAAGTGTAAGACTTGATTTTGAGCTATTATTAAGCATTTGCATCTGTATTAAGCTCGTGGGGCCCGCGAAGCTCACCAAAACTCGTGAAGTGGCCCGCCAGCCAAAATAATTGCCCATCCCTGGCCTAGGCTCTTGCTAACCTCTTACCCCTGAAGGCTTCCTCTGCCCCCAACTCCAGTGTCTTGGGATGGCCTCTCGATATGAAAGGCTCTATGTAAGTACAAGTTGTTGTTGTTATTGTTCCTTCCTCCCTTTTCCCCACCACTTTTCTCCTCCCTTTCCCAGTCTAGACAATGTGCTTGTTGTCATTCAGTGTAATTCTCTCTCTCTCTCTCTTCACTCCACAGTATAACACTGATAAAGCCATCGTGGACAGTGGCACAACACTCCTCCGCCTACCAATAAAAGTGTTTGGTGCGGTCGTATCAGCCATTAAGCGGGCCTCTCTGGTAAGTGGTCAGATGTGTCTCCATCAAATCTTTCCTCCAATACAGTACGCAGATCTCATCCGTCCTTCGGATGAAATGTTAAACCGAGTTCCCGTCTGCCTGTTGACGGATTGCTTTCCGGGTGTAATAATCTTTCCAGAATAAAATGACTGATAATAATTTGGTCACTCAATCCACGGCTGTTTGTGGGACACTGCTGTGTGCAAAATCGGCTACCGTGTTTACTCACAAAATACACAGTCACTCCACTTTATAGCATATTCTGTGAAGCGCTTTGGGAATTCTCGAAGACGTGATAAGGCGCTATATCAAATGCAAGGATTATTATTACTATTATTTCCTCCCCTTACGAAAGGCACTATAGCAAAAGTCAGAATAATTACTATTATTAGATACAAATCTAAACAATTTTTCGAGCTTTGCTTTCCTCCCATGGTTCACCTGACACTTTGAGATCGTGGCTTGGGTTGATGTTCCAGAGCAGCGTTGGGAGGGGGGGGGCGAGGGAGGGGTTGGGTGAGGGAGCGCTACACATTTTCAGAGGCACTGTCCTTCGGATGAAACCTTAAACCGAGGTCCCACCTGTGCCTGTTCAGCCAGATGTTAAAAATCACAAAAAAGAGGGATTTTTTCTCCCGGTGTACTGGCCAACAATCTCCCAATTAAAATTGGCCATTTGCTTCATGGCTGTTTGTGGGGACATTGCTGTACGAAATTGGCTGCGGCGTTAGCCTAGAAAATACACCATCGCTACACGTTACAGTAAATCCAGCGAAGTGCTTTGAGATGTTCTCCTGACGAAAAAGGCACTTTATCAAATGCAAGGATTATTACAGGATTATTATAGCTAACTGGTTGCTTAGGAACCTTATCAACAGTTTTTTTTTCTCTCTCCTGAGCTCCGCAGTCTTGATTGTTTTTGACCTACTTATTGCCTCCAGTGTGTCAGGAAGTGACCGGTGCTTTTTTCAAAGGGAGCGCTCCTCTGGATTGGACTTGGGTGGGGGAAGTGGGGGACAGGTGAGGTTTGCGGACCAACAAAAGGGCCATCGCGCGTACAGCGGTAATCGGAGTCGACAATACAGCCCCTCTTCCCCGCGTTTATTTCCTCGTCCTTCCGTGACTGTGTATTTTGTGAGTCGACAGCAATTGGCTGCCCCGTTTCGCCCGCTCAATGCACACTGCTTCCTGTGAGTTGCTTTGTGACGTCTCAATGACGTGATGAAGCGCCGTATCAAATGCAAGAATTCTCCTGATTACTTATTATCATCGGCATTCCCTGGCGGCTCCACTCGGCATGCTCCCGGGCCACTGCAGTGGAGATCCCGACTGCAATGTGGAGTGAGGCGAGACTGGGTTGGAGGGGGAAGTACTGAGGTTAACACGCGCACACAGCCGACGCCGGTGGAATTAAGCGCATAGGCTTCCGAAATTGAAATGGAATTGGCTAAAGAGCCCCCTTTTTACCCTGACGGAGATCAAAGCACTCTGACTCTTTGAAGATTATGTGAATGGCTGCAGCTTATTCTATCAGTCTAATTGAATTGGATTAGATATTGCCGCAAGTTTGTCATAATGAGATCTGACGACGTTTATATTTCTTTTTCCCCTTCTCCCCGCCCCCCGCCGACCCCGTCTCCTTTTCTAAGTGTTTGTTTTACATTTTTCCAGTCAAGGCATAATCGCCTGAAACATCTGTGAGCCAGATCATTGACATGCACGAACGAGTGCACGCACACATACAAACACACACACATTTTATAATAATAATAATAATAATCCTTGCATTTGATATAGCGCTTTTCACGTCGGGAGGACGTCCCAAAGCGCTTCACAGAATATACTGTAAAGTGAATTTGACTGTATATTTGTGGGCGAACGCGGCAGCCAATTGCGCACAGCAATGTCCCACAAACAGTCGTAGATTGAAAATGACCAATTTATTATTGTTTTGGGGTTTTTTGGAGGGATTATTATTAGGCGTGTGGAGTAAGGAAACTTGCCCAAGGTTTCTCGCTCTTTCGTTGTCCTAGAGTCATAGAATCTTACAGCACAGAAGAAGGGCATTAGGCCCATCATGTCTGGGCTGGCTCTTTCAAAACAGCTATTCCAACTAGTCCCCCTCTCCCGCTCTTATTCCGTAGCCTTGCAATTCTTTTTTCTTTTCAAGCATATATCCAATTCCCTTTTGAAAGTTATTATCGAATCTGCTTCCTCCACCCTTTAAGACATTTCCTCAATCGTAACAACTCCCTGCACAAAAAACAATTCTCCTCGTCTCCCCTCTGGTTCTTTTGCCAATTATCTTAAATCCGTGTCCTCTGCTTCCGTTACATTACGTTTCAGGTCAATAACCTTTCATCAGAACTGGTTATTACTGATGTACTTGCTGACCAATATTACTGAGCGTGTTTTTTTTTAAAAAAAACAATTCTCAAGTCATCTTGTAAGTGGTAGCGCTCTCACCTCGGAGTCAGAAGGTTTTGGGTTCAAGCCTCAAGTCGGGACTTGGAATTGCGTAGTCTAAGCTGACCCCCCCCCCCCCAGTGCAGTGCTGGTCAGGTGTTGCACTTTCAGAGATGCCGTCCTTTAGATGAGACATTAAACCCAGGTTCCGTCTCTGTGTCCAAATTAACATAGGTCAACAGTGACTTTGGTCAAATGTTAAACCCAGTTTCAGGTGGATGTTAAAGATCCCGCGGCGCTGTTGGAAAAGAGAAGGGAGTTTCTCTCTCCTGGTGTCCTGGCCGACAATTTCCCAAATAAAAATCGGTCACTCACTCCATGGCTGTATGTGACAAATTGCGGTGCACCAACTAGCTGCCGCGTTTCGCCCACAAAATACAATCACTCCACTTTACAGTCAAATCCTGTGAAGCGTTTTGAGGTGTCATCCTGATGCGGGGACTTGAACCAGGGACCTTCCTGGCTCGGGAGGTTGAGCGCACTTTGTGTTGAGCCAGACTTGATGTGCTGTTTCTCGCCTTGCCAGATTGAGGGGTTTGTTGATGGTTTCTGGTTGGGAAACCAGCTGGGGTGCTGGGCCAAGGGCATCGAGCCTTGGTCCTTCTTCCCCAAGATCTCCATCTATCTCCGCGGTGAGAACTCGAGCGAGTCCTTCAGCATCACCATAGCGCCGCAGGTAAGACCCAAGACTGTAACTCCCCATGTTTCAGCACCTTTCCCTTCTGCCTCTTCCCCCGTCAACCCACAACCCCCCCCCCACCCCACCACCACCAGTCTTAAATCTCTCCCAAACATAATGTCCCGAATAAGGCTTGTGAAGACCCGTAGCAGTGCCTTGAAAGCGAGAGGATCCGGATTTGATTCTCGGACAGGCAAAAGTTTCCTTACTCCACAAGCCTCTGTTTTCCCAAGCTTCCTCCCGAGCCTACTTCAAGGCCCATCTCAAGACCTTCGTTTTTGACCCTACCTGCGGTCATCTTCGCACCACCCCCCTCTGATCTCAACCCACTACTCGGGTGCAAACCCCTCATTGTCCAGTGCCTTGGGATGTCTTTCCAACATGAAAGGGGCTATATATATATATATTATATAATATATATATATTTATGCAATTTGTCCTCCAATTACTACCTAGCAGTAAGTAGAAACCCAGTTGTTAGTCGATTGGCGGACCCCTTTCCAGGGGTAATAATCCCTCCCCCCACCCCCAAAAAAGAAAAGTGGGCACAATCCACGACTGTATGTGGTACACTGCTGTGTGCAATTGGCTGCCCCGTTTCTCCCACAAAATATACAGTCATTCCACTTTACAGTATACAATGACGTGATGAGGGGTTGTATCAAATGCAAGGCTTATTATTATACTTGTTGTTGTACAGTTGTATATCCAGCCTGTGGCAGACATGGGGCTACAGGGGGAATGCTACAGGTTTGGGATTTCCTCCTCCTCTAACGGCCTGGTTCTGGGAGCCATCTTGATGGAGGGTTTTTACGTCATCTTCGACCGCGAGAAAAGCCGGGTCGGGTTCGCCACCAGCTCGTGCGCAGGTTTGGGCTTCGACCTTCACTCTCTCTCCTTAAATCGCTTTCTGGGGGGGGGGGGAGGGCAGGAAAGGGGGGGAATTATCCCTTCCAAAAACAAATTAAAAAATAATAATACTTAGTTCACTTAACCCACGACTGTTTGGGGTTCGCCGCTGGGCGCAATTGACCGCCACGTTTCGCCCACAAAATATGCAGTCGATCCACTCGACAGTGTATTCTGTGAAGCGTTTTGAGACGTCTCGACGACGTGATAAGATGCTCTATCAAATGTAAGGATTATTATTATGATTTATGTCTTCTTTCTCTTTTTGTGCGCGCACGCGCAGAGATTGTCGGATCTGCCGTCTCGGAGGTGGCGGGGCCGTTCTTGACCGGGGACGTCTCCAGAAACTGCATCGACACCAGCCCGAAGGTGGAGCCCTCGCTGTGGATCGTTTCCTACGTCCTCATCAGCATTTGCGGCCTCAGCCTCCTGGTCTCCTTCATCCTCCTCATCCTCCCCTGCGATCGGTCGAACGGCAACGGGCTGACGGACGACTCCTCGCTCATAAGGCACCGCTGGAAATGATGCCGAATTATCTCCTCAGCTCCCGTCCCCACAACCCCCCCTCTCTCACCCCATCCCACCCTATCCCCCGCTCCTCTCCCAGAGCGTGGGTAACAGGACTTTGTTACCTCTGTACTCATTCATTCATACATTCCTTCTTTGTTTGTCTGTTCGTATTTGGTGTACGTTTGACCCAACAAGGGACCCGTCATGAAGGAAATGTGAAGACATTCACGACTTGAAGCTGTCAATGTTGTGCTCCTGGGAGCTGACTCCTTTGAGCTGGGTTAAATGCCGAGCAGATGAATTGGCCCCGTAACCCTACCGGTTAACCGCCAATTTGCTCAAAGTATCCCGATCCTCTCCGCATTGCTCCGCTTCATGTCTGTCCCACTACTGTTTCGAAGTGGCCGCTGAGCAGATAGATTTTGTGCGCGTGGTGTGTTGTGCATAGGTTCCACCTCAGCCACTGTTGCACAGAGCTATCAGCTCAGTTTGGTGGGTGTTGGTCACTCGTCTCTCCCTCCCACACCCCCCCCCCAATTGGTCATTTCCTTCACAGCTGGTTGTGGGGACATTGCTGTGTGCATATTTGGCTGCCTCGTTCACCAACAAAACACACAGTCACTACACCGCATTGCAGTAAAATCCCGTGAAGTACTTTGAGGCATTCTCCCTGTGACGCTGTATCCAATGCCAGGATCATTATTTATGACATTAACGCTATTTGAGTGATGGAAGTGTTGCCCCTCCTCCTAACACAGGTCCACAGGTGTACACGATTGGCCTGAATACATGACTCCTATCAATACTCAGTGCTTTTACACAAAGGTGTGAGCCTGGCTCAGTCAGGAGCGCTCTCGTCTCTTAAGTCAGAAGTTTGTGTGTTCAAGCCCAGTGTCTGGACTTGAAACATTTAGTGTAGACCGACACTAATCCAAGCACTGTGTTGCAATGTGCTGCATTGTCCGAGGTCCCTTCCTTCGAACGAGACATTAAAACATGGTTCCGCCTGCCTATCCAGGTGGACATTACAGGTCCCAGGATACTTTTTCAAAAGAGAGAGGAGTTTCTCTTTCTCTCGCTCTCCTGGTGTCCAGGCCGACAATCCCATGAGACAAAATTAATCACTCGCCGCAGCGATTTGTGGGGACATTGCTGAGTGCAAATTGGCTGCTACGTTCGCCCTCAAAATAGACACTGTCACTGCACTTTATGGTATATTCCTGTGAAGCGCTTTGAAATGTACTCCTGAATTGAAAGGCGCTAGACCAAATGTAAGGATGATTATTATTATTATTATTATTATTAGCTGTACTTTATTTTAGCATTTAAAAGTTCTAGAACTAAAGTAGGTCTCTTAAAGAGAGTGGATTATTGTCTTGAAAATGTCATATTTGTGCAGTGGTGGAGCTTTGAAAGCACTTTAGGACAAAAGAGGCAAAGTTTGTCTTTTTTTTTGCCTGCGAAAAAAGATCTTATAGGGTGATAAGTTTCCATTTTAAAAAAGAATCTGCACGCTATTTTCAAAGGCGGTGTTTATCTACAAAAAAATAGTCACTACACATTACGATATATTCCCGTGAAGCTCTGTAAGACATCCTCCAGACGTAAAAGGAGCCCTATCAAATGTAATAATATCAATGAAGGATTATTATTATAAGTATGATATGAAGTGAAATATTCTTCTCTCTGAAGTTCTTTTTTCTTTCCCTGAAGCCAATGGTCATACATTATAGAGTATAACTGACCTATCTCTTTCCAAGGGTTGTCGTGGTAACTGGACAGTGATGAATTAAATATATGTAAAGAGCCTTCAGTTCTGTTCTGTAAAATGCAACAAAATAAAGTTATTTTGAGCAATAAACAGACTCTACGTTGTTAAAAACTGAGAATAACTGCTGTTTTAATCCGTGTTTGTGTGTCAACTTGTACCGTTGATACCGTTCTAGTACGTTTCTCGCCTCCCGAGTCAGAAGGTTGTAGGTTCAAGCCCCCACCCACGTCGATACTTGGAATCACGTGGTCTAAGGTGACAGCGTTGTGGAGGGACTTGCATTGTTAAGGTGCCGTCTGTCGGATCAGATGTTAAACCGAACTCCTCCTGTCTGCCTGTTCAGGTGGATGTTAAAGATCCTATGGCGCTGTTCGAAAAGAGAAGGGAGTTTCTCTCTCCAGGAGTCCTGGCTAACAAGTTTCCTTGCTCCACATTCCCATGTTTACCGAGCAGCAGGTTGTTCGTTGATTGGCAGATTGCTTTCTGGCAGTAATACTCCCTCTAAAAAAAATAAAATAAAATTGGTCACTCACTCCAAGGTTTTTTGTGGGTCATTGCTACCATTGCCTCATTTCACCCATAAAATACACAGTCACCGCACTTGCAATATATCTTGTGAAATACTTTGCATCTCAATTACATGATAAAGCACTACATCAAATGTAACAATTTGTTAATTAATCTGTTGAATGAAGGGAGTTTCTCCTGATTTCCCATTAAACATGCATCATTCATGGCTAATTTTTACAAGAAATCCTTTAAGGTACTCCTGATGTGAAGGTGAGTATTATTTAAGATTGACTGTTGCAATACTACAATGTATTTTTTTTTAATTCAATGAATCCCCTCTACTTTCACTAAATAAAAACGGAAGTTGCCGGGAACACTCAGCAGGTCAGGCAGCATCCAGGGAGAGAGGAAAGCGAGTTAACGTTTTGGGTTGATGACCTGTCGTCCGAACTCTCATAATAATAATAATAATCCTTGCATTTGATATAGCGCTTTTCACGTCGGGAGGACGTCCCAAAGCGCTTCACAGAACACACTGTAAAGTGAATTGACTGTATATTTGTGGGCGAACGCGGCAGCCAATTGCGCACAGCAATGTCCCACAAACAGTCATAGATTGAAAATGACCAATTTATTATTGTTTTTGATGCTGGAGGGATTATTATTAGGCTCTGTGTGGAGTAAGGAAACTTGCCCAAGGTTTCGCCCTCTGCCTGGAATTGAACTCAGGTCTCTCACTTGCAAAGCGAGTGCTCTAACCACTGAGCTACAGGACTCCACTCATGTTAATCAGCTGCTCTCAGCAAGGATATGGATGGGTGTACATGTGTGTTTGTTTTTGCAGGCGGGGCGGGGGGATAGTTGGGAAGAGGGGGAGTTTGGGTTTACACGTGCGAGAAGGAATCTCCAGGAATTGTTGTCCAGGTTGTTATGTGATGGGCAGGGGATCCTCCCACTTGGCTCCTGTTAATCCTGTAAGCCAAAGCCCGAACGGGTAGGGGTAGTCCTGGCTGGACAAGCATCGGGAAAGCCTGCCAGACAGCGCTCTCAATGGAAAGCTATGCGGTTTTAGCTGGTTAGACTCCAGCAGTTACTCCAACGCAAACTCTGGGTTCCCCCCAAGCCTTGGCTCTTGCCAACCTGCTCCTAATACTTTCCGGAATTAGGTGAGCAGGATGCGTCCCTCCAGGGAGAGAGAGTACGCATTCCATTCCAACAACCTATCTCTGGGATCTCCATGTGTAGGCGGGATGCATGGAGATCAGTTTGGTTTGGATATTCTTAAGCATGGTGTCAGACACCCGGCTAACCCCCCCAAAAAAATGTGATGAAGCTGATGGAGGGGTGTAATAATAATAATAATAATCCTTGCATTTGATTATAGCGCCTCATCCAACTCAACATAGGAACAGGAGAGGCCATTCAGCCCTTCAAGCATGTTGTGCTATTCTGTTGGATCACGGCTGATCAGTATCTCAACTCCAATTTCCCACTTTGCCCCATGTCCCTTGATAACCTGACCTAACAAAAATCTATCCACCTCAGTCTTGAAAATTTGAATGGATCCAGAAAACCCTCGGTCTTGGGTCTTCCCTCTTCCACTGATCCACACGTTTTCACTCCTGAGCTGGGAATCACCCAACCAACATCTCTCTTTTTATTATTATCTCATCCTCCCTCTCCATTCCCCCACCTCCACCTCTTTTCCCTCTGATTTCGATGTTGTTTTGCGCCGTGACACTCGACCCCTTCACTTTGGTGTCTCAATAACAATAAATGGTCTTCATGGGGCTACCGTAAGCCAAGAAGGCACATGCTTCAACGGGAAGTTGGCCTCAAGCGGCCGACTTGATCTGGATGTGCTCGCCTCTGGGTTAGGAGGTTGTATTCCTGGCTGCATTCAGATAGAGTGCTGGATTGGTGGATCGTTGGATTGGCGTTTGCATGGAGATACATAGGCCATTTGTCCCAACTAGTGTGTACCAGTGTTTAAACTCCATGTGAGCTCTCCTGTACCCCTCTATTGTTTTCTCTTAAACACGTTGATGCTTTTTTGCTTTAAACTACAGATTCCAGCCGTGAGTTCCACCTTCTCACTCTGCGCGAAGAGGTTCTTCTCAGATCCGTCACTGGCTACCTTATACCCTCTCGTCATGGACTCACCACCACCACCAACAACGGCCAAAGTGGAAGGTCTTTTTTTGGGGGGGGCGGTGGAATTTTTAGCGGGGGTGGGGTGCGGGGGGGTTACTGAATTCGGCCACAAAACACAAAGGTACTGTATTTTAAAGTAAATTCCAGCAAAAGCACTTTGCGACGTCTTCCCAACGTGAAAGGCTTGTTGTAAGCATTCTTCATCTTTTCACAAAGTAAAAATGCTTGAGGGTAAATGTGTCCAGGATATGAAATGCAATACAAACACACCCTGTTCCAGACTGCGAACAACCTTTGTGATGTATAAACGTGCTGCAGTATCCTCAGATGTGTGTGTGTGTATGTGAGGGAGAGAGAGAGAGATACACACAGAGAGGCGAAAATGCAATTGAAACAACCAGGGGAAGGTAAGGAGATTGTGAGTGTCAATTCTTGCGAATGTATGTGCGTGTGTATGTATGTGTGTGTGTATGTGTCTGTGTCAGTTTCATGACTGGTCACTTTGCAGATGTCTCACTTTTACGATCTCAAATCTAACCTCTCTTTCAACTTTCCCGAGTTCCAGTCATCGTGTTGTTTAGAAAGGACTAATACGTAAATTTGATTATTTGTTTGTTTTTAAAAAAAACCTTGGCAAAGTCCTTTGTTCCAACGCTTTGATTCCCTCAGTGCTAACTTCACAAGCACATGCAATAATATTAATTATTAATAATTAATAATCCTTGCATTTGATATAGCTCCTTATCACGTCTTCGAGACATCTCAAAGCGCTTCACAGAATATACTGAGAGGGGAATATATTGAGTTCTGACGAATATATATATATTCAATATATTCCCCTCTCAGTATAAACGTTGACTCACTTTCCTCTCTCCATAGATGCTGCCTGATCCGCAGAGTGTTCCCAACAACTTCTGTTTTTGTTATTATAAAGTGTATTGACTGTATATTTTGTGGGCGAAACATGGCAACCAATTGCACACAGCAGTGTCCCACAAACAGCCATGGATTGAGAATGTTTTGAACATTGGATTAAGATTTGTGATAGGTTTTAAAAACTACAATTCAGTGTATTGGGGAACAGCCCAATCAGACCTGTTCCCCCTGTTTGATTTTAGGGAGGGATCTGACCTTAAATTGCTCTGCTGAACAAATTTGTTAAACAGCCTCTACAAATTCCACCACCACAGCTTTCAGAGTTCTACATCTTCGCACCCCTTTGGGTGAAGAAAACAACAACAAGATTCTATTTATAGAGCGCCTTTCACGTCGAGAGGACGTCCCAAGGCGCTGGACAGTTGGGTCAGGACCCGAGCAGTGGGGAAATGGTCAGGGTGAGGGGAGGGAAGTGGGGGAGTGAGGAGGGGGTAGAAAGTCGAGAGGGGAGCCGAAGACTCGGTCAAAGAGAAAGGTCTTGAGACCGGCCTTGAAGGAGGAAAGGGAGGAAGCGGCGAAGGCACTGGGGATAGAGTTCCAGAGCCTCAGGGCTGAGAGGCTGAAGGCCCGGCCACCGATGGTTGGGCGGTTAGGACGGGGGATGTGGAGCAGACCGGAGCCAGAGGAACAGAGGGTACGGGCAGGTAGGTAGGTACGGGCAGGTAGGTAGAAACAGAAAATGAGTCCTGTAGCATATTGGTTAGCACGCTCACCTCGCAAGCGAGAGGACCCGGGTTTGATCCCCGGTCCGGGCAAAACCCTCGGTAAGTTTCCTTATTCCACACCCCTATGGTTACCTAGCAGTGTGCAGGAACTCGGCTTCTGGGGATAATAATCCCTTGAAAAAAATGTAGTCACTCAATCCACGACTAATTGTGGGACGCTGCTGTGTGCAATTGGCTGCCGCATTTCACCACAAAGTGAATTCACCCAAATACAGTCAATTCACTTTACAGTATATCCTGTGAAGCGCTTTGAGACTTTCAACAAGATGACAAGGCGCTATATCAAATGCGAGGATTATTATTATTAATATATCTTGTTAAGTGATTAGTTGAAGCAGAAAGCATCAACGTATTTGAGTGGAAGCTTGATACATTATCATGAAAGAGAAGGGAATAGATGGCTATAGGAGAGGGGAATAGAGGGATATAGGAGAGGTGAATAAAGGGTGTAGGTGAAGAGAATAGATGAGTGTAGGAGAGGCCAATAAAGGGTGTAGGAGAAGGGAATAGAGGGGTAAAGGAGTCAGAATCTGACAGCCAAAGTACCTGTGCCGGCTCTGTGAAAGAGCATTCAACTTGTCTCACTCCCCCACTCTTACCCCATAGCCCTGCACATTTTTGCATTTGACATACCTATCTTAATTCCCTTTTGAAAGCAACTAGCGAATTTGCTCCCACCACCCTTTCAGTCAGTGCATTCCAGCTCATAACAACACTCGTGACTGAAAACATTTCTCTTTGTTTCCCTTCTGGCTCTCATGCCAATTATCTTCAATCTATGTTGCTCTGCATTACCGACCCACCCGACAGAGGAGCATAGCAAGGATTTGAATTCAAACTATCAAGCTCCTCGTCTGCGAGCTGTAGCTCTGTCCATCGGAACAGGTGCTACCCCACAACCCCATTTTTCAGTACTGTTCATACAATTGCAATTTAATAGTAATCCTTGCATTCAACACAACACATTATCACATCGTTGAGACATCTCAAAGAGCTTCACACCGTGAAGAGGATTGACTGCATATTTTTTTCTCTGGGCGAAACTCAGCAGCCAATTGAGGTTTTTTTTTACGGATTATTACCTCTGGAATGCAATCCGCCAATCGATTAATATAACCGGATTCCTACTTTCTGCTAAGCAAACAGAGGCGTGTGGGGTAAGGAAACTTGCCTCAGGTTTCCCCCTGCCCGAGGAGTCCTCTTGTTTGTGTGGTGAGCGGGCTACCCACTACTCTATAGGACACCAATGTGGTCAGACTGAGTCTCTCTCTCTCTCTGGAGAGGAAATATCTCTCTCTCTCTCTCATGTCCAGCCTGTTGATGTACGATTCTCTTATTGTTCCCCAAGCAGCTTCTCATAAGAAATTCTGCGTTTTTCTTGCCATTGCCCTTGCTGTCTCGTGGTACGCGGGTAAGCTGGCTGCAGATGTGGTGTACAGCGGCACTCTCTCCCAGACTGCAAACAAGATATGGAAAATAGCAAAGGAACAAATTCTAAATGGTAGGTCCCTACTCACGGCTTTCCGCGTCCAAGTGGCCCATTTTAGTTGATCTCGAAGCCCCTTTAAGATAACAATAAGTCTAACATGTGGGGGACTTGTAGTAGTTAGCACGCTCGCATGCAGTCAAAATCATTATTTTAATCAATGGTTAAGAAATGCTTATGATGAATAGGCACCCCTTTGATTAATGGTTAAAAATAATAATGTAACTAGAAAAAAGTCAAGATGACTTGTATATTAAAGCTGAAGGTTGTTGAAGATGTTTGTCCATAACAAATTCATGTTCTAATTAAGTGTTGCATTAACAATGAGGTAGTCGAAGAGGTTTTTTCATAACAAATTCATGTCTTAATCAGTATTGTGTTAAAGTGTTTTTCTATAACGAATCTGTAATAATAAAATAATCGTAATAATGCTTGCATTTGATATAGCGCTTTTTACATCTTCTCGACGTCTCAAAGCGCTTCACAGGTTGTACAGTAAAGTGAATTGACTGTATATTTGTGGGCGAAACGTGGCAGCCAATTGCGCACAGCAGTGTCCCACAAACAGCCACGACCAATTTATTATTTTTATTATTGCTTTTTTTCTTGAGGGATTATTATCGAGTAAAGAAACAAACATGCTCAAGGTTTGCCAAGGCCTGTAGGTGTAATAACAATTCTGCAGATTGTATTTTATTATTCTTTTTATGTGAGATAATTGCTCCGCGGATGTGAGAAAGGAAATATTGTATATTTTTATCCTGCCTGTGGCAAATCGATTATAAAAGATGTATGGTGGAACTATACTTTGTTCAGCCTAAGTGCTGTCCACACAAGAGGGTTCAATCCCAGGCGGGACAAAACCTTAGGAAACTTTCCTTACTCCTCACGCCTCTGTTTATCCAGCAGTAAGAAGGTACCCGGTTGATAGTTGATTGGCAGATTGCTTTCCAGGGGTAAACATAAATTTAAAAACTTATTTGTGGGACACTGATTAGCTCAGTGGTTAGAGCACTCGCCTTGCAAGCAAGTCACCTGGGTTCAATTCCAGGTAGAGGGTGAAACCTTGGGCAAGTTTCCTTACTCCACACAGAGCCTAATAATAATCCCTCCAAAACAAAAACAATAATAAATTGGTCATTTTTAGTCCACGACTGTTTGTGGGACACTGCTGTGCACAAGTGGCTGCCGCGTTTCGCCCACCATTATACGGTCAATTCACTTGGCAGTCTATTCTGTGAAGCGCTTTGAGACGTCGAGAAAACGTGAAAAGCACTATATCAAATGCAAGGATTATTATAATATATTATTATTAATCCTGTCGCCCTCCGATTCTGCCTTTCAGTTAAATCAGGACAAACTTATTATTATTATTATTGATATGTTGCCCGGCACCTTTCGCATCAGGAACTACTCACAAAGTGCTTCACGTGCTATACAGTATAGTGACGCTGTGTGTGCGCGAGTGTGTGCGTGAGCGTGTATGTGTGTGTGTGTGTGTGTATGTGTGTGTGTGAAAGAAAGACTGGCTCAGTGGTCTTGCCTCTGAGTGAGAAAGTTGTGGGTTCAAGCCCCAAGTCGGGATTTGAAATCACATAGTCTAAACTGACACTCCAATGCAGTGCTGGGGGGGGGGGAGGCGGGGTGGGGGTGGGTGTGGTGTTGCATTATCAGAGATGCTGTCCTTCGGATGAAACGTTAAACCCCATCTGCCTGTTCAGGTGGATGTTTAAGATCCCACGCTACTATTCGAAAAGAGAAGGGGGTTTCTCTCTGGCCAATAATCCCTCAATTAAACCCACGACCACTCTGACTCAGAGCTGAGTGTGTACCCGACTGAACCAGGCTGACCCCATTAATCAGGCAGGTTGGTAAATTGAGGGACAAATTAGCGGTGTTTCTTATCGTCTTCCTCTTCCCCAGCACGTTCTGTTCCGATCTTCGCAGATCGACGTCCAGTCGAACACAACTGTAGCCACTCCGTGTCATGCTCCAAAGGAATGGCTCCTTTCCTGCTGCTGAGTGGCGTTGCACAAGTCAAGTCTCCGGAGATTTGCTTCCAGAGCAAAGTGTGAGTTAGAAGATTTGGAGTCCTGTAGCTCAGCGGTTAGAGCGCTCGCCTTGCAAGTGAGAGACCTGGGTTCGATTCCCGGCAGGGCGAAACCTTGGGCAAGTTTCCTTAATCCACACGCCTGATGATAATTCTTCAAGAAAAAAAAAATAATTTGGTCACTTCAATCCATGGCCATTTGTGCGCAATTGGCTGCCGCGTTTCGCCCACAAAATATACAGTCAATTCACGTTACAGTATATCCTGTGAAGCGCTTTGAGACGTCTCGAAGACGTGAAAAGCGCTGTATCAAATGCAAGGATTATTATAACTCATTTTAACTGTCATTCAATGCTGGAACCCAATTGAAGCAGAATTTTTTTGGGGGGAGGTGGGGGGTGTTCCCATTCTCAATAACCTAAGACCTAAATATTTATCTATACTAGTAAACCAGCAATGTCTGTCTGTGCTTCAAAAAGGATCTCAATATCCGATTGACGTAGAGACATGATTTATACCTCATCAGAAAAGTCTTGCAAGTGGGAGTGACATGGGCATATTTATTTTTGGGTATCTCCTCTCGTTCATGAGCTATTTGCAGCTTTGGGTTTATCATTCTAGTTATGGGCGCCGAGCCAAAGTGGCCCTGTGACATCGTGCGTCACAGAGCACGTATGTATGTACGCACGCACTGCAGTTACCCCTGGTGCTGCGCCGGCTGACTATGGCGCTGTGGCATCTTGGGTCACAGAGCACCCATGTAGACAAGCGGCGGGAACAAAATACAGAACACAAACGAAGCTAAGTCGCGGCAACAATATTACATTTTTAAAGCACCGAGTCCTCCCACTGAGTCCTCCCAAAAGGAGTCCTCCCAAAAGGAGTCCTCCCAGATGAGTGTAGATAAAGATGAAATGTCTGTCTGTGCGACAATCTACATTCCATATTGGATCCTTTGGTTGAAAGCTAATATATATATAATTATAAAATAAATCTTATACTGCCTTTGGGTACAATTAAAAAAAAATCTCTGAAACACTCTGCTTGCTTTTCCTTTGTTGATGGTCTGGTTAGAGAACTTGAAAGCGAGAGAACCCAGGTTTAATTCCTGGGCAGGGCAAAACCTTAGGCAAGTTTCCTTACTCCTCATGCCTCTGTTTACTTAGCAGTAAGTTGGAAACTCGTTGTTAGTCGATTGGCAGATCGCTCTCCAGAGGTAATAATCCTTCCAAAAAAAAACAATATTATTAATTTAGTCACTCAATCCACGAGTGTTTGTGGGACATGGCTGTGCGCAATTGGCTGCCACGTTTCACCCACAAAATACACAAAATGCATATTCTGTGAAGCACTTGGAGACATCTCAATGATGTGATAAGGCACTACACCAAATGCAACAATGATTATTATTAATAATAACGTATTCCATTCCTTGTGTGAATGCCTTTCAGGGTCATGGGTGAAGTAAAGAGCAACATTGGCGGAGGGATGAACGTGGCTGTCCTGGATGGTGAGTTTTCATTCGGACACAGCAAAGGCTTAATGTTAACTCTGGCTAATGTTAACCCTCGTCGTTGTTGTTGTTAACCCATGTTGACATGGGCAAAGGACGCCAACATGGGTCAAGATCTGGGAAAATGGCATTTGGGTAAAAGTCAGTTAAAGGTCCCCTTTAAGTCAATCCTGTCAATGGCAAGCTATGTAGTTTTAGCTGGTTACAATACAAATTTGCACTTATAGCACACTTTTTATATCAGTAGGACGTCCCGATAACTTTCGTGAGAGTAATTTTATTCATTAAAATTCAAACGGTGTCTTTAATCCTGTCGCCCTCCGATTTTGCCTTTCAGCTAAATCAGGACAACCTCTACACACCAAATATTTCAACATGTGGGACGAAGGTAAGATGGACCCTTTAGTATCAACACCACACCTGTCAGCCTGGCTCACTGGTAGCGTTCTCTCACCTCTGAGTCAGAAGGTTATGGGTTCAAGCCCAACATAAGGACTTGGAATCGCATAGTCTAAGCTGACGCTCCAATGCAGCGCTGGGGAGATGTTGCATTATCAGAGCTGCCGACCTTCAGATGAGACATTAAACTATGGTCCTGCCTGTTCAGGCAGATGTTAAATGATCCCGCGGCGCTATTTGAAAAGAGGAGGCAGTTTCTCTCTCCCGGTGTCCTGGCCAACAACTCCCGCCAAATCAAATTGGTCCATGGCTGTTTGTGGGACGCTGCTCTGCTCAGTTAGCTGCCGCGTTTCGTCCACAAAATACACAATCACTCCACTTTGCAATACATTGCGTGAAGCGCTTCTGAGACGCCTCAACGATGTGATAAGGAGCCACATCAAATGCAAGGATTATTATTGTTATTATTAAGGTTTCACCAGGACCTCTCTCTAAATCTAAGTCTTTGGCTTTCACTGGCAGATAACTCGGGACCTCTGGTTACATTTCTGAAAAGAGCTCCGAGTAGGTCAGTGATCCTGATGGTTATGTCCAACGATGGCTCCACTCAGTGAGTGTACTTACCATAGAACAAATATTTCGGACAAAAAATACACAGTCACTACACTTTACAGTGTATTCTGTGAAGCGCTTTGAGACGTCTTGAATCGAATGCAAGGATTATTATCAACTCCGCACTCCATTAGCCCAATAAGTGCAGATATCGGGCTCTCTTATGTATTGCTGTTTGGTCTTATAAGCAAGACAACAGACATGTCAGCCTGGCACAGTGGTAGCACACTCGCCTCTGAGGCAGAAGGTTGTGGGTTCGAGCCCCCACTTCGGGACTTGGAATCACATAGTCTAAGCTGACGCTCCAATGCAGCGCTGGGGGAGGGGGGTGGTATTGCATTGTCAGCGGTGCCGTCCTTCGGATGAGACATTAAACCAAAGTCCCGTCCTCTTGTTCAGGTGGATGTCAAAGATCTTGTCACGATGTCCTGGTCAACAACTCCCCCAATTAAACGCACTCCACGGCTGTTTGTGGGACATTGCTGTGCGCAAACTGGCTGCTGCATTTGCCTCCAAAACACGCAGTCACTGTATTTCACAGTAAATCCTGTGAAGCGCTTTGAGACGTCCTCCCAAAGTTATAGGCGTCTATTATTAGATGCAAGAATTATTATTTTGACACGCAATCAGTTTTACGCTTCGTTGAGCATGTTTATTGGGCAGTAATTCCTGATGTGAAGTGAGGTTTTGACCCCCTCTCGTTCATTTCTTCTCTTTTTGCTCCAAGGCTCTCGAAGGCAGCCAGGAATTACATAAGGCTGTTGGGCAGCAGCCAAATACAGCAACTGAAATCCAGCGGAAACTGGGTTTTCATCGGAACCAAGGGAATCTCGCTGCCCAAGGAGATGATCAGGGAGAAGGTTTGTGAGCTGGAAGATTTTGGCCGGGGTGTCTGACACACGCGGAAACCCAGCACCGTGCTTAAGAGTATCCAAACCAAGCTGAGAATTCCACGTATCCCACCGACACATGGAAATCCCAGAGATAGATTATTCGAACGGAATGACCACTCTCTCTCCCTGGAAGCATGCATCCTGGTTACCTAATTCCGGAGAGTATTAGGCGCAGGTTGGCAGGAACCCTAGCTAAGCTGTCAAGCGCCTTGAGACATCTCTCCGATGTGAAAAGTGTTGTATAAATGTAATTTGTTGTTGGTGGTGTTCGTCTTGCCTACAATAATATTGATGATAATATTAATGATCTTTGCACTTGATACAGCGTCCCTGACAACAACAACAACTTGGATTTATATAGCGCCCTCCATGCCGGACGGCATCTCAGAGCGCTTCACAGTAACGGATCCCGGGACCGAGCCGGGGGGACGGGGGAAGGGGGAGGAAGACGTGAAAGCGCTGTATCAAATGCAAGGATCATTATTATTTTATGACCCGGGAAGAGTAACAACCTATTTGTGTGTGCCCTTTGCTTGTGTTTTATCAGATTACCCACAGACAAAGAACCAATATTAAATACAAAGACTGGATCAGCGAGATCTACCTGGAGGGCTGCTTCCCGTTGAAGACATTCAAAGACATCTGAAGGACTCATCGGTCAGTCCCTACAAATCCAAGTCTTAGGCACCTCCTCATCTTCAGTGAGGCACAGGAACCATCTTAAAATTTAAGAGGATCACATAACCAGACTGACCACCGCTCAAAGTCTCAAGGCCAATGAAACACATCATTAGCGGAAACTCGGAAAATGTAAAAGCCGCTGATCCCACTGTTTTAGTTACTTGCAATTGTAGATTCCTGTAGCTCTGTGGTTAGAGCACTCGCCTCGCAAGCGAGAGCATATGGGTTTGTTTCCCGGGCAGGGCGAAACCTTGGGCAAGTTTCCTCGCTCCACACGCCTAACAATAATCCCTCCAAAAAAAAACAATAAAAAAAATTAGTCATTTTCAATCCACGACTGTTTGCGGGGACGTTGCTGTGCGCAATTGGCTGCTGCTTTTTGCCCACGAATATACGATCAATGCACTTTACAGCATATTTTGTGAAGCGCTTTGAGATATCTAGGAGACGTGCAAAGCGCTATATCAGATGCAACGATTATTATTATTATCAAAATAAATAACTTGGTCACTCAATCAATCCATAACTGTTTGTGGGACACTGCTGTGCGCAATTGGCTTTCATCTTTGGTACAGTCAATTCACTTTACAGTATATTCTCAACGATGTAATAAGGCGCAATATCGAATGCAAGGTTTGTTATTATTATTATGGATGGTGTGTGTGATCAGCCCTGGTTGCCCCAAATTGGGTGACCGTTTGCGTTTTAATTTACCTTATCTAAAGGGGTTACTGTGGCCGAGGCCAGGACCCTGGGACCCTCTTAACAATAGCTCCAAGTTGTGATGGGAGGATGGTGGGAATGGTGGGATGAGATCGAATGGGCTGGAGGGCCTGCTTCATGTGTTCTTTTGAAGGTGGGTGTTGGTGTCTGATGTTGCCACGAGATGGCGATATCCTACAATGTTTAAATCAATATCTTCAAGAACTTCCTGCGAAATTTTGTGTTGAGGATTTTTTGGGGGCTGAGCCGGGTGTCTGACACGTGCAGAAACCCATCGCCGTTGCTTAAGAGTCTCCAAACCAAACTGAGAATTCCACGTCTCCCACCTACACATGGGAATGCCAGAGATAGATTGTTGGAATGGACTGCGCACTCCCTCTCTCCCTAGAGGGATGCATCCTGCTCACCTTCAAGTCCCTGCACTCCTCTGCACCCCCCCCCCACCACCTCTCTGACCTCCTCTCTCCTCAGCACAGTACCCGTTGCCTTCGTTCCTCCGGGTCTGACCTCCTCCTTGTCCCCCGAGTCCTCCACTCCACCTTCGGCGGCCGTTCCTTCAGCCATTACGCCCCGAGGCTCTGGAACTGCCTTCCTCACTCCCTTCATCTCGCTCCCTCCCTTCCAATTTTCAGGTCTCTGCTGAAGACCTTTCTTTTCGACCGTGCCTTCGGTCACTTTCCCACCCCTCCCCCTGGCTCGGTCCCGGGATCTGAAACTGTAAAGCGCTCTGAGACGCCGTCCGGCATGGAGAGCGCTATATAAATCCAAATTGTTATTGTCGTAGTAATTTCAGAAAGTATTAGGCGCAGGTTGGCAAGAGCCAAGGCTTGGGGACCCCAGAGTGTATCTTGGGGTAACTGCTGGAGTCTATTTAGCTAAAACCACGTAGGTTGCCATTGATAAGCTTTCCCGCTGCTCGTCCAGCTAGGACCACCCTCCTGTTAGGGCTTATCTGGTTAACAAGAGCAGAGTGGGAAGATTTCCTGCATATGAGACGGGCTGGGCTGACATCAGCAGTGCCTTGGAATACTGCCGTCTCGAGTGGTTGAGGAACCTGACTCGTGAGACCGCCGCAGAGAGCCAAACAAGTGTCCTGACTGAGTATTTTGTATGCGAACTCAGGAGCCAATTCATGCTGGAGAGAGCGCTGCCAGAGATGCCTCCTTAATGAGAAGTTAAACCGAGGCCCGTCCGTGCCTGTTCAGGTGGACTTCAATGATCCTGCGGCACTATTGGAAAAGAGAAACTCTCCCAGTGTCTACAGTGACTCACTCCCCACCCCCCACCGCCCCCCCCCCCTCCCGCCCCGGACCCTCTATACCTCGAAATGTAAGACTCCAGTAGAGCAATTTGGCAACAACAAATTACATTGGTACAGCACCTTTCATGTCGGGAGGACGTCCCAAGGTCGTGGACAGTCAGGGATTTGGACCCAAGCTGAGGGTTGGGATCAGGAGGGGTGGAGGGCAGGGAGGGTGGGGTTAGGGAGGGTGGCCGAAGAGGAGGGTCTTGAGACGGGCCTTGAAGGAGGAAAGGGAGAGGGCGGGGCGAAGGGACTGTGGGATGGAGTTACAAAGGGTGGAGGTAGAAAGGCTAAAGGCCCACCCGCCGATGGGGGAGCGGGCAGGGCGGGGACGTGGAGCCTGCTGAGTGGAGGGAGTGGACAGGTCGTTGTGCGGTTAGTAGGTCATAGAGGTAGGGCTCACACGTGCAACAGCAACCCAGCAAGGGAGAGCCAGACCAGGAGCAGAGAGAGACGTGGGATAAATTCAGAAATTTACAGCACAGAAGAAGGCCAGAATGCAAGGATTTATATATAACATATATATATGATACACACACACATATATATATATGACATACACACACATATATATGACACACATATATATGACATACACATATATATAAGATACACCCATATATATATGACATGCATATATATAATATGTATATAGAACACACATATATATATATATATATATATAAAAAAGTCAGAACTGTGGAAAATTCGTATTTAACTAGAAGCCAGTTTCTTTTAAGAACTGGGGGAAAACTCGCTTCCAAATAAAACATTCCAAAGAGAGGGGATAGGTGTATGAACTCAAAACCCTTTTATTCAACTTTTAGAGACAAGTTAACGTGCGACAGAGCATTGGAAAGCACTGGACCCTTTGATACGGTCAATACCATCTGAAAAACGGTACATGAGGAATAGCGTACACATTGCATAAAGTCATCACTGAACACACCAGGAACGCAATATAAATGCACCGTAAATTGAACCTCTGTAGTGTTCCAACAGATGGGTAGGGAGTGTGGGTGGGTGTCGCATGTCAGCCTGGCTTGGTCGGTAACGCTCTCCACCTCCGACTCAGAAGGTTGTGAGCTCCCAACCCCATGTCAGGACACTGAACTCACAGACAGGCTGACACTCCAGTGTTCCAGGGTTAGACGGTGGGAGGGGAGAGGGGGTGGGAGGGGGGGTGGGCATCTACAACAATAACAACAAGGAGTAAATCTATACAACACCAGCAACTTGGGTTTATATATCGCCTGGGGAAGCGTCTCGGAGCATTTAAACAGTGGTAGTGCCTGGGAGGAGGTGACCGTAGGCACGGTCGAAGACAAAGGTCTTCTGGCGTGATCTGAAGATGGGGAAGGAGGGGGCCAAGGCGGAAGGAATGAGGGAGAGAGTTTCCATAGTTTCAGGGTGTAGTGGATGAAAGCTGGACTGTCGAGCTTTCGTCCACTACACCCGCTCAGCAGACTCCGGCCAGCTCCACGTCCCCGCCCTGCCCTGCCCGCTCCACCATCAGCGGTCGGACCTTTCATGGAGCAGAGGGGAGGGAATGATGGGCAGACAGAGCCAGCTGAGTGGAGGCAGCAGGTGGGTATTGGAGTGAGGAGTAAGCAGGTTGGAGAGGTAGGGAGGTGTAATGAAATGAAAATGAGCTTGAGGATCTTGCAATCGATCATTGGTAGGTAGGCGATATAATTAATAATCGTTGCATTTGATACAGTACCTTATCACGCCTTCAAGACGTCTCAAAGCCCTTCACAGAATACACTGTAAAGTGAATTGACTGTATATGTTGTGGGTGAACTGCGGCAGCCAATTGCCTACGTCAGTGTCCCACAAACAGTCGTGAATTGAGTGACAATTTATTATTTTTTTTGAAGGAATTATTACCCCGGAAAAGCGATCCACCTAACAACCAAGTTCCTACCTACTGCTAAGTAAACATAGGTGTGTGGAAACTTGCTCAACCTTTCGCCGTGCTGGGAATTGAACGAGGTGAGTGCTCGTTAGACACTGAACTACGGGAGAGAGGGAGGGAGGGAGGGAGGGAGCGAAGGAGCGAGGGAGCCTGGCAAAGACTGGGGTGATGGGGGTCTGGACCAGAGTTTGACGCAGGCGAGGATTATGGGTGGCTTCAAGCCTCAGCACCGAGTTAGGATCTGCCGTGCTTTGACCAGCCTCTCCAGGCGGTTTTGGAGGATCATCCTCTTCTCAGCGATGATGTCCTCTTCCAGCAGCAGGTCCTCCACGCCCTCCTTGTTGTGCAGGAAGCCCAGCATCTCTTTCTGCACCTCACTGGCCGCCTCCTGCAGCAGGTAGAAGCGGACCACCATGGGAATCAGGTCAGCCAACCGGCCTGAAGCAATCTGACGGATCAAAGGAGAGCGACCGTGAGCATAATCTTGTCCACACAATATTAAATAATAATCCTCGCATTTATTACACAACGCCGAGCCTCAGGGAGGTGGCTGCAGGCACGGTCGAAGAGAGAAGTACTCAGACGCGACTTGAAGATGGGGAAGGAGGGGGCGAGGCGGAGGGATACAGGGAGAGTGTTCCAGAATTTCAGGACGTAGCGGCTGAACTTGCAGCTGAAACCGATGGTGGAACAGAGGGCAAAAGAGACAAGCAGGAGGCCGGAGCCAGTCGAGCGGAGGCAATGGATAGTGGATTGGGGGAGTAAGCAGGTCGGAGAGCTGGTGAGGTGCCAGGGCATGAAGGGATTTGAAGACGAGTTGGAGGAGCTTGAAGTCGAAACCCCAATTTTATCCAGGGCACAGTTGGCCAGGAGTATTGTCACGTGTCGGTATTTATCAGCTTCGAACACTCACCTGAAAGTAAGTTAACAGATGGATGGACATTGCAGTGGCATCAGCATCAACAGAAATAAGTAGTCTCTCTGGATTGAGGTCACTTGACATTTGCGGTTTGGGCCAATTGTCCTGGGTTTGGTTTAGTTTATTGCTGTACATGGTGTCTTGGGTGTAGACCATCTTTTCCATTTTAAAGACTATCCTCAGCAACTCCTCCGCCACCATCTCCTGCTTCTGACGGATTTCATCAATCTTGCTCTGGGCAGGTGTGAGTGGAGGGAGCGGAAGGGGGTTAATCGGAAAGAGAAAGCATCACTTTTTTTCAATCCTGACATTTGATACATTTCTTCCCCGGAGATATCAATGGCAAGCTTTGCGATTTTAGCTGGTTAGACCCCAACGCAAACTCTGGGTCCCCAAACCTTGGCTCTTGCCAACCTGTGCCTAATACTTACCGGAATTAGGTAAGCAGGATGCGTCCCTCCAGGGAGAGAGAGAGTGCGCATTCCATTCTAACAATCTATCTCTGGGATTTCATGTGTGGGTGGGATGCAGGGAATTCTCAGTTTGGCTTTGGAGACTCTTAAGCACAGCGATGGTTTGCCACATGTGTCAGACGCCCGGCTGACCACAACAAAATCTTTCCCAAAGAACATCTCAAAACGCTTCACAGGATTTACACTTAAGTGTAGCAGTGACTGTCTTGGCACAGCCAACAACCCTGCGCTGGTGGCTTTATCCTGCCCTTTACCAAGGACAGCAACCATAGAGATCATGTTCTTACCTCAACCCATTCATCCATCACGTACCTTGGTAAGTTTAATCAAATTCGGAAACCCCTCAAAATGTTCCAGAGCCAATCTGTTCAACACTGACTGCACATGCTCTGTGAAGATAATCGAGAGAGTGCTTGGTTAGGTAAAATTCATAGGAACAGGAGTCGGACATTCAGAACCCGGATAGCAGGACACAGGATAGTGTCTCGTAGCGCTGCACAGGAGTTGGGTTGGAAGCCAAGCGAGGCAGAGGCTTAAGGAGGGAGTAGGCCATTCAGTCCCTCAAGCCTGTTCCACCATCCGATAAAATCAGATTAGGCTGATCTGTACCTCCACTCAAATTAGCCGCCTTTGTACCGTATTCCTTGATATCCTGACCTAACAAACATCTATTCACCTCAAGTCTTGAAAATGTGAATGGATCCAGCATCCACGACCTTTTGGGGGAGAGAATTCCAGATTTCCACTGCGCTTTGTGTGAAAAACTGCTTCCCGTTTACTCCTAAATGGCCTGGCTCTAATTTTAAGGAGATGCCCCCCCTTGTTCTGCATTCCCAAACCAGAGGAAATAGTTTTTCTGTATCTACCCTATGGAATCCCTTTATCATTTTATAAACACCGCAATCAGATCACCCCGCCCCCCCCACCCCACCCAATCTTCTAAATTCAAGGGAATACAAGCCGAGTTTATGCAACTTATCCTCGTAATTTAACCCTTTAAACCCTGGTATCATTCTGGTATAATTCAAGCCTTAATATCCTGGGAACATTCCCTTCATTGCCACCCATCCTCATCAGGGGATTGATTTCCAGATCTTAGTCCCAGGCTTCAGAGCAGATCCAGACAAAAAAAGTCTCTCTAATGCCTGGTTGCTCACGAGTCGTGCGAGTGTCAGCCTGACTCTCTCCTTAGAGTCAGAAGGTTGTGGGTTCAAGCCCCATGTCAATCTAATCTGACACCCCAATGCTGGGGGAGGGGATTGCATTGTCGGAGATGGCATCCTTTGCGTGAGATGTTAAACTGAGGTCCCATCTGCCTGTTTAGACGGGCGTTAAAGATTCCACTGCACTATTCCTCAAGAGAAGGATGTCCAAGCCTAACAAATAAAATAAAAATCGTTCGTTCACTTCATGGATGTGTGTGGGACACTGTTGTGCACAACTGTGGCCACGTTTTGCCCAAAAAATGCAATCCACTTTACAGTATCTCCCGTGAAGCGCTTTGAGACGTCGCCACGATGTGAAAAGGTGCTATATCAAATGCAAGGATTATTATTGTTATTTTACCTGCGATCTCCTTCAGTAACATAAGCGAAGGCTCCTCCAACTTCATGATCTGAGTCTTGGCCAGTGACTCAAATATTCTGTAGTTTGTGAATCCGGGTAATTCTCTCCCACGAGACTTCTCGGTATACTCGAGCACCTTATTTTCCATGATCTCCTTAACTGGAACAATAACAAGAGCCATCAATGCACCAGCCTGGCTCAGTCAGTAGCGCTCTCGCCTCTGAATCAGAGGGTGGTGGGTCCAAAACCCCGCACCACCAGTAGGGGCTTGGAACTCACGCAGTCTGAACTGACACTGCAAGATCCCGCCTGCCTGTTCAGGTGGATGTTAAATATCCCGCGGCGCTATTCGAAAGAGAAGGGAGTTGCTCTCTCCCGGTGTCCTGGCCGACATTTCCCTAATAAAATTGGTCACTCGCTCCGTGGCTGTTTGTGGGATGTCGCTGGGCACAAATCGGCTGCCGTGTCCGCCTACAAAATGCACCACTAGTCACTACACTTTTCGGTAAACTCCTGTGAAGGGTTGAAAGACGTCCTCCCGACGTGAAAGGCACAGCACCAAATGGAAGGATTATTTATCAATCGGCTGCGATTGAAGGGGGGGCAAATTCAAAACAAATCTGGGGAAACACTTATTTCAGCGAGCAAGTAGTAACTGTATGGAACAGGTTGCCTAGGGAGACGGTGGAAGCAGAAAGTGTTGATTCTTTCAAGAACAAATTAGATAGATTTCTGTTGGGAAACAATATTTCGGGATACGGTATATAGTTCAGGACACTGTTATTTCCTACCTTTTGGAACTCCATCCCACAGTACCTTTGCTTCATTCCCTCCCTTTCTTCCTGCAAGGCCAGTCTCAAGACCTGCCTCTTGGACCGCGCCTTTGGTCACCCTCCTGTGCCTACCCTCCTGATCCCAACCCCCAGCTCTGGTCCAAATCCCTGACTGTCCAACACCTTGGGATGCCCTCCCGACATGAAAGATACTGTACTTCTTGTTATTGTTGTTGTAAACTCACATTCGTCTTCACTCTTATTCAGGTGCTCACGCCATTCTCCAAAGCTGCTTCGTGCCACTGTGTACAGTTTATCCTCGTCTCTGTATTCCTTTGAGTATTCGCCCAAAGTTACGCTGAAGATGTCCTCGGTGTAGGCTCGTAGTTTCTGTATTGAAAATGGAGAAAATAAGTCTCCGTCTAAGACCTGTAAACGTAGTGGTTAGCGCAAGCGAGGGGACCGATACCTGGGCGGGGCAAAACCTGAGGCAAATTTCCTTGCTCGTCTCTCCTCTATTTACCTAACAGTAAGTAGGAACCTGGTTGTTAGTTGATTGACAGATCATTTTACGGGGATAATAATCCCTCAAGAAAAAATTGCCCACTCAATTCTTGACTGTTTGTGAGACACTGCTGTGCGCAGTTGGCTGTCGTGTTTTGCCCACAAAATATACAGTCAATCCATTTGACAATATATTCTGCGAAGCACTAGGATTATTTATCATTATCATAAATCTTTCCTCAAAACTGATCATGTCCGGAGGATGTCCCAAGGCGCTGGAAGCTTAAAGGTTTGCACCTGAGCTGGCGGTTGGAATCAAGAGGGTGGGTGGAGGGGTGGGGGGGGGGGCAGTGGGTGGCGTGAGGGTAGGAGTATGACCGAAAGCACGGTCAAAGAAAAAGGTCTTGAGACCACGGGCGTTGAAGGAGGCAAGGGTGGAGGTGAGGGAGCGGAGGGGCTCCAGGATAGTGTTCCAGAGGTGGGGGCAGAAAAGCTGAAGGCCCCGACCGCCAATGGTCGGGTGGGCACGTAGCTGGTCAGTGCCCGCCAATCAGAGAGAACAGACAGGTTGGTACAGTCTTAATAGGTCGCAGAGGAGTGCCAGCCTAGGCTGCGAAGTTCTGACGTGGAGGCTTGAACCCACAACCTTCGTGACTCAGAAGAGGCCAGAGTGCTACCGACTGAGCCAGGCTGACTGACTCCTTAACCCAACCCCGTTTAAAACAAAAGAGCTCACATTTTCTTCATTCCCAAGTAAAAGTTGACTTTGTTTCAGAACTTACATCGATAAGATAGGGGATTTTATCGTCCTCATCCTCTGGTACTCCTGATCCGAGCGTGTCCAACTCCTTGTTCGTTTCAGCAATTCTGCCCCGGACTTCATTCTCAATAATTGGCAGAGTTCTCTTTGAAGCGAATAAAAGGGTGTGAAAATCGGCAGTTAATTAACAGTAAATAATCCCGTGCACATCCTGACCCGTCGACACATGTGCACTTACCGGCTGCATTGAATTACGCACACGCGGGTTATTGCTTATTGATTTGATACAAATGATATAGTTTGTCTGCAACTCGAACTTAGCGAAAGTCGTATTTAAATGTTACGGTTCCGACTGATAATGACTTGTGCGCGTTTTACTGTAATTAGCAAATAATAATCCTTGCATTTGATATAGCGCTTTTCACGTCTTCCAGCGTCTCAAAGCGCTTCACAGATCAAGGCTCGATTACGGGAACTCCCTGCTCATCGGCCTTCCCAACTCTTCCCTTCACAAGCTGCAGATCATCCAAAACTCTGCAGCTCGTGTACTCTCGCGCACCAGGCTCCGTGACCCCATCACTCCCACCCTCGCCCGACTCCACTGGCTCCCCATCCCCCACAGGATCGAGTTCAAGATCCTCGTCCTCAACTTTAAGGCCATCCATGGCATTGCCCCCTCCTACCCCTCTGACCTGCTGACTCCCTACCAACCTGCCCGCTCCCTCCGTTCATCGGGCTCCGGTCTGCTCCATGTCTCCCGCCCGACCCGCCCTACCATCGGTGGCCGGGCTTTCAGCCTCTCTGACCTCACGCTCTGGAACTCCATCCCACGATCCCTTTGCATAGCTTCCTCCCTCATCTCCTTCAAGGCCGGTTTCAAGAACCTTCTCTTCGATCGTGCCTTTGGTCTCCCTCCCACCTTTCTGCCTTCCCTCACCCCTACACCACCCCTCCCCCATGCTCGGGCCCTGACATCTGACTGTTCAGCGCTTTGGGACGACTTCCCGACATGAAAGGCGCTCTATAAATATAATTTTGTTGTTGTATGTTGTAAAGTGAATTGACCGTATACTTGTGGGCGAAATGCAGCAGCCAATTGCGCACAGTAGCGTCCCACAAACAGTCATGGATTGAAAATGACCAATTTATTATTCTTTTTGTTTTTGGAGGGATTATTATTAGGCATGTGGAGTAAGGAAACTTGCCCAAGGTTTCGCCCTGCATGGAATTAAACCCAGGTGTCTCGCTTGCAAGGCGAGTGCTCTAACCACTGAGCTACAGGACTCCGTTTAAGTTTATCTTGGGGTGGGTTTCTGGGTCAGGGTACCGAGAGAAACTCCCTTATTCTTTCTGAGTAGCTCGAGATAACTTTACCGTCCACCTGAACAGGCACAGACGGGACCTCGGTTTAACGTCTCATCCGAAGGACGGCACAGGCAGAGAAAGTGACTGACCCTGATCTGGGAGACGAGTTCGGTGGTGAGTCGGGATGCCACGTATTGGATCGATGCCAACCTTTCTTCCAATAGGCCCCTGTAATTAGGAGGCAGAAAACCACGTCACCTTATTCAATGTAATCAAACTCAGCCCTTAAGAAGGAAATTGTCAGACAGTGCTCTCTCTCAATGGCAAGCTAATGTGGTTTTAACTGGTTAGACTCCAGCAGTTCCCCCAACGCACACTCTGGGGTCTCCCAAGCCTTGGCTCTTGCCAACCTGCGCCTAATACTTTCCAGAATTAGGTAAGCGGGATGTGTCCCTCCAGAGAGAGAGAGAGAGAGAGAGCGCATTCCATTCCAACAATCCATCTCTGGGATATTTCCATGTGTAGGTGGGATGCAGGGAATTCTCAGTTTGCTTTGGAGACTCTTAAGCACATCTCGCCCGTGGACTAACCTGCCTATCCCTCAGCGCGAGTCCTACCTGAAATGCACATTTTTCTTGAAGAAAGCCTTTTCGCTCTCCACTGCCTCAGCCAGGGTCCGTTTTTCATTGATGTCTCTCTGCCCTCGGCACTTCACGACCATGTACCCTTTCTTCAGAGCCACGACCTCATTTCGCATGACTTTAAGGACAGTCTCCTCCGTTCCGTTGTCAACCAGGTCCGGCTTCGTTAAGATACCTGCACATTCAAACACCGATGACGTCACACCTATAGCACTTACATTTTTGGAGAGTAGAGGGGGTGTGGGGGGGGGCGGGTGGGGAGAGGGGAGGGGGCGTTGAAGATTGCACCATGTGATAAGTACCCACAAAATACACATATTTGCACCATTTTTTGTAATACATCCTGTACTATGTCAAATGCCAGGATTATTATTAAAATGGAAGTTGCGATCCTTTTCTGTCCCTAATTTAATAATAATAATAATAATAATAATCCTTGCATTTGATATAGCGCTTTATCATGTCTTCAAGACGTCTCAAAGCGCTTCACAGACTACACTGTATATTTTGTGGGCAAAACGCGGCAGCCAGTTGCGCACAGCAGCGTCCCACAAACAGTCGTGGATTGAGTGTACCAAATTAGAATCTTTTTTTGAAGGGATTATTATTCTCTGGGAATGCGACCAGCCAATCGACTAACAATCGGGTGTCAACTTACTCTTAAGTAATACAGAGGCGGGTGGGACTTTGCCGTGCACAATCGGCTGCCGAGTTTCGCCCACAAAATACAGTCAAATCACTTTATAGGGCGCTGTATCAAATGCAAGGATTATTATTATTATATCTAATCCAGAGCCAAGTCTCTCAGCTAAAGCCTGGAGAAAGGTTGGGGCTTTGATATTACCTAACGTTCTCTCTCCTGAAGGGTCAGCCAACTGGGCCATCTTCAAGGCCTCGGTGGTTGCTATGTCAACATTGCAGGGGATGACCACCAGGTTAATGGTCTTATCTTCTTCAATGTAGGAACTAATCAAGTCTTTGATCTGCAAAGCAAACATATTTGTTAATGGAAACAGATGACAGCATCCAAACCAGACTGAGAGTTCCACGTATGTACCCGTGGGAATTTTTCGTATCTGGAACGGAATGCGCACTCTCTGTTCCTGGAAGGACACACAACCTGTTTGCCTAAATCTGGAGAGGATTAGGCGCAGGTTGGCAAGAACCAAGGCTTGGGGGCACACCCCAGATTGTGTCTTGGGGGTAATTGCTGGAGTCTAATCAGCTAAAGCCGCATAATTTCCCATTAATAAGCAGCGGCCCGCGAGCTTTCCTGCTGCTTGTCCAGCTAGGACCACCCTAACCGTTTGGGCTTTGACTTGCGGGGTTAACGGGAGCCGAGTGGGAAGAATCCCTGCTCCCAGTGCCTTGCCCAGCCCTGCTCATGAGGCTGGTCTATCATCAGCAGTGCCCTGGAGATGGACAGACAGGCAGGTGGGCAGGCAGAGGGCGCTGGAGAGATACAGACAGAGACACGGAGGCCCTGGAAGAAGAGAGAAAGGACCTATATGCTTTCAAGCCTATTCAGTACTAAATACAGTAAAACTCACATCAGTAATGAGACGTACGCAAAGTCTGAGTTGCAGGCAAACTGTATGAATCGTATATAATCTGATTTAATCAATGATCTGCTCTGCGCTTGTGCAATTCAATGCAGCCATATGGGGTGATGGGTTAAGACTAAGGTGCCCGCGATTCAATGCAGCCGGTAAGTGGGGAGGTAATGGAGGGCAGGGAAGCAGTGTTAGGAGTTAGGAGGTGATTAATACGAGTGCGCAAAGAAATCTAAGTGGGTTTGATAGGAAACCGAATGGGACTCGGGTGCCCGTCCGACTTACGTGATTTATAAAGCTACGATTTACGCGAGTTTTACTCTTATCATTGAGCCGGCTGACCTGACATCAATCTCCACCACCCGGACCATCACCTAAGTTACCTGGTCCCCGATATCCTGTGGCTGGTTTCCCACGGCAACTCTGGCAATCCCGGGCAAGTCTATCAACGTGAGGTCCGGAGCATTGCTCGACTCTACTTCAAGGCTGATCAGCTCGGAGCTGATGCCAAGGTCCCGGCCGGCCATGGTGTTCTGGCCTGTCAACAGATTCCCCCAAAAACACACAATCCTCAGCCCTGACAACACGTCCGCAAAATACGCAGTCATCGGAGTAAGGAAACTCTCCCTAGGTTTCGCCCCGGGCGGGAATCGAACCCAAGTTCCTCTCGCTTGCGAAGCGAGTGCTCTAACCAATACGATATGTTACGGGGCACCAAAAATCAACCCATCTTTTTTTTTATTAAAAAAAAAGGGAGAAAAAAATACGTAACAAGATAACAGCGACGACAACTTGCACTTCTATAGCGCCCCTCGCGCGGGTTGGCGTTCCAGAGCACTTGACAGTGGGTGGGGGCCTGATCCCAAGCCGGGGGAGGGGAGGAGGGGGTAAGTGGTGGGAGGAAGGAGGGTGCCACAAGCACTATTAATTATTAAAATTAATTGTTAAAATTAACTATTGATTATTATAACCAACGCAGAATGTTCCATCCACACACCGCCCACCTTTCATGATCTCTTGGTCCACTTCGTCTGGGTCAGTCAGGTCCTTTGTGTAGTTTTTGTAGCTAATCCGCCCCTTCCAAACGTTCTCCCCCTTAGCCTTTTTCAGTCTGAGCTCGAGAGGGCATCTCGTCACAATACCTGGGGCAGAGAGAGAGAGAGAGCAGCCCACAGTGAGCATTTACCCCATCCCCTCCTCCGCTTCCTTACCAACCCACCCTCCTCTCTCCGCTCTTTAATATTAATAATAATAATACTAATCCTTGCATTTGATACAGCGCCTCATCACGTCTTCGAGACGTCTCAAAGTGAACCGACTGAGTATTTTGTGGGCGAAACGCAGCAGCCAATTGCGCACGGCAGCGTCCCACAAACAGCCGTGGATTGAGTGACCAACGTATGATTATTATTTTATTTATTCGTTTATTTTTGGACGCGATTATTACACTTGAAAAAAAACGGAAAAGCGATCCACCATTCGACTGACCACCGAGTTTCAAGTTATTTCTAGGTAAACAGAGGCACGTGGAGTAAGCAAACTTGCCTAAGGTTTCGTCCTGCCTGCCTGGGAATCTAACCCGACTGTCATTCGATTGACTGCGCGGAGGGAAGGGAATGTGTCTTACCGCTCCCTCTGGGCAGCGACACCCCAGACAGCGCCTCCAGCACAGAGCTCTTCCCCGAGCTCTGGTCCCCGATTACAGCGATGGCCGGCAGGGACAGGTCTTGATCCACCCCCAGTGCCCTCAGCGAGTCGATGAGGTCAATGCTGGGTCTAATCTTCTCCTCGTAGTGGTTGTACAGTACGGCGTCCATCTTAGCTGGGAAAAGGCACTTCTGACCGCGCAGCTATAACACATTTACAGAGAGAGAGAGAGAGAGAGAGAAAAGGGGAGGGAGAGTGTTAAATGATTTGATTTCAAGATCCTCATCCTCACCTACAAGGCCATTCACGGCCTCGCTCCCTCCTACCTCTCCAACCTACTATCCCCCTACCTACCTGCCCGTACCCTCCGTTCCTCCGGCTCCGGTCTGCTCCACGTCCCCCGCCCCAACCGCCCTACCATCGGTGGTCGGGCCTTCAGCCTCTCAGCCCCCAGGCTCTGGAACTCCATCCCTCAGTGCCTTCGCCGCCTCCTCCCTCTCCTCCTTCAAGGCCGGTCTCAAAACCTTTCTCTTTGACCGAGCCTTCAGCTCCCCTCTCGACTCTCTACCCCCTCCTCGCTCCCTCCCTTCCCTCCCCTCACCCTGACCATTTCCCCCCTCCTCGCTCCCTCCCTTCCCTCCCCTCACCCTGACCATTTCCCCCTCCTCGCTCCCTCCCTTCCCTCCCCTCACCCTGACCATTTCCCCCCTCCTCGCTCCCTCCCTTCCCTCCCCTCACCCTGACCATTTCCCCCTGCTCGCTCCCTCCCTTCTCTCCCCTCACCCTGACCATTTCCCCCCTCCTCGCTCCCTCCCTTCCCTCCCCTCACCCTGACCATTTCCCCCCTGCTCGGGTCATGACCCAACTGTGCAGCGCCTTGGGACGTCCTCCTGACGTGAAAGGCGCTTTATAAATGGAATCTTGTTGTTGTTGTTGTTGTTGTAAATAAAAACATAACTATATAATAACAATGTTCGCATTCGATGCAGAGCCTTATCGCATTGGGAGCCAATTGCGCACAGCGGTGTCCCACAAACAAACAGTCGCACGCACAAGCGGACACAAGCCGATACGGAGCCTTTCACATCAGGAGGACGTCTCAAAGAGCTTCGCTTGATTTACCGTGAAGTGTAGCGACCTCCCGACGTGAAAGGCGCTCAATAAATGGAATCTTGTTGTTGTTGTTGTTGTTGACTGCATGTTTTGTGGGCGAAACGCGGTGGCCAATTGAGCGCAGCCTTATCAATTATTGATCAGAGTGTCTGAAGGAACCGGGAAATGACGTGGGGAACCAGCTTGAACGACCGCTGAACTCTCCCGGGGGAAAGGTAACCGATCACCATCTAACTTTTCTGAGTCAGTCGCTAAATTCATCTGTTTACACAAATGTCTGTTAGTTAGTTCGATGCAGATTGACTAATGACCTGGCGTAAACAGGTATTGCATGAATATTATGTGTATTCGCATCCACAAGCTATTGATTATAAAATAGAAGGAAGTTGGATTGCATTACGCTATTGTGCACAATCTATTATTTATTGTCTCACAAAACCCTACAGAAGCCTGGACACAATAAGGTGCCTATAATAATTACAGCTCTCTTATCTTAAAAGTTATCTTATCCTGAATTTCCTGACACAAATTATACCGCCACTACCTCCCTGGCTGGCCTATTTCCACATATTCACTGTGGGTAAGCAAAGGACATCTGACATGTCTGTTTACAAAATCCTCTAAGTGCTTTAAGACGTCTTGACAACAACAACAACAACAACAAGATTACATTTGTATAGCGCCCTTTCACGTCAGGAAGACTTCACAAGGTGCTGGACAGTGGACAGGATTTCAGACCCGAGCGGGGGTCGGGGGTGGGTGGGGCGGAGAGGGGAGGGGAGAGGAAGGGAGGTACCGATGGCATGGTCCGAAGAAGAGGATCTTGAGGCAGGACTTGAAGGAGGCTAAGGAGGGGGCGAGGCGGAGTGATTGGGGGATGGAGAGAAGGCTCTCCCGCCAATGGTGGGGGGACGTGGAGCAGGCCAGAGCCGGCTGAGCGGAGGGAACGGGCGGGTTGGTAGGGGGTTAGGAGTTCGCAGAGGTAGAATGGGGCGAGGCCATGGAGGGCTTTGTATGTGAGGACCAGGATCTTGAACTGAATCCTCTGAAGGATAGGGAGCCGACAATAATTATATATATCAATATATAATATTAATAATTGATGACCTAATAAGACGCAATATCAAATGTAAGGATAATAATATCATTATTATCTAACACCCTCCCTCCCTTCCCCACTCACCGCCGCTACCTTCTCCTCCCTTCCTCCCTCACCGAAATGCCTCAAAGCAAATTAAATGCAAGGATTTTATTATTGCTTTTTTCTACACCCGCAAAATACACAGTCAATTCACTTTACAGTATATTCTGCGAAGGGCTTTGAGACGTGATAAGGCCCTATATCAAATGCGACAAGTATTATTATTATTATTGTTAATAAAATTATAAAGGCTGCATTTACCTTGTGGTAGCTGGATTGGAGAGAGCACGATCTCCTGCCTGTATTGTGGGAGGGATACAAATTTGAATCACACACACACACACACACACACACACAAAGCACTCTCTGTGGATATCTGCCAAAAATTACACTTTCGTGTTTCATTTCCTCTCTGCGTTTAGCTCTCTTTTTCGATTAGGTTTAACATTTCCTAGAAATCACATGTTTCCCCATCCTGAAACCAACATCACTACCAGTTTCGTTTTCCCCAAGTACTGTGCCGAGCACAGCCGGGGATCCATTTCCTCCCTCCCCTCGGGCTTTGTGATTCTGTGACTTTCCCTCCCTCCCCATACCCAAAGGTAGCAGATTAAAAATAATACAGAGAGTCTGTTATCAATGAAGCTGCTCGACCCAAATTGTCAAATATAAAATAAACCACAGCAGATTTCGGAGGCTGCATATTGCGGTGTTCGAGGTTCCCAATTCAGTGTGAGCAGAGGATAAAAGCATCACTTTAACAACGCTTTAGTGACAGTGTTAAACGGTATTATTAGTGAGAGAGTTAAACAGGTTAGTGAGATTGATAACCGGTGATGATTAGCAAGTGTTAAATATGGGTTAATCAGAATGTTAAACAGGTTTTTGAGAGGTTAAACAAGGCTAGTGGGATGGTGTGTGTTTGTGAGGACTATAGAAGACTTTGGGTGTCCCTGTGTGTAAATGTTGGCAGTAACACAGGCACGAAGGTGTCCTTTGATATCATTCGCATTGTGTCTTTGCAAACAGAGAGAGACAGATAGCTAGCAACAACGGCAGCAAAAATTACAGTTGTATAGCGCCTTTCACGTCAGGAAGATGTCTCAAGACTCTGAAAAGTTCTTTCTTCAGGGTGGGGGTGCCCTGTGATTGCAACAAGAAGCCAAACTTCTACTCGATGCTTTCCTATGAGATGAGACTTGCTGGGAGTGGCTTAACCTCAGACCCAACTTATAAAAGCCACTACGGACTGTGCATCTGGCCACATCAGAAATACCCTTGGCACGCAGTCTGTCCACAGGTAGGTTTGGGTGCAAATCGGGGTGCCTTCCGAAAGCGGTAAGTGCCCCTTGCTGGGGCACACGAGGATGTGGTGTACACGGGGCCAACTCCCAACTGTTAAAGGGAAGCGTCCCAAAAAACGTGCGCGCAATCTACGTGGGGTGAAGGAATGTCTCGTAAACAACGGAATGTTTTTTTTGTATCGGGAGGAAGGGAAAAATTGTAACAGAAGATGTTGTGTTTTTTTCGGATTTCTGTTGTACCAAATATTATATTTACAAATAAATATATACTTTCCCCAAAAAAAGGTTTGGTTAAAGCCAGGCGAGGTATTTTAACCAAAAGTCAACTTCAAACCCACCAGCAAAGTTACTTAAGAAGACCAACGGAGACTCAGGTACAGTAAACCTCTCGCAGGTGTTATTTTTATGAATTGTCTAATCGCTTTGATTTCTTTGCACTCGTCCTCCCCAATCCTGACTACCCAGCCCGGGACCGTAACTCTGTCTGTCCGGAGCCTTGGGACGTCCTCCCGACATGAAAGGCGCTATACAAATGTAATTTTGATGTGGGTTGTTGTTGACTGATACAACTAATGTGAGTTTTACTTGTGGTAGAGATATGGTGAAAAGTTCGAATGATAGACCTGCCGCTATACTGGTATAGCGGATGCAACAGGTTTCATGAGCTGAATTGTATCCGCCTGTTATTATGTTCTTCAAACACAGATAGTTTTCTTTGGGGAAATAAGATAACGGGATATAGTACACAGGTAGTTTGTGACAGATGTGCTCGCCACCGCCAGGAAGGTGGAAAGCGAATTAGATGGACCTTGGTCTTCTTTTTCACCTCGCATTTCTTATGTTTTGCTCTGTTCCAAACAGAAACACAGAAAGAGAAAGGCAAAAGAGTATCAAAAAGAGTAGCTGGAAGCATCAGAGAGAGAGAGAGAGAGAGAGAGAAGAGAGAGAATCAGGCAAAGAGTTGGATAGACTGTCAAACAGAAAAGGAATTAAACAGAGTCAGAGAGAGAAAGATCGTGTGTCAGACGAACTCAGAGAGACGGTCAGAAAGAGTCAGATAACTTTGAAAACGGATGCGTGTATACTTGGAAAAATAAATTTGCATTTGTCCATCGCCTTTCACGTCAGGAATGCGATTGACCCAAACTTTCCCTATGTTCCAAAGAGAAAAGCAGAAGGAGTAAAGACGAAGAGTATCAAAAAGAGTAGCTGAATGAGTCAGAGAGAGAGAGAGAGAGAGAGAATGCTTAACTCTAAGCGTTAGATAAACTGTCGAACAGAAAAGGAGTCAGACAGACAGAGTCAGAGAGAACGAGAGAGAGAGAGAGAGAGAGTGAGAGCTAGACCAGCTATAAACAACTTTAAAAGTGTATCTGAGTGTACAATTTGCATCTAGCCTTTTGTACGTCAGGGGTACGAGTGACCCGAAGTGCTTGACAATTCTGAGTGGCACCGAAACTGAGGGTTAGTTAGTTCCGTATAACGTTGCTGCAAATACCTGCGGTTTGCGTGTCGTGCTGCTGGTTTATCTCAGTGGCTGTGTCGGAGTTCACTTACAATAGCAAACGTGTGCACAGTAGCAGGATATGGGCTGTTTTTTGTTCAGCTGTGAGTGTCTGACGCATGCGGAAACCCATCAGCGGTGCTTAAGAGTTTCCAAACCAACCTGCGAATTCCACGCATCCCACCTACACGTGGAAATCCCAGAGATAGATCGTTAGAATGGAATGCAAGAGCCAAGGCTTGAGGACCCCAGAGTGTGTGTTGGGATAATTTCTGGAGTCTGAGCAGCTACAACCGGAAAGCTTGCCACTGATAGAACTGTCTGGCAAGCTTTCCTGCTGTTTGTCAAAACAAGAACTTCCCAGTACGCGTCCTAAAATTGCTCCTCATAACCGTGAGACCACAAAATCTGTTTCCGGTGAAGAAGGCTGTTCTGCCCCTCTAACCTCATCCCTCCAGAAATCCCACTTCCCATCGCTCATCGCAGCATCAGTGTATCTGCAGATTGGTTCTGAATTTACCTCCCCTTCAATCACAGGCTGTGTCCTCTAGTTTGTTGTTAAATAACCTCTGGATCAAAGCATATTTCCTGGAGTCTTATTGCTTGGGATATGACTAGAACTTCAATCAAGTCTGATTGGAGTTTAGCACTTGTTATCTCCTCTTAATGTCCGTTAATTGCCGATAACCCATAAGAGGTAGTGGCAGGGTTTACCCACCATCACACCCTCACCTTGCCCTTCTCCTTTATTTCCTAGGATATGTCAGACCAAATAAGAAGGAAAAAGAAGCTAAGTCATTCCCCTAGAAATAATTCTGCAGGATCAAGAAATACGGACAATAACCCAGTGAGCCTTCATCCCGCCATCCGCAAGTTTCTGCAGGCAGGTGGCTTCTCTGGAGAGCTTCCACCAGAACTTGAGCAAACTTATCTGAGGCCCCTGATTCAGCAGGTCAGTGAGGAAGCACAGACAGTATCCCAAGTCTAAGTGTTTGCTATACTGGGTAGGGTGGGGAAATAGGGGTAAACATTTCATCGTGAAACGGAGTTGAGTTACAGATCAGCCATCTATCTAATAGAATGGCAGAACAGGCTTGAGGGGCTGTATTGCCTAATTCTGTTGGCTGCAAGAATATGGGATGCCAAGGTGGGATGCCCTGTCTCGAAAGTGCAGGTCGAAACAAATGGGATGTTTTAAGCTGGCAAAAGGTAACTAGATAGGTTGGGACGAGTGAGGCCCTTTGCTCTTCCCAACCAGCATGTGACAAAATTGTTTCGGGTGAAGAAGACCTTTTGGCCCATCTGATCTCACCCCTACAGAACACCCACCCTAACCTTCCTCCCCCATCATAGCATCAGGCCTGCTTTTTTGAATGAGTCCCAGTGTCCTGCCTTCAGTCATTCATGAATGTCTGCTTAAAGAAAAACTTCCTGGTGTCTATCCTGAAACTCCTGTTGTATCATTTTTCACCATCTGATCTCATCCTTGCTGGATCTTTTTAAATGAGTCCCAGTATCTTTCCCTTAACCACTCTTCCTGGTAACCCTGCTCCAGTCATTAATTATCCTCTGGATAAATGCATACTTCCTGGTGGGTGCTATGTACTTAACCGTAGCAACTCGAGACCCGTTTTAATCCAGTTCCTGAGGCAGGCGGGTCCACAGTACTCCAGGGCACTGCTAATAGCAGCACAGCCCAGCCTGGCTCATCGGCAGGACCAGTCACTGGGGCAGGGAATCCTCCCACTCAGCTCCTGTTAACCCTGCAAGACAAGCCTCTCACGGGTAGGGTGGTCCTCTCTGGGCAAGCAAGAGGAAAGCTTGGTGGATAGTGATATCACTGGGCAAGCTGTGCATTTTTAGCTGGTTAGGCTCCCCCAACGCACACTCTTGCCAACCCGCGCCTAATACTTTCCGGAATTAGGTAAGCAGGATGCATCCCTCCAGGGAGAGAGAGAGTGCGCATTCCATTCTAACAATTTCTCTGCAATGTCCATGTGTAGGTGGGATGCAGGAAATTTTCACTTTGGTTTGAACATTCTTAAACACGGTAATGGGTTTCCGCACGTGTCAGACACCCGGCTGACTGGGAAAAAGAAACCTGCTGAACCTTTACCAATCTGCCCACTCCCGCCACTCGGCTGGCACTGGCTTGCTCCACGTCCCTAGTCCTGCCCGCTCAACCATTGGCGGTCAAGCTTTCAGCCTTTCTGCCCCACCCTGTGGAACTTGATCCCAGAGCCCTTCCGCCTCCCTTGCCTCCTTCAAGGCCCAACTCAAGACCTTCCTCTTTGACCGTGCCTTCGATCATCTTCCCACCCCCTTGGCCTCCACCCCTCTTGACTCCAACCCGCACCTTGGGTCATCCTCCCGACGTGAAAGGTGCTTTATAAGGGCAAGTTGTTGCGTTCAATTTGAGAGAGAGCGAGAGAAATAGAGAGCGAGAGAGAGAGAGAGGATGTAACCCAGTGTAAGAAAAATGATGGCTTAAAACCGTTCACTTGTGAGATCCTTCCCATTTTCACACTGCGGCATTTGTTGAGGACTTTACCTGTTTGTTGCTCAGGCGATGGACGTTGCGTTGTACAGTCACTATGAGGAGGAGGTGAGACCTTGCATTGACCTCATCGATCACCTGCGTTCGCTGGGTTTGGAGAAAGACCTGTCCTTGCCGGCCATCGCTGTGATCGGGGACCAGAGCTCGGGGAAGAGCTCTGTGCTGGAGGCGCTGTCTGGTGTGTCGTTGCCCAGAGGGACCGGTAAGACCTGGCTATCAAACGTGCTTCAATCAGTAGCGCTTTCGCCTCTGAGTCAGAAGGTTGTGGGTTCAACCCCCCACACGTCGGGACTTAGGATAACACAGTCTAAGCTGACAATCTAATGCAGTGCTGCGGGGGGGGGGGGGGGGGGGTTGGGGGTTGCATTGTCAGAGGTGCCATCCTTCAGATGAGAAACCGAGGTCCCATCTGCCTATTTAAGCGGATGTTAAAGATCCCGCCACGCTACTTGAAAAGCGAAGGGAATTTCTCTCTCCCCGTGTTCTGGCCAAGAATCCCCCAAATAAAACTGGTCCCTCACTCCATGGCTGTTTGTGGTGGCTTCGATGTGCGCAAATTGTCTGCCGCGTTTCACCACCAAAACAGATCAGATCCGCCACCAGTTATTTTAGAAATGGATGAAAAACATGTAACAGCTTCCACAGGACATTGCTTCGAACCTGTTGCAGAGTGTCGAGTTTTTTCACTTCATATACTTACTGGAGTTCTGTAGTGCAGCAGTTAGCAAGCGAGAGAACCCTGGTCCGATTCCCAGGCCGGGGCGAAACATTAGGCAAGTTTCCATTACTCCATACGCCTCTGTTTACCTAGTAGTAAGTAGGAACTTACCGGTTGTTAGTCGATTGGCGGATCGCTTTCCCAGGTGTAATAATCCCTTCAAAAAAAAAGTATTATCATTATTATTATTACCAGAGAGCGCGAATAAAAGAGAGAATGAGAGAGAGACCCTGTTTAAAGAAAGCTTAAACCCTTTTGTTCCCGTTTGCCAGGTATTGTGACGAGATGCCCACTGGAGCTGAAGCTGAAGAATGTCAAAGAAAAGGATGTTTGGACAGGTTTTATAACTTACAACAACCATAGACAAGAGCTGACAGACCCCTCAGAGGTGGAGCAAGAAATTCGGATAGGTTTGTCAACATGGAGCTCCATTTGTTCCACATTGCTGTACAATTTAAGTTTTCCTTACTCCAATTTTCTCTGTTTACCAAGCAGGAACTAGGAACCCATAGCAGCTCGTGTAGTTGGCAGTAACTAGCTTATTGTAATTATGTTGATTGAACTAATGCAACTTTTCTGCCCAAAACAAGCTTTGAATATAACTTGTTAGTCGATCGGCGGGTCGCTTTCCGGGGTAATAATACCTCACACAAAAAAAATTGGTCACTTAATCCACGACTGTTTGTGGGACACTGCTGTGTGCAATTGGCTGCCGAGTTTTGCCTACAAAATCCACAGTCAATCCACTTTATAGTATATTCTGTGAAGTGCTTTGAGACGTCTCAACCATGTGATAAGGAGCTATATCAGATGTAATGATAATGAGGGGTGGGGAAGAGAGCATTGCATTTTTCAGAGGTTCCATCCTTCAGATGAAACATTATTATTATTATTAAACCAAGGTCCAGTTCAGATGGACGTTAAAGATCCCGTGACACTATTGGAAAAGAGAAGGGAGTTTCTCTCTCCTGTTGTCCTGACCAAGCATCCCCAGATAAAACTGGTCACTCGCTCCATGGCTACTTGTGGAAGACAGCTATGCACAAATTGTCTACCGCATTCACCTACAAAACACACGGTCACTAAATTTTGCCTGCGAATCTTGTGAAGCCCATTGAGACGTCCTCCCGGCATGAAGGACGCTGTTTTAAATGCAAGGATTGTGATGGTTAACACTGAACAGTGAACTGTGTATCCCTGTGCCTGGCCATTGTGTAATAATAATATTAATAATATTCCTTGCATTTGATATAGCATTTATCATGTCAATGAGATGTCTCAAAAGAGCTTCACAGAATATATTGTCAAGTGAATTGACGGTATAATTGCATACACTAGCGGTCCCACAAACAGCCGTGGATTGAGTGACTTTTTTTTTGGAGCGATCATTATCGTCGGAAAGCGATCCGCCAATCGACTAACAACTGGGTTCCTACTTATTGCTAGGTGAGCAGAGGAGTGGGGAGTAAGGAAACTTGCCTAAGGATTAGCCTTCCTGGGAATCGCACCCGGGTCCTCTCGCTTGCGAGGGGAGGACGCGAACCACTACGCTACGAGACTCCACATGTTGCGGCTGCTGTTTTTTTTGGCCGACAAATAGGGCAGCCAAATTGCTCCCATAACCAGCCACGAGACAAACAACCAATTTTTTTGTGTGGCCTTGTCAGCCAGGCCCTTTCTCCTTTCGAACAGTGTCGCGAGATTTTTAACAGGCGGATGGGACCTCGGGTTAACGTCCCATCTGAAGGACGGCACATCTGACTATGCAGGGCTTTCCTCCTTCCTCCTCCTTTCCCTACCGCTCCCCGAACTGTTTGGAGTAAGGAAACTTGCCTGAGGTAATGATTAATCATGTCTCTCTCTCTCTCTCTCTCTCTCTCCAGCCCAGGATATAATTGCGGGCAAGGGAGTGGGGATCAGCCATGAGTTGATCAGCCTACAAATCGAAGCCAGCAATGTGCCGGATCTTACTCTTATAGACCTGCCAGGAATTGCCAGGGTCGCAGTGGGAAAGCAGCCCCTGAACATAGGGGACCAGGTATAAAATGTCACCGCAGCCGGTACAACAAATGGAACGCATGAGTCTCCCGACCAGATAAACTGATCATTCACTTCAACCGCAATTTTACTCTCACTAATAATGATACTTACATTTGATACAGCGCCTCATCATGCCGCGGAGACGTCTCAAATTGCTTCACAGGATATACTGTGAAGGGGATTGACTGTGTATTTTGTGGGCGAAACGTGGTAGCCAGTTTGTGCATAGCAGCGTCCCCACTAATAGCCATGGAGTGAGTGACCGATTTTATTTCGGAGGAATGTTGGCCAGGATACTGGAGAGAGAGAGAGAGAGAGAGAGACACCCTTCTCTTTTCGAATAGTGTCATGGGATCCTTAACGTCCGCTTGAACAGGCAGACGGGACCTTGTTTTAACATTTCCCCCAGCGCTGCATTGAAGTGTCAGCTTAGACTATGTGATTCCAAGTCCCGAAGTGGGGCTTGAACCCACAACTTTTGACACAGAGGCGAGAGAGCTAGCACTATGCCAGGCTCACTCCCAGGCAGTGATGTCTCAAGTTCTTCCCAAAGTCGAGCTTCGGGCTGGGGGGGAGCTGAAGAAGATTTGGGGGGAGGGAGAGGTAAGAATGGGTATTATTTGGCGACTTGTCTTTTCCGTTACCATCAAGGCTTTCTTCAAAGGTGGTTGTCATGTGTTCCATTTCAGATCAAGCAACTGATCAAGTCGTTCATTGAGAAGCAGGAGACCATCAACCTTGTGGTCGTTCCTTGCAATGTGGACATTGCCACCACAGAGGCTCTGAAAATGGCACAGGAGGTTGACCCCTCAGGAGAGCGAACCGTGGGTAAGATAAATCGAGGATAGTTACATGGAGTTACGTAGAGTGATATCTCATGGAAACGGGGCATTTGACCCAACTAGCCCGTGTGGGTGTTTATATTCCACCCAAGTATTCACCATTCCGCTATTTCCTTCTGATCTATTTCCTTCTGATTATGTACACCACCTACACGTAGAAACCACCTACAACAACAACAACAACTTGGATATATATAGCGCCCTCCACACTGGACGACATCTCAGAGTGCTTTACAGTTTCTGATCCCGGGGCCGAGCCAGGGGGAGGGGTGGGGGGAAGGTGACCAAAGGTGCGGTCGAAAAGGAAGGTCTTCAGCAGAGACCTGAAAATGGGAAGGGAGGGAGTGAGGCGAAGGGAATGAGGAAGGCAGTTCCAGAGCCTCGGGGCACAGTGGCTGAAGGTACGGCTGCCGAGGGTGGAGCGGAGGACTCGGGGGACAAGGAGGAGGCCAGACATGGAGGAACGAAGGCAACGGGTACTGTGCTGAGGAGAGAATAGGTCAGAGAGATAGGGGGGTGCAGGGACTTGAATACGACGGTGAACACCTACACTTCACAGGGATTATTACGCACAGAAAGCAATCCGCCAACCGACAAACAACCAGGTTCTGACTTACTGCTGGGTAAATAACAGGTGCGTGGGGTAATGTTTCACCCTGCCCGGGAATCTAACCTGAGTCCTCTCACTTTCGAGGCGAGTGATCTAACCGCTACGGCTACGGGGCCACAAAGTCAAACTTGTGCTTGAAACTGCAGGTATCCTAACAAAGCCTGACCTGGTGGATAAGGGCACGGAGAAAACGGTGGTGGAAATTATCCAAAACCAAGTGGTGGAGTTGAAGAAAGGCTACATAGTTGTCAAGTGTCGCGGGCAACAGGACATCAACGAGAAGCTGACCCTGCGTCGGGCCTTGGAGAAGGAGAAGGTGTTTTTCGAGGAGCACCAGCATTTCAGGTGAAAGCAACGTAGCCTTTCAATTCGCGTCCACTCTCACCTCTTCTTTTGTAGCCGAGTCCAAAGTCGCGCTCACAGGTTGACTGCGAAGTGAATGACCAATCTTTATCTGAAGGTTTCGCCCACAGAATATACAGTATATTTCCAGTATCTTATTATTATATTATTATGTGCCAAGACACTATTCTATTTCCAAATAGAGTCAAGGGATGTTTAAAGGCCACAGGTGTTGCCTTCACATTATAATAATAATAATAATAATAATAAAACTTGCATTTGATATACTGGCTTACCACTTAATCAAGACACCTCAAAGCGCTTCACAGAATATATTGTAAAGTGGATTGACTGTGTATTTTGTGGGTGAGACCTGCGGCCAATTACGCACAGCGGCGTCCCACAAACAGTCGTGGATATTATTTTGAGATCCACACTCAAAATTCATCACTGTCCTTTGATCCCTCTTCACCCTCTCCTCTTCCTAATTCACTCATTACTGATCGATGGTGTGCGATGTTTTTTGTGTGGTGCTGCATGGAACTGCTATCGCTAAGGCGGTTGTTCGATTGGTTTCCTTCAGGTTTCTTATTGATGAAGGAAAAGCCTCCATTCCTTGTTTGGCTAAAAGACTTACAAGTGAGCTTGTCGACCACATCAAAGTGAGTTTATGATCCTTCTTTGCACTACATATTTCCGAGCAATCATTTTTTTTTAGCTCAGTCGGGTATCTGACACGTGCGGAAACCCATTACCGTTGCTTAAGAGTATCCAAATCAAACTGAGAATTCCCTGCATCCCATCCACACATGGGAATCCCAGAGGTAGATTGTTGGAATGGAATGCGCACTCTCTCTCTCCCTGGTCCTGCTTACCTAATTCCGGAAATTATTAGGCGCAGGTTGGCAAGAGCCAAGACTTGAGGGACCCCAGAGTGTGCGTTGGAGGTAACTGCTGGAGTCTAACCAGCTAAACCCACATAGCTTGCCATTGAGAGCGCTGCCTGGCAAGCTTTCCTGCTGCTTGTCCAGCTACGACCACCCCTACCTGTTAGAGCTTTGGCTTGGAGTGTTAACAGGAGCTAAGTGGGATGATTCCCTGTGTCCTGGCTGGTCTGCCCTTCCAAGTCCTGCGGATGAGCCAGGCTGGCTTTGCTGTTATCAGCAGTGCCTTGGAGTCCTGCGGACCCGCCATTATAAATATATAAACGACCGCGTTGTCATCAACAACAGCTTATGTTCATACAGCACCCTTCACGCAGAGAGCGCTGCATGGTTAGGGGGATCAGACACCGAGCAGGAGAGAAGGGGGAGGGGACCATAGGCGCTGGCAAAGAGGTAGGTGTTAAAGTGGGTGATAAAGGTGGGAGGAAGGTGGAAAGGTAGGGATTTAGGTAGGGAGTTCCAGAGGTTGGGGGTGTACTAGCAAACTGGCTCTGTGTTCACACTTGGATCCTTTCTGTCTCTCTTTCTCTCTCTCTCCCTGTCTCCTCTCTGTTTCCCAGAAATGGTTGCCCAAATTTGAAAAGGAATTGTCAGACAGGATATATACAATAACCCAAGAACTGAAGTATTACGGGGAAGGAGTTCCCGACACGGAGAACGAAAAGATAACCTTTCTGATTCAAGTGAGTCAACACAGGAGGTCTCGGAGTCAGGGCGGAGGCGGGGATGAGGGCTTTGAGGGTTTTGACAGTGAGAGCGAGGATCTTGTGTCAATCCAGCTCTCTGCTCTCAGCCATTAATGTCTCCCCACCTCTGCCTGTGATCTGTCCACAGAAAATCAATACATTTGGACAACATGTCGTCAGCTTAGCCTTGGGGGAAGAGCCTGAGACCTTCATCCAGAAGGAGAGGTGCTATTCCAAAGTTCGCAAGGAGTTTCAGCAATGGAAGGTTTACCTTAATCATGCGCTGCATCAATGTGAGTACCAACAACAACAACAACAAAAAGTGGCATTTGTACAGCGCCTTTAACGTCAGGAGGACATCCCCAGGCAGACAATCAGGGGTTTGCACTCGAGCTGGGGGTTGGGATCAAAAGTGCTGGAGGGCAGGGAGAGGAGGGGTAGGAGGGTGACCGAAGGCACGGCCGAAGAGGCAGGACTTCAGACAGGCCTTGAAGGTGGCAAGGGAAGGGGACGAGGTGAAGGGACTGTGGGTGGAGTTCCAAACGGTGGTGGGGTGGGGTGAGGGGTGGTATGGTGCAGAGAGGCTGAAGCCCTGACTGCCGATGGTGGGGCGGGCAGGGCGGGGTACATGGATCAGAGCTGGTGTATAATAGTAATGGTTATTATTATATTGGTCTTGAATTCATCTGCACTATCTGATTTAACCACCAACCCACTGACTCTGTGAGGCTATGAGTGGCTGTTAGGTTACTGGTCGCTCTGTTAGATTACAAGTAACTCTGTTGGGCTCCTGGTGATGACAGCTGTTGCCATTGTTTTTCCCCCTTTCTCTCCAGTCCAGTGTGATCTGAAGAATAACGTTTGCGCTTATGAGCGCATGTACCGAGGTCGCGAGCTTCCCGGGTTCACCAACTACAAAACCTTTGAGGCAATCATCAAGCAACAGGTCTGCAGACTGGAACAACCAGCCATGTTGAAACTGAAGAATATTACAGGTAAAGAAAGTGACGGGCATTCTAACAGCAACAATAATAATACGCACCTTATCACGTTGTTGAGATGCCTCCGAAGCACTTCACAGAATATAGCGAAAAGCAGAGTGACTGTATATTTTGTGGGTGAAACGCGGCAGCCAATTGCGCACAGCAGTGTCCCACAAACAGTTGTGGATTGCGTGACCAAATTTTTTAAAAAAAATTTTGGAGGGTTTATCACCCCTGGAAAGCAATCCGCCAATCGACTAACAACCAGCTTTCTACTTACTGTTGGGTAAACAGAGGCCTGTAGAGTAAGGAAACTTGCCTAAGGTTTTGCACAGTCTGGGAATCGAATCCGGGTTCTCTCGCTTGCGAGGCGAGTGCTTTAACCACTACACCAAAGGACATCAACTCTGGTTAATCCAGATTGCATCCTCTCTCCAACTGCGATTCATAACTAAGAAGTCACTGCACCTCAGGAAGGATATATTGAACCGGGAGGGGATACAGTGCAGATTCACCAGGATGATTATTCTCCCAATATTATTGTCTCTCACAGAAATTGTTCATGAATCTTTTATGGCTATCGCTCTCCACAATTTCAACGGCGTTCCCAATCTATTAAAAGCTTCCAAGGTATGGTGTGAATATTATGTTGTGTCAAACTGGCGTATCGCTATCTTTCACACAGAGGGGTGGTGGGTGGTGGGGGGGTGTGGTTCTCAAAACGTTTCACAGAGAACGCGTGAAAACCTGAGGAACTAGCTTTCACAAGGGAATTGGATATATACTTGAAAATGTAAAGTACATAAATATATACTTTGGAATAGGAACATAGGAGCATAATAGATATATTATATATACAGTATACATTGAATCATATAATCTTACAGCACAGAAGAAGGTAATTCGGCCCATCGTGCCTGTGCTGCATCTTTGAAAGAGATCGTCTCACTAGTCCCACTCCCCCGTTCTTAACCCATAGCCCTGAAAATGTTTTCTTTTTAAGTACCCTACCTATCCAATTCCCTTTTGAAAGCTGCTATCGAATCTGCTTCCCACCACCCTTTCAAGCAGTGCCTTCCAGATCATAACAATTTTCTGGGTAAAAAATATTCTTCTTTTCTCCCCTCTAGTTCTTTTGCAATTATCTTAAATCTGTGTCCTCTGGTTACCGATCCACCTGCCAGAGGAAACAGATTCTCCCTGTTTACTCTATCAAAACCCCTCATAATTTTGAACACCACTATTCAATCTCTCCTTAACCTTCTCTGCTCTAAGGAGAACAATCCCAGCTTCTCTAGTCTGTCCACATAATTGAAATCCCTCATATTTATTATATATATAATATAATATATTTCTAACATCCAGATGAAAATGGAAGAGCTAAAGAAGAAGCAAGAAAGACATGCAGTGAGCCAGCTGCGAATCCAGTTCAAGCTTGAAGATATTGTGTACTCGCAAGACTCCAACTACAGTGACAATCTTGAGTTAAAAGCAACAGAAGAGTACAGGGAACAAACTCCAGATCAGAATTCATTAACGTCCAAAATGTCCACTTCAAAGTCAAAAGAAGAGTCTATCCAGGAGATGTCAACACATGTGGATACCTACTATAAGGTGGGTTTAATGTATCTGTGGGTGGCCATAGCAAAAAATGTCTACAGAGTACACTTAAAGGCGCTCTATAAATGGAATCTTGTTGTTGTTGTTGGTGTTAATAATAATAATAAAATAGTCATAATCCTTGCATTTGATATAGTGCTTTTCACGTCTTCTAGATGTCTCAAAGCGCTTCACAGAATAAGCTGTAAAGTGAATTCACTGTACATTCGTGGGCAAAACGACAATGACAATAGCTTGTACAGTGCCCCTCATGCAGGGCAGCGTCCCACAGCGCTTGACAGTGGTGGAGTACGTTGCCTAGCGGGGGGGAGGTGACACTAGACACGGTCGAAGAGGAACGTTTTCAGGCGCGACTTGAAGATGGGGAAGGGAGGGGGAAAGGCAGGGTGATGAAGTGCAAGCTGGGTGGAAGGTTGATGGGTGGTGACCCGAAGATTGAATTTTATGAATGTGTGAGTTTCACAGATTATTCCTGTAAAGTGTAATTACCAAATATTCAATAATTATAATATTCCTCATTATTCCTTAATGATAACCCTAATTTGCATTTGACATAACGCCTCATGACATCTTTCAGATGTTTAAAAGCGCTTCACAGAATATACTGTAAAGTGAATTGACTGTATATTTTGTGGGCGAAATACGGCAGTGAATTGCGTACAGCAGTGTCCCACAACCAGCCAGAGACCAGATTTTTTTTTAAAAAGGGATTATTAGCTCTTGCTTGCGAGGTGAGTGCTCTAACCGCTATGCTATGTTTTCCCTTCAGATCATGTCCGATCGTCTGGCTGACCAGGTGCCCCTGATAATCCGTTACTACATGATGCAGGAGTTTGCGAGCAACTTGCAGGTCCAGATGCTGGAACTACTGCAAAACAGGCAGCAGATTGAAGAGTATCTCGAAGAGGAGAAGACGATCGCAGAGAAGAGAAGGACCCTCAAGAACAAACTGGACCGTTTGTCCAAAGCCCAGGTCCATCTGTTAGATCTCGCTTGATTTTGCTTGCAAAGCTAAGAAAGTCTAACAGCAGCAGAAGCAACAACAACAACAACAACAACAACAACAAAGCAGCTTGCATTTTCATGATCCTCATAATCATTGCATTTTTTGGTATAGTGCCTTATCACGTCTTTGAGACATCTCAAGTGCTTCACAGAATATACCGTAAAGTGGTCGAAATGTCCTTCATGTAAGGATAACGTCTCGGAGTGCTTCACAGTGATTGGGGATGGGATGTCAAGTGGTGGTGAGGGGCGGGGGCTAGCGGGGAGGGAGGGAGGGGTAGGGAGGGATAGGGAGAGGAAAACAAGGCGATACCTCCCTACCCCTTCCTCCCTCCCCGCTAGCCCCCGCCCCTCACCTCCACTTGACATCCCATCCCCAATTACTGTGAAGCACTCCGAGACGTTATCCTTACATGAAGGACATTCAGAATTTACAGAATTTTACTGTAAAGTGTAGTGACTGTGCATTTTGAAGGCGAATACGGCCACCGATTTGTGTACAGCAGTTGGTAAGGGCCAAGCCTTGAGGAGTCCAAAGTATGTGTTGGGGGTGTTTCACCAGCTAAAACCGTATAACTTGCCGGAAACCGACGTCTGACCTATCATATTGGTAACCTGGTCAACTACCCATGTTGTACAAGATTACTGCCAATCTCTATCCCGCTTCGGACTTTGCTTGCAATGAGCTTTCATTAAAGACACAGAATGAAAAAAACAGTGTGTGTAAAAGGTTGTGTTTCTATAATTTTATTATTAATAATAACAATAACAATAATCCTCGCATTTCATACCGAGCCTTTCACATCAGGAGGAGAATTTTTTGTTTCGACAACAACAACAACGTGTGCCCTCCACGCAAGGGTAGCATCTCGGAGCGCTTAACAGTGGCGGAGCCTGACTCCGAGCCGTGGGGGGTGGGGAGGTAACCTTAAGCACAGTTGAAGAGGAAGGTCTTCAGGCGGGACTTGAGAAAGGGGAGAGGGGAGGCAAGGCAGAGGGATTGAGGGAGAGTGTTCCACAGATTCGGGGCATAGTGGCTGAAAGCGCGACCTCCGATGGTGGAGTGGAGTGTGTGAGGGACAAGCAGGAAGCCGGTGCCAGTCGAACGGAGGGGCTGGGTGGTGGATTGGGGAGTGAAGAGGTCGGAGAGGTAAGGGAGGTGCCAGGAAGTGGATGGATTTGAACACGAGTGTGAGGATCTTGAAGTCGATCTGTTCGCTCATGAGAAGTCAGTGGAGCCTGGGCCAGACCTGGTGAGGTGGGGGTATGGAATTTGGTCTGGGTCAGTATGCGGAGGGGGGGGGCAGAGTTCTGAATGAGCTGGATTTTTTTGAATAGTTGAGCTGGGGAGATAGGCAAGGAGTGCATTTGAGTTATCCAGCCGGGAGGTGACAAACGCATGCACGAGGGTTTCGGCTGTGTGGTGGGTAGGAGCAGGAACATTTTCAGAGGGAGGGGCTGAGGCCGGAGCAGCAGCCAAAATGCGCATGCAGAGACCGGGAGCGAGCGATCAGAGGGCCAGCATCAGCCCGCGGGCTACGGGAGACAGCGGGGGTTGGGGGGGTGAAGAGTGAATTGGGTGGAGAGAGGGGATGGCGGTCATGGCTTAGGTACCAGAAACAGGGAGGGAACGGAGGTAGGACAAGATAGCAGAAGGATAGCAAAATGTACACTAGTTTCACAAGGCTGGATAGATTTTTGTTGGGCAACCGTGTCAAGGGATATAGGCCATGGGTGGCTAATTGGAATTGAGGTACAGATTAGCCATGATCTCATAGAATAGCGGAACAGGCTCGAGGGGTTGAATAGCCTCCCGTTCCTATGTCTCAGTGCGGGATTTACTGCAAAGTGAATTTTTGTAAGCAATTCATGCACAGCACAAGTCCCGCGACTAACTAATTATGTCTGGGGTGGGGGGTTGTCGGACAGAAGATCAGGAGAGAAACTCCCTGCTCTTTCTGAATAGCACAAGATCTTTAACGTCCGCCTGAACGGGACCTTGGTAAGGCATCTCTGGCAATGCAGCACTGTACTGGAATCTGTGTGGTCTCGCTTGGGCAGACGAAAAGGAGAAAAACACTCTTGCGGTTCCTGGTGTGGGATTGGGGAGGTTAAGGTGCTTAACAACATCAACAGCTTGCATTTATATAGTACCCTTCATGCAAGATAGCATCTCAGAACGTGACTTAGCATTTATAATAATAATAATAATACTTGCATTTGATATCGCTCCTTATCACGTCTTCGAGACGTCTCAAAGCACTTCACATATACTGTATATACTGCATAGGATATACTGTAAAGTCAATTGACTGCATATTTTGTGGGAGAAACACGGCAGCCAATTGCGCACATCAGTGTCCCACAAACAGTTGTAGGTTGAGTGTCCAAATTATTATTATTTTTTGAGTGGATTATTAACCCCAGAAAAGCGATTTTCCAATCGAGTAACAACTGGGTTCCCACTAACTGCCAGGTAAACAGAGGCGTGTGTGTGTGGAGTACGGAAACATTTGACAGTATTCAACATTTCAGTCACCTCCTGTTCCTAATAAAGTGGGGAACAGGCTTGATGGGCTGAGTAAGGACCTCTTCCCATTTTCCCATGGTTTTCCTATGAGCTTGTGTACTCACCCACCCTAAACGTCACAGCCCCTTCACACAGTCCTCGTCAGACTCCACTGACTCCCTATGACAGAACGGATTGATTTCAAGGTCCTCACACTAGTCTACAAATGCCTTCACGCACTGGCACCTCCCTACCTTTCTGACCCGCTTTCTCCCCAACCCACTACCAGCTGCCTCCGCTCGGCTGGCTCTGGCCTCCTCCTCGTGCCTTGTTCCCTCCACTCTACCACTGGTGGTCGCTATGCTCCGATGCTTTGGAACTCACTCCCCCAAACCCTCAGCTTGCTCCCTCCCTCCCCTCTTTTAGATCACCACTGAAAACCTTCCTCCTTCGACTGTGCTTACTGTCATCTCCTCCCTCCTCCAGGCTCGGTATCAGGCTCCTGTTAAGCGCTCCGAGATAAATGCGTGTTGTTGTGTTGTTGTTGAGCTCCCATTTTAAGATTGCTCCCCTCCCTTCTCCCTTTGCCTTGGATTCCTCTACAAGAGAAATATCTCTCCTTGTCGATGTCCTTAGTCATCTCAAACCTGTTTCAAGTGACAATAATCATAACAATCCTTTGCATTTGATACAACGTCTTTCACGTCAGGAGGACACACCACAAAGAGTTTCACGGGATTCACTGTGAAATGGAGTGACTGTGTGTTTGTAGGCGAAGTAAGTGACCAACGTTTGTGCTGTTTGGGGGTCATTGATGAATGATTTTATTTGGAGGATTGGTTGGCCGGGGCACCGGGGGAGAGAAACTTCTTTCTCTTTGCAAATAGCACTACAGGATCATTAATATCCACCTGAACAGGCGGAAGGGATTTTGGTTTAACGCCTCTTCTGAAGAACGGCGCTTCCGACAATGCAACATAGCCCCCAGCACTGCATTAGAGCATCATTCCAAATCCTGACGTGGGGTTTGAACCCACAACCTTTCGACTCATTTTAAGATTACTCCCGGCCCCTCCCCTCTCCTTTTGTCTTGGATTCCTCTACAGGAGGGGAGGGTTGACCGCTCTCCCATTTTGTCGATGTCCTTTGTGATCTTAAACCTGTTTTGAGCGACAATAATCATAACAATTCTTTGCTAGGTTTCAGCTCCTACGAAGATTTTGGCTGGCGGTTGGGGTGGGTTGAAGGTCTTAGATTTGCCCTTAAACCAGCGAAAGCACTCAGTGATCTGCAGTCGATCTCAACGAGTTCTAAGAGGGTAATAACAAATATTTTTTGCATTTGATATAATAATAATAAATCTTACATTTGATATAGCGCCTTATCACGTCTCAAAGCGCTTCACAGAATATACTGCAAAGTGAATTGACTATATATTTTGTGGGCGAAATGCAGCAGCCAATTGCTCACAGCAGTGTCATACAAACAGTCGTGGATTGATTTTTTTGTGGGGAGGGGAATTATTAAACCCTGAAAGCAATCCGCAATCGCCCAACAAACGGTCCTGTTTACTGCCAGGTAAACACAGATGTGTGAAGTAAGGAAACTTGCCGAAGGTGTTTCACCCTGCCCGGGAATCGAACTCAGGGCCTCTCGCTTGTCAGGCGAGCATGTTAACTACTATGCTACTGAAGTTTTGCTTAGGGAGGCAGATGAGGCCTTTAATGTCTGGTCTGAAGGATTTTAGTGGTTAAAAGAAATTGACCTAGTGCCAATTTTGTTTCTGCCACGCAGCACAGTTTCGGTTTCGTTTTCACAGGAGAGGAAGCTCCCTTCTAATGAATAAGAATCAAAAGGCATACGAATAGTTTCACTTTCCCCCCTATCTACCTTTCTATTGGTTTCTAATTACAGTGAAAAGTGTCAGAGACCGATCCAACCACAGCACTTGGAAGTGAATATGAATAGTCTGTTCAGCATGACCATCTGATGGACTGTTGGTGAAACACAGGTTTTTACTGCTTTAATTCCTCTTTTATTTTAATAATAATAATTCTTGCAATTGATTTCGCATCTTATCAGATCGCTGAGACGTCTCATAATATACTGTAAAGTGAATTGACGGTTTATTTTGTGAGCGAAACGCGGCAGCGAATTGCACACAACAGTGTCCCACAAACAGTCATGGATTGAGTGACCAAATTATTTTTTTTGTTTAATTATTTTTTGAAGGGATTATTACCCTTGTAAAGCGATCCGTCAATCGACTAACAACCAGGTACCTACTTACTGCAAGGTAAACAGAGGCGTGTGGAGTAAGCAAACTTCGTAAGGTTGCCGATAACATATATAATAATAATCTTAATAATTCCTGCTGTATGATACAGTGCCTTATCGTTTAGTTGAAACTTCTCAAAGCACTTCACAAGATTTAACTGTTTATTTCGTGGGCGAAAAGCGGCAGCCAGTTTGCACACATGAAGGTGCGGCAAACAGCCATGGAATGAGTGAGTGACTGATTTTATTTGGGAGATAGCCAGGGCACTGGGTGAAGGAAACTCCCTTCTCTTTTCAGGTAGCGCCAACGGATCTTTATCGTCCAACTGAACAAGTGTTCAACATCTCATCTGAAGTACGGCGTCTCCAACAATGCTGCACTCCCCAGCGCTGCAGTGAAGTGTCAGCTTAGATTGATTCGAAGTCCCGATGTGGGGTTTTGAACCCACAACCTGCTGACTCAAAGGCAAGTCAGAGACCTAATATTTGTTTATAATAATAATAATCCTTGCATTTGATATAGCGCTTTTCACGTCGGGAGGACGTCCCAAAGCACTTCACAGAACATACTGTAAAGTGAATTGATTGTATATTTGTGGGCGAACGCGGCAGCCAATTGCGCACAGCGATGTCCCACGAACAGTCGTAGATTGAAAATGACCAATTTATTATTGTTTTTGGTTTTGGAGGGATTATTATTAGGCTCTGTGTGGAGTAAGGAAACTTGCCCGAGGTTTCGCCCTCTGCCTGGAATTGAACTCAGGTCTCTCGCTTGCAAAGCGAGTGCTCTAACCACTGAGCTACAGGACTCCACCTTGCTCTAACCACTGGTCAGGGTATTAAGCATATGGGGACAGGGCGGGCAATTGGACTGGAGGTAAAGATCAGCCACGATCTTACCGAACGGCGAAACAGGCTCAAGGGGCTGAATGTCCTCCTCCTGTTTCTATGTTTGTTTCTATGAGAGTGCTACCCGATGAACCTCAACACACAAAAGGCTACAGTCAGAAAAGAGGGAAGCACAGGTAGAATAGGGTGGGGTGGGGAAGAGGAAGTCACAAGAGCTGAGGCTCCAGTATCGTCCTTAGATTGCTTCTCGGCCTTTTGGCTAAGATCAAGCGTAGTTCGGTTCTTATCAGTTACTCTTTGAGCGAGCTGGGACAGGTCATCTCCTGTTGATATTTCCAAATATCACCCAAACTGGGCGCTTTTATGGGAAGGATTGAAGGAGTCCTGTAGCTTAGTGGTTAGAGCACTCACCATGCAAGCGAGAGTCCTGGGTTCAATTCCCGGCCGGTCGAAACTTTGGGCAAGTTTCCTTACACCACACGCCTGATAATAATCCCTCAGGGGAAAAAAAATTGGTCAAAGTTGGTTCAGGTCTGCATTGTCCTTCGACAATTTGGGGTCTAGAAAGGTTTGCCCTCAGTCCCAAAGTGGAACGTTTTGGTCTAATTTGGTTAATGGGGGTGAGCAGGTCTAACCTCACTCACCAATATATATATTTTTTAAAAAACACATCTTTTCTCTCTATAATCTCCCACTAAGTGGAGTCCTTTAGCTTAGTTTAGCTTATTTCGCCCACAAAATATACAGTCAATTCACTTTGCAGTATATTCTGTGAAGCGCTTTGAGACGCCTAGAAGACGTGATAAGGCGCTAGATCAAATGCAAGGATTACTATTTTTAATGGTTAGAGCACTCATCTCGCAAGCAACAAGACCTGGGTTCGATTCCCGAGCAGGGCAAAAGTTGGGTAAGTTTTTGTTTCTTCACACACCTCCGTTTACTCAGTAGTAAGTAGGAACCCGTTTGTTCGTCGATTGGCGGATCACTTTTCTTTTAATCCCTTTAAAACAACGTGGTCACTCAATCTATGACTGTTGTGGGACGCTGCTGTGCGCAATTGGTTGCCGCATTTCGCCCACAAAATACACAGTCAATTCACTTTACAGTAAATGGTGCAGCGCTTTGAGACGTCTAGAAGACGTGATAAGGCGCTATATCAAATGCAAGGATTATTACTATTGCATTCTTTTGTCTTGGACCATCAACACCTCTGATATAATCAGTTCCTGTCCTCCATCAAATTTTTTCCTTTGTCTTTCTTTCCCCGCCCCCTTCTCCGTTATCTTTATACACCTCTCCCTTCCAACATCCCCCAGTCCTGATGAAAGGTCATCGACGTGAAACATTAACTCACTTTCCTCTCTCCAAAGATGCTGCTGAGTGTTTCCCAGCGACTTCTTTTTTATTTCAGGTTTCCTAGGTAAACTGAGGTGTTGCAGTAAGGAAACTTGCTTGAGGTTTCATCCAATCAACCCCGGGTGCTCTCGGTTGTGAGGCGAGTTCACTAACCACTATGCAATAGGACTCCACAAATGAGATCAAGGGCCTTCTTCAACCGAACTGATCTTGAATGTTGCGAAGTTTGAAATCAAGAATTTTGCACAATTTTAACCCAAAACGGTTGCAAGGCTGAGAAGGTGAGGCACTGCGGGCCACCGATTTAGAAATTTTAGGGGCAAATATGCGGCATTTCACGTTCGGTGTGATAATTGATCACAGAACGGAGGGAGTATATGGGGAGAAATCGCACAGTGGGGAGAGCAGGAGTGGGATAGGAGGAGATCACATAGATAGGGGTAAGGGACGTGGGGAAATGAGGTGATCTTACAGGTAGGGAGAGGGAGTGGAGGACATCATACAGGTAGATGTGGCGAAAGGGTGTGGAGGTCTTTGAATGTCTGCCTGACAGTGACACTCCAGTGCAGTGCTGGGGGATGTGCTGCATTGTCAGAGGTGACGTCCTTCGGATGAGTTGTTAAACCAAGGTCCCGTCTGCCCTGTTCAGGTGGATATTAAAGATCCGACGACACTATTTTGAAAATGAGAAAGGAGTTTCTCTCTCCCGGTGTCCTGGCCAACAATCCCCCAAATAAAAGGCAAAGTACCGCAGATGCTGGAAATCTGGTATAAACACAGAAGTCGCTGGGAACACCAGCAGGTCAGGCAGCATCCATGGAGAGAGGAAAATGAGTTAATGTTTCAGGTCTATGACCTATAGTCATAATAATAATAAATAATAATAATAATCCTTGCATTTGATATAGCGCTTTTCACCTCTTCTAGACGTTTCAGAGCGCTTCACAGAATAGACTGTAAAGTGAATTGACTGTATATTTGTGGGCGAAACGCGGCAGCCAATTGCGCACAGCAGCGTCCCCGCAAAAAGCCGTGGATTGAAAATGACCAATTTATTAGTGTTTTGTTTTCGAGGGATTATTATTAAATCAGAAGGTGACCTTTGGGACATCTCAATGACATGATAAGGTGCTATATCAAATGCAAGGATTATCATTATTATTTTCAAATCAAGTTGCTGAATTCAATCGGCTGAGAATGCGGGGCAAATTCCCTTTTGACATTCCCAATTGTTTTTCAATTCCTTGGATGTCACGTCACAGTGTTCGCAGCGTTCCCAAACTATCGGTGTTATTGACCAAAGCCGTGACTCGATGCTACGCAAGAAGTCAAAGTTGAAGCCCCCAACAGATTCGCAAGAAACAAAATCAACATCACAACAGGTACTTGGTTTAACGTCTCATTCAAAAGACTGCACCTCCGACAACGCAACTCCTCTGCCCAGCGCTGCATTGGAGCATCTGCTTAGAACCCTTCCAAGCCCTGACATGTGGGGGTTTGAACCCTCAACCTTCTGACTCGGAGTGGAGAGCACTGATGCCTGAGCCATGCTGACACGCCAATCCTGTGAAGAAGCTCTTTGAGACACCTCAATGACGTGATGATAATGCGCTATATCAAAGGCAAGGATTTAGTGTTATTGTATCAAATGAAAGGATTATTTTGTTTTAAATTTATTTTTTTGTTTCCAGTTCAACCTTGGGATGCTGGCCTGCACACCTCTCTCCGTTCCCCTCCAGGTGATGCCCGTGATGGAGGAGCCCAAGCCTGAGATGTTGACATTTGCAGCAGACTTCGATCAATGTGAAGCCCAGGTTGGTGAAGTAGCCATTCCTCAGGCTGTTGGGCCTGGCTGCCAGCGAGAAACCTGGATGTCCGCCCTTGGCCTGGAGGATAAAAAAAAACACAGGAAGAAGCGAAGAGGCAAATCAGTTCAGGTGCCTGTGAGATCAACACAACCTTTTCAGCCCGGTGCATTTATATAGCGCCCCTCACGCAGAGGTTGCGTCCCAGAGCACTTGACAGTGGCGGAGCACGATGCCAATCGGGGTGGGGGGTGGGGGGGAGCTGGCGGGAGAGGTGACCGTAGGTACGGTCGGAGAGGAAGGTCTTCAGGTATGACCTGACGATGGGACAGGAGGGGGAAAGGGCAGAGGGATAGAGGAAGAGTGTTCCAGAGTTTCGGGGCGTAGTGGCTGAATTCGTTGCCACCGATAGTGTAGCCGTTGGGCACGAGGGACAAGCAGGAGGCCGGACCGGGGCCAGTCCAGTGGAGGCAGCGGGTAGTGGGTTGGGGAGTGAGCAGGTTGGAGAGGTAGGGAGGTGCCAAGGCATGAAGGGATTTGAAGATGTGGTGAGGATCTTGAAATCGGTCCGTTCGGTGATAGCGGGCCAGTGGAGCAGTCTCCTTAACCGGGTTGCCCTGCAACTGTACTGTACTGTAGCATCAGCTTAGATTATGAGCTCAAAGTTCAAAGTTAGGGCTTGAACATCTGACCCAGAGAGTCGAACCAACTGAGCCAGGCTGACACCTAGGATACAATGCTATACAACACAATTTGCATTTGATGTTGTGCCTTTCATGTCGGGTGGACTTCTCAAAGCTCTCCCAGAAAGTAGGAACCACCCTCACTGCACTCTAGATGCCGGGTGAAGCGCTTTGAGACATCTCATAGACGTGATAAGGCGCTGTATCAAATGCAAGGATTATTATTTTTATTATTATTTACCCGGGTTGCTGGTGTTTCAAACGCTTTTGCTGCTGCCTTTCGCTTTCCCAGGCGACGGATGCCGTGCTGTACAGTCTCTACGAGGAGAAGATTAGACCCTGCATTGACCTCATCGACTCGCTAAGGGCACTGGGGGTGGACAAGGATTTGTCTCTACCGGCCATCGCTGTGATCGGGGACCAGAGCTCAGGGAAGAGCTCTGTGCTGGAGGCACTATCTGGGGTGTCGTTACCTAGGGGCACTGGTAAGACAGAGCCACTCTCAATATAAATGCCTGGCTACCCATGTACCCCTAGCCTGTCCTCTGCCTCCTCTCTGTGTGTCCTTACATCCTGACTTTTGGCCACACCTATGGTCTGCTTGCATTCTAGTTCCTCCACCCGCCGCCTTCGCGCAGCTGTCTCCGGCCACCTGAGATGCAAGCTCAAGCTCACTCATCCTAAAGTCTCACGTTATTGCTTCTTTCATCTGCTTGTCTTGCCACACTCCAGGTATTGTGACAAGATGCCCCCTGGAACTGAAGCTGAAGAAAGCCAAAAAGGCGAACGTTTGGAAGGGAGCGATAAGTTTCAGAGAATATTCGAAGGAGATCACAAATGCATCCGAGGTGGAGCAAGAGATCAGAAAAGGTTCACTGAATTTCTTTGAATATTTTGCCACAAATTGGCTGCCGCGTTTGCCTACACAATGCACAGGACAAGTCATTACACTTAATAGTAAATCCTGTGAAGAGCTTTGAGACATCCTTCTGGCATGAAAGGTGCTGTAACTAATAATAATAATAATTTGTGCATTTGATGTAGCGCCTTATCCTATCATTGAGACATCTCAAAGTGCTTCATAGAATATACCGTAAAGTGAATTGACTGCGGGTGAAATGCGGCAGCCAATTGCGCACCACAGAGTCCCGCAAACAGTCGTGGATTGAAGTGACCACGGTTGTTTGTAGCCTCTTCGAATTTTTTGGGGGGTGAGGGATTATTGCCCCTTTAAACGTAAATGGGAAGTTTATTATTATACATTTATGTAAAGTATATACATAGAAATAATAACCGCTTATGATACAGGACCTATGAGGTTAAAGCGCTCTGAGATTCTGTCCAGCTTAAAGGGCGCTGTAATAAATGCAAGTTGTTGTTAAAATGTGTCACTGTGCTTTACTGTCAACTAACTGCCAGTAAATATATTCATTGAAATTTAGTCATCAACATAATAGTGGCACAGACTCGATGGGCTGAATGGCCTTCTTCTGTGCCAACAATTTATATTTTCTCATCACCCCCACTCTCCCCCTCCACCCCACAAAAATAGTCCAACTGTATTTACACTCTCCTGTCAGAGTGTTAGACCACTCGTTACCTGATTTGATTCCAGCCTCCAGCTCGGATGCAAACCCTTAACCTTCGCACACAAAAATGCACAGTCAATTCACTTTACAGTATATCCTGTGAAGCACTTTGAACTCAAAGATGTAATTATACCAAATAAAAGGACTATTATTATACTTAACTCTCTAGGACCTTTGGACTTCCTTCCAACATGAAAAGCGCCTTATAAATGCAATTGATTGTTGTTGTTGTCACAATTAATAATTAGCAGCAATTGGCTGCCGCGTTTCGCCCACAAAATATGCAATCAATTCACTTTACAATACTTTTCTGTGAAGCGCTTTGAGACGTCTCAACTAGCCATTGTTATGTCTTTCCAGCTCAGAACAGTATGGCGGGTAAGGAAGGAATCAGCCACGATTTAATCAGTTTAAAAATTGAATCCAGCAACGTCCCTGACCTCACACTTATAGATCTGCCTGGGATTGCCAGGGTAGCAGTGGGTAACCAGCCGCTGGACATTGGAGACCAGGTGAGATATGCATGCAAGCCGTCAGCTCTCGTTTATTACGCTGCCTTTCATCTACGCAACCACAACAGCGCAGTGGTGCACCAGCTCAGAATATAGCTAACCACCAATTGTAGCTAACTGAGCTTTCTCTCAGTCTCTCCAATGTGTGATTTGTGTATATACCCCTTTGTTTCTGATTCTGTGTGTGGGTGTGTGTGTCTCTCTCTCTCTCTAACTGTTTTAGTGAGGTATGTGTGTTGTGTGTGTGTCTGTCCCACTGTGTGTGTCTCTCTAACTATCTCAGTGCATGTGCGTGACTGTGAGACACACTCACACACTCTATATGTGTCTCTGTCTCAGTGTGCGTGTGTCTCTCTACCTGTCTCCGACAGTTTGTGTGTGTTTACGTGTGTGTGTGTGTCTGTGTGTGTGTCTTTCTCTCTCTATCTCCCTCTGACTGTCTCACTGTGTGTGTGTATGACTTGTTTCTAACAGAGAGAAGTAACACTCTGTTTCAGATCAAGAAGATGATCCGGTCGTTCATTAACAAGCAGGAAACCATCAACCTCGTGGTCGTTCCTTGTAATGTGGACATTGCCACCACTGAGGCTCTGAAGATGGCACAGGAGGTTGACCCCTCAGGAGAAAGAACAGTGGGTAATTAACATGACAACCAATATCCCCTCCTTGAAGAGACTTTTTTTTGATCAGCCGGGTGTCTGACACATGCTGACACCCATCATCGTGTTTAAATATATCCAAAGTAGCCTGAAAGTTCCAGAAATGTGCTCCACCTGCACATAATAATAAAAATAATCATAATAATAATTGTTGCATTTGATATAGCGCCTCATCACATTGTTTAGACGTCTCGCAGCACCTCACAGAATATTCTGTAAAGTGTACTGACTGTGTTTTTGTGGCCGAAGAATACATGCGAATTTCCCCCATGTCTGGAATGGAATGCGCACTCTCTCCCCGGAGGGTCGCGCCCTGCTTACCTAATTCTGGAGAGTATTAGGCACAGGTTGGCCAGACTCAAGGCTTGGGGTGCCCAAGTGTGTGTGGGTGAGAGTGTGTGTGTGATCTGTCTGTCTGTCTGTGTGTGGTGTGTCTGTGTGTGTACCTGTCTGTGTGTGTTGTGTGTCTGTGTCTGTGATTGAGAGTGTGTGTGTCTGTCGGTCTGTGTGTGTGTCTCTGTGTGTGTGTTTCTGTGTTTGTGTGTGTCTGTGTGTGTGTGGTGTCTGTGTGTGTGTGTGTGTGTGTGTGTCTGTCTGTCTGTCTTTGTGTGGTGTGCGTGTGTGTGGTCCCAAGTCCCCAGTGATTCAATTTCGTCCCCTGCTCTGATTCTCCAAAGGTATTCTAACAAAGCCTGACCTGGTTGACAAGGGGACGGAGAGCACCATTGTGGACATTGTCCAAAACCTAGTGGTGGAACTGAAGAAAGGTTACATGATCGTCAAATGTCGGGGGCAAAAGGAGATCAACGATAAACTCACTCTGCAGGATGCAATTGCCAGAGAGAACAGATATTTTGAAGAACATGAACAATTTAGGTAAATCGACAACAGCAAATTATATTTGTCTAGGGCTTTTCACACTGGGAGGACTGTCCCAAGGCGCTGGACAGTCAAGGATTTGAGGAGTTGGGATCAGGAGGGTTGGGATCAGGAGCTGATATGGACTGGCTAACTGCATAGCCACATCCTGCGCTCAGCGGGCTCCAGCCTGCTCTATGTCCCCTGCCCAGCCTGGCGCAGCCCGCCCCGCCATCAGCGGTCGGGCCTTCAAACTTTCTGCCCACCCACCCCCCCACTCCTTACTCCATCCCACAGTCCCCTCGCCTCGCTCCCTTTCTTGCCTCAATGCGCATCTCAAGACCATCCTCTTTGACCGCACCTTCGGTCACCCTCCTCCTACACCTACTCTTCCTGTCCGCCACCTCTCCTGATCCCAACCCCCAGTTCCGGTCCAAATCCATGACTGTCCAGCACCTTGGGACGTCCTCACGACATGAAAGGCGCTGTACAAATGTAATTTGTTGTTGTTGTTATTGGATTTAAGAACCTCGGGATATTTTCCATCACTCAATTCAGTTTATGATTTACAAACTTTTAATTTTACTTTTGGGACCTTTAGAACCCTCTTGGACGAAAAAAAGGCTTCGATTCCACATTTGGCTGAAAGACTTACAAACGAACTTGTCTATCACATCAGTGTAAGTGGATGAAAGTGGTGTTTTCTTGACCAAACTGTAGGCTTATAATAATAAATTATGGAGCCCCGTAGCGTAGTGGTTAGCGCGCTATCCTTGCAAGCAAGAGGACCCGGGTTCCATTCCTGGCCAGGCCGATATCTTAGGCAAGTTTCTTTACTCCACACGCCTCTGTTTTCCTAGCAGTAAGCAGGAACCTGGTTGTCAGTCGATTGGCAGATCGCTTTTCCAGGGGTAATAATCCCTTCAATAAAATAATAATAATTTGGTCACTCAATCAAGGACTGTTGGTGGGACGCTGCTGTGTGCAATTAGGTGCTGCATTTCACCCACAAAATACAGTCAATTCACTTTATAATATATTCTATGAAATGCTTTGAGACATCTACATGACATGATAAGAGATAAGTCGCAATATCAAATGCAAGGATTATTATGTGCAGTATGCGTAGAAAACAGATTTTGTCCATATTTAGAGTACATATGGATTATAACCAATTTACTTTCGATCTGTCTTTAGAAATGTCTACCCAATCTCCGTAGAGACGTAGAAGAGAAACTCAGCAAAACCAGGAAAGAGCTTAAACTATATGGCAATGGAATTCCCACCTCGGAAAATGAGAGACTAGCATTTTTGATTGATGTACGGCTTTACTTTATAGATTCCGAGGGTCGTGGAGGGCGGCGGGGGGAGTGTGGAGGTTGTGGCAGGCCGAGCCAGGGTGGGGTGGGGGGCGAAGGTGGTGGAGGGTGGGGGGCGGGTGGGAGAGGTTGTGGAGGGCGGGGGGTGGTGCAGGGGAGGAGAGGTTGTGGAGGGTGTGGGTGAGGAGAGGTTGTGAACAACACATTCCATGTATATGTAATTTTACACTGGATTTACAGTGTCAGCCTGGCGCAGTGGTAGCGCTCTCATCCCCAAGTGGGGTTCGAGCCCCCATTTTGGGACTTGGAATCACATAGTCTAAGCTGACACTCCAGTGCACTGCTGGGGCGAGGGAGGACGGGCTGTTGCATTGTCGGAGGTGTCGTCCTTTGGATGAGACGTTAAACCAAGGAAATGAGAGTTTCCCTACCAAATAAAATTAATCACTCAATCCATTACTGTTAGTGGGACACTACTTGTGCACAAATCTGGCTGGTTTGGCCCACAAAATACACACTCCACTTCACAGTATATCTTGTGAAGCGCTTTGAGACGTCTAAATGCCGTGATAAGGCGTGATAATTATTATTATTATTATTATTATCACTATTATCCGAACCAGACTGAGACTTCCATTGACTGAAATTTCACCAACCACTATACTACAGGACTCCATGACTAGATGCTAAGGCACTATATCAGACAGGATTACTTATTACTTGTGTCTGGTTGCAAAACCTTGCTCAAAAAGCTGACCCGCGCACCTACGAAGAAAACACAATGACAGAGATTGGTAACAAAGTACTCTGCAGTGAAATGACCCTCCCCACCACACACAGGTGACCAGTATTGATGTTTTGTTCACAGAAAATCACCGAATTTTGTAGTCAGATAATCAGCTTGGTCTCAGGGGAGGACACTGGTAATCACACCGAGGAAATGAGATACTTCCCCCAAGTACGACACGAGTTTTCAGCCTGGAAAACCTTCCTCGATGACAAAGGATTGAACTGTGAGTACAACTGTTGCTAAATTGGGTTGAGTTCACATCCCCAGATGTCATACAGTGTCCTGCTCAGGTCGCACCTTGGATACTATAGGATTCAAGTCAGCCTAGGCTCAGTGGTAGTGCTTTCACCTCTGAGTCAGAAGGTTGTGGTTCAAGCTCCACGTTTTTGCCTTGGAATCACATAGTCTAAGCTGACACTCCAGTGCCGTGATGAGGGATCCTTTGGATGAGAAATTAAACTGAGGTGTCGTCTGCCTGTTCAGGAGAACGTTAAAAATCCTATGGCACGATTCGAAAAGAGAAAATCGCCCAGAGTCCTGGCCAACAATCCCCCCGAAATAAAATTGGTTAGTTACTCATGGCTGTGCGTGGGACATTGCTGTGCACAAAACTGGCTGCCGCATATCTCCCACAAAACCCACAGTCAATCCGCTTTACAATATATCCTGTGAAGCGCTTTGAGATGTCTCAACAAGGTGATAAAATGCATATATTAAAATGCAAGGATTATTACTGTAATTATTATGATAATAAATAAAACTCTTCTTTCACTGATTTTTTTCCCCCTTCCTCCCCATCTGATCACCTTCTTCTTGCCGGACAGTCCAAGACACTTTGCGGGATGAAATTGAGGAATATGACAACTTGCACCGTGGACAAGAGCTGCCTGGGTTTGTCAACTACAAGACCTTCGAGTCTATAATGAAGGACGAAATCTTCAAGTTGGAAGAACCGGCCATCCAGAAGCTAAAGATCATCGCAGGTGGGTGCTCGGCACTGCTGGGGCATCCTGGCTTGGATGTGGTTTCACAGTCAATCTCAACTTATTCGAGTTCTGTCTCAAGATCTACAGATAACATGGGTGTTTTGCCGGATTTCACCGTCCGTTCCCCCTGGTCACCAATAAGATAGGTGGTGGTGGTGACAGGACACCCTCTCCAAGCTGCTACCCTCCTTGTAATGATTCCAACCCCCAACTCGGGTGCAAACCCTTAACTGCCTTGGGCCGTCTTCCTGATGTGAAAGGTGCTACACAAATTAAATCTTCTTGTTGTTGTGACTGGAACTCTTCCCACTCAGCTCCTGCTAACCGTGCAAGCCAAAGTCTTAGCGGGTAGGGTAGTTCCAGTGGCTCCAAGGTGAGATGTTTGGCAATGGAATGTAGGAATCGAGCCAGCCCTCTGTGGTGCTCTCGCTAGTCCGGTTCCTGAGCCAGGCCGGTCCACAGTATTCCAGAGCACTGCTGTTGACAGCACAGCCCAACCTGGCTCATCAGCAAGACTGGAAGGGCAGACCAGTCACTGGGGGGCAGGGAATTATCCCACTCGGCTCCTGTTATCCCTGCAAGTCAAAGCCCTAATGGGTAGGGGTGGTCCAAGCTGGACAAGCAATGTGAAAGCTTGCCAGACAGTGCTCTCAATGGCAAGCTATGCAGTTTTAGCTGGTTAAACTCTACCAGTTACCCCAACACACACTCTGGAGTCCCTTTCCGGAATCAAGTAAGCATGGTGCGTCCCTCCAGAGAGGGAGAGACGGCGCACATTCCATTCCAGACACGGGAAAATTTCCATGTGTAGATGGCGTACATACGTGGAACACTTCTAATTTGGATGGTGATGGTTTTCTGTACGTGTCACAGGCCCAGCTGCCCAATTAGTCCCACCCAAAAAAAGCCAGATTCTCTGAAAATGCTCTCTCTCTCATCCCAGATTTTTGGCATGCAAGTGATTTCTCTAAATGCTCTCATGAATAAATATGATTTATATCTCCAACCCTCTCCCATTTCTTCTTCTTCTTGCAGAAATCACACGGACCAGTTTTCTCAATATCGCCGAGAGCCATTTTGCTGCATTTTCAAATCTTTTAAGAGCGTCTAAGGTACAGCGCGGATTCTAACAGAGCATCTAAACTAGGTTCTAACAGGGCATCTCTTCTCTATCAATGTGTTCAGTTACTATGCCCTGAAACTCTGGAACTCTCTCCCTCAATTCCTCCACCTTGCCCCTTCCCTCCCCACCTTCAAATCCCACCTAAAGACCTTCCAAGTTGCTGTTGTTGCGCCAGTAGTGACAAGTTGTGATGGGCAATCATTCCCCATTCCAATGCTGTCATCTCCTTGGCTTTGTTTTCTGGACTTGGCTCCATACTCTATAATAATAATACCTGCATTTTATATAGCTCCTTATCACCACTTTGAGACAACAGTAATAAATTACATTTGATGCAGCGGCTTTCACGTCGGGAGGACGTCTCAAAGTGCTTCACAGGATACACTGTAAAGCGGTTTTGTAGCAGCCAGTTTTGCACACAGCAGTGTCCCACAAACAGTCGTGAAATGCACGACCAATTTTATTTAAGGGATTCACTGGCCAGGACAACCCTAACCTCTGGAAATTCCTCCCTCTTCCATGACCTATCTCTCTCCTTAAATGCCACCTAAAAAAAAAACACTTGTTTGACTGCTCTCGTAATAACCCCTTCATATAACACAGTGCCTTTCACATCAGGAGGACGTCTAAAAGCACTTCACAGGATTCAGTGTGTCAGCCTGGCTCAGTGGTAACTCTCTCGCCTCTGAGTCGGAGGGTTGTGGGTTTAAATCCCACTTGGGACTTGGAATCACATAGTTTAAGCTGACTCTCCAATGCAGTGCTGCATTGTAGGAGGTGTCTTCCTTCGGATGAGGTGTCCAACCGAGGTCCCGTCTGTCTGTTCGGGTGGACTTCAAAGACCCCAGGGCGCTATTCGAAAAGAGAAACAAGTTTCTCTCTGACGGTGTACAGGCTAATGAATCTCCTAAATAAAAAGGGTCACTCATTTCATGGCTTTTTTGGGGGGGACACTGCTGTGAGCAAACTGGCTGCAGGCTTCATCAGAAAATACAGTCGATCCACTTCACAGTATATCGTGTGAAGCGCTTTGAGACTGCTCGACGACGTGGTGAGAGGCTATATCAAATGCAAGGATTATATTATTATATTTTGTAGGCAAACGTGGCGGCCAATTTGCACACAGCGACATCCCCACAAACATTCAGGTCAGCCAGGATATCCTCCTGTGATTTGCAGCCACTTATAATAATAATAAAAATAACAATAATCCTTGCATTTGATATAGCGCTTTTCACATCTTCTAGACGTCTCAAAGCGCTTCACAGAATATGCTATAAAGTGAATTGACTGTATATCTGTGGGCGAAACATGGCAGCCAATTGCGCATATACAGTCAATTCACTTTACAGTATATTCTGTGAAGGGCTTTGAGACGTCTCGATGACGTGATTCCACGCGACTGCCAGGATGGTGGAAGATGAACTGGATGGAATTTAGTCTTCTTTCAGTTGGAAAATTCTTATGTTCTTATGTGATAAGGCGCTATATCAAATGCAAGGATTATTATTATTATTTAAAGATAGATAAAGGGGGGTGGGTGAGGAGGAGGAGGGATTGAGGCAGGGAATCAATACTAGAGGTTATTTGAAGACAGGTGGATGTATCGTTGAGAGACGCTTTTCTGTCCCTGTTCGCAGATCAAAATTGAAGACTACAAACAGGAGCAAGAGATCAAAGCAGAATGTCTTCTTCGGACCCATTTCAGGATCGAGAGTGTAGTCTACTCACAGGATACCATCTACAGCCAGACTCTCACGACAACCAAGGACAGAATCTCCCAAGAGAATCACAAGGTTATTTTTTTTTCCAGTCAGTCTGGGGTCTGACACTTGCTTAATTTTTTCTTATTCTTTCTCATGTTGTAACAGTAAGATAACAGTCAGGAAAAAGGTTAAAATCCTGAGGGATTTGAGCGATCAGAAAAAAAAGAAAGAACAGGAGATAGGAAACGTATTAGGAACATAGGAACAGGAGGAGGCCAGGCCGTTCAGCCCTTCGAGCCTGTTCGCCATTTAATTAGATCATGGCTGATCTGTACCTCAACTAATCCTTTCAATTCCAATTTCCTGCTTTCTCCCCATATCCCTGATCTACCAAAAATCTATCAACCTCACTCTTGAAGGTGTGGATGAATCCAGAATCCACGGGTTTTTGAGGGAGAGAATTCCAGATTTCTAATTTTAAGACTATTCCTCCTTGTTTTGGATTCACCCACCAGAGAAAATAGCTTCTCTGTATCTACCCTATTGAATCCCTTTATCATCTTAAATACCTCAATCAAATCACCCCCTCAACCTTCTAAGCTCAAGGGAATACAATCCAAGTTTACGCAGCCATTCCTTGTAACTTAACCCTTTTAGGCCTGGTAACATTTTGGTGAACCTGCGCTGCACCCCCTCCAGGGCCAAATTATCTTTCCTGAGGTGTGGTGCCCAAAACTGAACGCAGTCTCCAGATGGGGTCTGACTAACGCTCTGTACAGCTGAAGCTTCATTTCTTCCCCTATGTATTCCAGGCCCCTCGAGATAAAAGCCAACATTCCATTCACCTTTTTTATTACTTTGATTACAGCGCTTTGGGACGCCCTCCCAACGTGAAAGGCGCTATATAAATGTAATCTTGTTGTTGTTGTACTTTAACAGACGATCCTTTTTTTTATGCGGTCAGCCAGGTGTCTCGTGCTTATGAGGATCCAAACCATTGCATCCCACAGACAAATGGAAATTCCAGAGATAGATTGTTGGAATGGAGGTCCCTGGCTTGGCTGTGAGGTTCTCGCCTTTCTCCGTCCCCACCCCCCCCCCCCCCACACCCCCAGAACCCAGAGCAGTTTTTAGGAACTCAGCATTGATGCCATCCACACCAGCTGGCATATCATTGGCAAGAGCCTGCAGTGCGAAGTCCAGCAGATTGGGTCATTAAGGCCTTCAATCTGGCCAATGTCTCCCCCCAGCTTCCCCTCTGCTACTGTTGGGTCAGACGCCAACTCCGCGTAATGTTCCCTCCAGACCCCAAGGAAACTCTCATGGGTCTGTTGTTGAACACTGGACTTGTCCAACGCTGGCACAGGCCCAGATTTGGCCCCTGAAGCCATGGCGTTCAACAGATTTCAGCCAGCGGACATGAACATTTGGGATTGTTCCTGTGTAGTTGCTCCCCCTTTTGGAGTGACTCAACCCATTCTCTAACAACCTTCCTGACTTCATGCTGTGCTTGGTCGTAAGTTGCCTTTGCTGCAGTTTAACGTGCTCCGAGGAAGCTTCCAGAACCGTTTTAAAGGGCCTCTGCATTTGTGTAACTAGCTCTCCTTCACTCACCTTCACAGTATTCCATTTCAAGTGGATTTTCCTTTTCAAACACTTCACAGAAACATGCATTTGGATCTGCAGTGCCAAAACTGAACGCCAGTGTGGAGGAAATGTCAAGCCATTTGCAAACATACTACAAGGTAACCGGCCACAATAATATAATAATAATAATAATAATATGATAATCCTTGCATATGAAATAACATCTTATCACATCCCTAAAGCTTCACAGGATATACTCTCTAAGTGGTGATTGTATTTTGCGGGTGAAACAAGACAACCAGTTTGCGCATGGCAGTGTCCCACAAACAGTCGTGGATTGAGTGATCAATTATTTTTGGTGGTGGGGGTGGAGGGATTTTTACCCCTGGAACGTGATCCGCCAATCAACTAACAACCGGGTTCCTACTTACTGCTAGGTAAACACAGGCATGTGGAGTCAGGCAACTTGCCTAAGGTTTTGCCCCTAAGAGTTTTGTTAGGCGGGGCGAAACCTTAGACAAGTTTCCTTACTCCACACACTTCTGTTTACCTAGCTGCCAGGCAGGGTTGCCTGGAAGGGTGGTTGAAACCAGGACACCTGGACTCATCTAAAAGTAGGCTGGGAACCAATATTAAGGAGGAGTTTTGCTCAGGAATTCCTAAATGCATATACTGACACTTTCAGATCCTCTTGCCTTTCTTCCCTTCTTGTTCCCTCCCATTCCCCACCCCCTTTCCCAGATTGCTTCTAATCGGATGGCTGACCAGGTACCCCTGATCATCCGCTATTACATCCTGAAGGAATTCAGTGAGAAACTGCGAGCCGGCATGCTGGAACTTCTCCAGGAGAGAGACAAAATCACGGTTTATCTGTACGAGAACGCAGACACCAAGAGGAAAAGAGAGTCGTTGAAGAAGCAGTTGGATCGTCTGAAGAGAGCCCGTCAGGAATTGAACAGGTTTGGCTGAACATCTGTTTTGTGGGCTCATAGGAACAGGAGGAGGCCATTCAGCCCCTCGAGCCTGTTCCACCGTTCTTTTAGATCATGGCTGATCTGTACTTCAACTCTGTTTACCTGTTTTTGCTCCATATCCCTTGATACCCTGACCTAATAAACATCAATCCACCTCAGTCTTGAAAATTTCAATTGATCTAGGATCCACAGCCTTTTGGGAGGAGAGAATTCCAGATTTCCATTACTCTTGGTGTGAAAATGTGCTTCCCCATTTGAATCCTAAATGGCCTAGCTCTAATTTTAAAATGACATCCCCTTGTTCAGGATTCCCCCACCCTCACCAGAGGAAATAGTTTTGCATTATAATTTTTAACAACTCAATCAGATCATCCCCTCAACCTTCCAAATGCAAGGGAATAACAAGCCACGTTTACGCAACCTGGGCTCATAATTTAAGCCTTTAAGCCCAGGTATCTTTCTGGTGACTCTGCACCATACCTTCATTCAGGGCCAATATATATTTCCTTGAGGTGCAATGCCCAAAACTATGAATGCAGTCACTTTTTCAAACGTAATTCCAATTGGAAAGTGAAATTGGTGGAAAATGTGATATAGGGTGTCAGCTGACTCAGTTGGTAAATCTCACCTCCAAGGCAGATTGGTTGCAACACATTCCCTTTTAATGTAGCCTCACCACCACCCCCACCCCACCCACTGACCAGCCCCACCTTGCCTCAGCTGTCTGCGCTGACGATATGATTTGATCCATCACCCCATCCGACTGTTTACTGAGAGAGCAGTGTGCCTTTAAGAAACCCAAATAAAACCATCCCTCACAGCATTAATCTTCTCCTCAGGACAAAAACGGCCTCTAACTATCCTAAATTAGTGCAATTTGGCAATTCTCTCTCTCCCTCTCTCTGGCTCGCTCGCTCGCTCCTCCGAGAACTTTATTACACTTGCTTTTTATGTCATCTGTCCTCGTAATTTAACCCTTTAAACCCTGGCATTATTTGGCAAATCTGCTCTGCACCCCCATTCAGAGCCAATGTACCTTTCCTGAGGTGCAGTGCCTGAAACTAGATGCAGTACTTCAGATGTCCCTTTGCTTTATCTGCCCGGATAGGATGGTGGGGAGGGAGATGGGGGTCAGTGTGTGAGGCTGGACAGTCAACGCAGGAAGTCAGACGTGTACTGCACTTCTACAATACTTTGGGTCCACACAGTGAGTGAGTTATTTCTGGAACAACAACTCGCATTTATATAGCGCCCTTCAGGTAGGGCAGCATCTCGGAGAGTTTAACAGTCGTGGCACCAGACACCAAGCTGGGGGTGGGGGAAGGGAGAAGGTGACTGTAAGCGCCCTCGAAGAGGAAGGTTTTCACTCGTAATCTAAAAGAGAGGAAGGAGGGGGCAATGCGGAAGGATTGGGGGATAGAGTTCCAAAGCTTTGGGGCGTAGTGGCTGAAATCGCTGCTGCAGATAGTGAGGCAGAAGCATGAGGAACGAGCAGGAAGACGGAGCCAGAGGTAGGGAGGTGCCAGGGCATGAGGGGATTTGTAAATGAGCGAGAGGATCTTGAAATCGAACTGTTCTGTGACAGGGAGCCAGTGGAGCCCGACGAGGACTTTAGTGCGGGTGAGAATATGGGCGGCGGAAACATAATGTAACACGGTATATAACTCACTTAGCCAATCGCAGACCCCTCCCTCCCCTCCCTCTCCGTAAGGAAAGAGTTCAAATAAAATAACTGTGGGTTAAATGATTGACTTGCCGTACAGAATTGATTAAGTCTGTGGGAAAAATAATTGATTGACACTGTTTCCTGGCTTTTGATAAGGAGAGAGAGAGACGATGTTTTGGGGGGAAAAAAAGTCTAATCTTGAAACTGATTAAAATTGGTCACTGGCCAAAGAAAGCGGGTGTGGTTTGAAGGATTGTGTGTTAATAACGGAGGTGGAATAGAAGTATAAGTTGGTAACACAGGATATTATTATTATTATTATTATCCATTAGATATTGCTTTATATTATTTTGCGTTCATATTATTATATCATAACATAATATTGTGTTCATATTATTTTGACAATCCCAATAAAGTTCTTGATTGATTTGGACTTTTGATGTCAACATTTTAGTTATTATCTGTCCTGTTAAACCCTACACACCTATACCATGTTTCCACAATTGAGTTGAGCACTGTAGTGTATAATATCTGCCCGCCATCAATATGAAGCTTTTTCTTGTGTTCTTTAAGTGATTCACCATTGTGTGCTTTGCTTGATATGAAGAAACCATCAAATAACATGACAACTTTACACAACCAATTTCGTGGTCAGTGTTTTTGAATAACTAACCTCGTGTTATAGTTTTTTTTGGGGGAAGGGTTGATTTTGCTGATTTATTTTAAAAGTATATATATTTATATATATAAAATATTAGAGTGATAAAATAATTTCAAGTCAGGATTTTGATGGGATGATTTTAATTTGCTCTGCCTCCTAGGACAGATTTTTGTTGAATATCATTAGAGGTGGGGGAGAGGGGGTCCTAAATGTCTTCTGTCCACACATATCTCCACATTCGCCGAATAACATTGAATTGGTGGGAAGGCGAAATCCAGTATTGAATGGCGTCTCAGAGTCTCGTAAGCTCATTGAATTGTTGGTCTCTCCTTGAGACATGGGTCCATAGCTGAGTGTCTGTCATGTGGTCCAGGGGAATGGTCTTTGCTTGTTCTGTTGCCAAACGTACTATCACCAAATGGTCCTCATCGGTTTAACTGAAATTAGGTCCAAAGAAGAGAAAGTACCAGGGATGAGGACTTCAATTATGTGGAGAGAAAAGACGGGATTATTCTCTTTAGAGCAGAGAAGGTTAAGGGGAGGTTTAATACAGGTGTTCAAAATTATGAAGAGTTTTGATAGGGTCGGTAACCGAAGGACACAGATTTAAGATGATCAGCAAAAGAACCAGAGGAGCAATATTTTTTTTTAACCCAGAGAGTTATTACAGTCTGAAATGCACTGCCTGAAAGGGTGGTGGAAGCAGATTCAATAGTAGCTTTTAAAAGGGAATTGGCTAGGTATTGAAAAGGAAAAATATGCAGGGCTATGGGGGAGTGGGACGAGTTGGATAGCTCTTTCAAAGAGCCAGCACAGGCACGATGGGCCGAATGGCCTCCTTCTGTGCTGGAAGATTCTGTGATCCCATGATTCTATGAAAAATGGGAATGGGGGGAAGGGAAGGGGAGCTGAACTGTACTAAGAACGAAACGAGGGACGTCACAGTGGGTGGATTTGATTCTGACATTCCAATGCCAAACATGTCACCTTGGAGACAGTCTTTCTGGAGCTGAACGGTCTCTAGAGTGACATGTTCGGCAAGGGAATGTCAGAGTCGGGTCCGTCAACTGTGGCGGTCTCTCGTCCAGTTCCTGAGCCAGACGTGTCCGCAGTATTGCAGGGCACCGCTGATGACAGCACAGCCCAGCCTGGCTCATCGGCAGGCAGGATAACAGGGGGCAAGGATTCTTTCCCATCCAGCTCCCGTGAACCTGCAAGGCAAAGCCCTGACGGGTAACGGGAAGCTTGCTAGACAGTTCTCTCAATGGCAAGCCAAGCCGGTTTAGCTGCTTAGCTGGGACCCAAACGCACAATCTGGACTCCCGCCAAGCCTTGGCGCTTTCCAACCTGCGTTTAATACGTTCCGAAATTTGGCAAGCAGGATGCATCCCTTCAGGGAGAGAGAAAGTGCGCATTCCATTCCAACAACCTATCTCTGGGATTTCCATGTGTAGACACCCAGGTCCCTGACTGGCTTGGTGAGTTGAAGCGTGCAACCATGGAGGTTGATGTTGCCAGAGCCTGAGGTGCTGAGGCGCTGGCGCGAGACAATCAGGAGTTCCTCAGTCATATTCAACTGTAGGAAATTTGCCCTCATCCAGGACTTGATGTCCGACAGGCAGTCTGTCAGGACAGTAGTGGTCCTGGAGTTGAGGGTGGAGGCAGAAAGATAGTGTTGGGTCTCATTAGCATACATGTGGAAGTTGACCCCATGTCTGCGGATGATGGCATCAAGGGGGAGCGTGTAGATATTAAAGAGGTGAGGGCCAAGGACAGAGCCCTGGGGGACGCCAGACGTGACAGTGCGGGGGCTGGAGGAGAAACCGTTAGAGGCAACAAAATTGGAGACGGTGGGAGAGATAGGAATCAAGCCAGGCAACCTGCCCGCTCCCTCCGCTCAGCCGGCTCCAGCCTGCTCCATGTCCCCCAACCCACCCGACCCACCATTGAGCAGGAGAGCCTTCAGCCACTCTGCCCTCAACCTCTGGAACTCCAACCCCCAATCTCTCCTCCTCGCCCCCTCCTTAGCCTCCTTCAAGTCCCGCCTCAAAACCCTCCTCTTCGACCATGCCATCGGTCACCCCCCTTCCCCTCCCCTCCCTTTCTCCCCCCCTGACCCCAGCTTAGGTCTGAAATGCTGTCCAGCGCCTTGGGACGTCCCCCCGACGTGAAAGATGCTATACAAATGTAATCTTGCTGTTGTTGTTGTTGTAGTAGGTGGGATGCATGGAATTCTCAGTTGGGTTTGGATACTCTTAAGCAACAGTGATGGATTTCTGCACGTGTCAGACATCTAATTGACCACACAAAAAAAAGGCTTAGGTGTATGTATAAGCCTAACCACTTGTTTGAGAAAAAAAAGAGAACCTCCCAAATTCAACCCGTATTGCAACGCATCTCCCCCTCCTCCTCCCCCCCCCACCCTCCCCACCCCAGCCCACACCACCGCTCCTCACTTGCCTTCATAATCATGTAAATCCAGTCCAGGAAAAAGCTGATGTTCGTGTAGATGCCCGGTTTGTTTTGACGGCCACAGTCAAGACCCCAGCTGATGCTGCCCACCAACCACCAGGTAGAATTCTTCTCTGTCATTAAGGGGCCGCCACTGTCGCCCTGTGCGCACACACGAATATTTTATTATTATACAGTAGAAAAAATGTCTGATATGATAAATAACCGTCCGCTCAGCAGTCTACAAGGGAAGGGATTTGACTTGCTGCAGAGCAGCTGAGATACTCGGCATTTTTCTTGTTCAGAAGTCCAGTTCAAGCATTTTTTTTTCACCGCGAGCTTTGGGAGCGCTGGGCGGTCCTGTATCGTGGCGTCCGAGCATAGCCCCAGTACATTGACTGACTCACTGACTGACAGTACTTCTGTCGGTATTGTAACAAAGACCCTGAAACTAACTAACGTGGCCAAATAATCGAGCCCAGGTTTCTTTATGGTACCACAAGATAGCTCGTGCTTTTTACGTGATAGGGTGGACTTAAACGCAAGGATTTTGCCTGCAAAACACACAGTCTAACCCTAACCCTTTGCGGTATACCCCGTGAGGCGCTCTGAGACATCTCGAAGACGTGAAAAGGCGCTATTTCAAATGCAAGGATTATTTTTATATGATAGATAATTGTACTATTATATGATACCAAACATTTTTGCTTCTACCCGAGGGCTGAATAGGCTGGTCTTGGACTCTACCGTGCTTTATACGTAAGCGCTCTGGGACACTACCCTGCGTGAAGGGCGCTATATAAATGCAAGTTGTTTTTGGTCTTAATCATTTCTTAATTAGGCTGCATAAATGACTGGCCACTCCTCCATATGACTTTTCTGGTCCTTTTCTGCAAAAAATCTGATCCGCTGATTTTTCATTTGTGAATGTACAGCCTCTATTTATTTCAGCATTTCAGAGCGTGCATTATTTGGTGAGCCGTACTTGTTGACATTCAACTGGAGAAAGTTAGCTCTCATCCAGGACTTCCTGATAAGAAGAAGAATCCTTGCATTTGACACAGAGCCTTATCACGTGATTGAGACGTCTCAAAGCGCTTCACAGAATATATTTGTAAAGTGAATTGACCCGTGTGTTTTGTGGAGTGCGAGTGTCAGATATTTACAATGCCCCCTCCCCACCCCCCACACCAAGTTCCTCACCCGCAACATACCTGACAGGCATCAACTCCACCACGTAAAAACCCAGCACATAGCATGCTGGGTTGCATTCTGCCTTTGTAGAGATCATTGCAGACATCATTACTCAGTAAAGGCACTTTGGCTTTCATTAGTAAGTCGGACAGAGGACCTGTCAAAGAGAGCAATGAACGAAGGAAATCCTAGACAACACTACCTCATCTTTCCCAATATAAAAGTCCAAGGCAATACAAGGCAAACTTGTGTAACATACCTTGTCCAAATGATAATAATTCTTGCATTTAATATAGTGCCTTATTACGTTGTTCAGATGTCTCAAAGTGCTTCACAGAATATACTGTGAAGTGTAGTAACTGTACAGTTTGTGGGAGAAATGCAGCACGATGTGTGTCCCACAAACAGTTATGGGCTGAGTGACTAAATTATTATTATGTTATTTTAGTTTTTGAAGGCATTATGTTTTTTTGAAAGCGATCCATCAATCGACTAACAGCTTGGTTACTGCTGGGTAAATAGAAACGTGTGGAGTAAGGAAACTTGCCTAACATTTTACCTTACCTGGGAATCAAACCCAGGCACCGCTGGAGTTTAACCAGCTAAAACCGCACAGTTTGCCATCGATAGCACTGTCTGGCAAGCTTTCCTTCTTCTTGTCCAGCTAGGATCATCCCACCCTTTAGGGCTTTGACTTGCAGGGATAACAGGAGCTGAGTGGGAGGATTCGCTGCCCCCAGTGACTGGTCTGCTATTCCAAGTCCTGCCGATGAGCCAGGCCGGGCTGTGCTGTTATCTGTAGTGCTCTGGAGCACTACGGGGTACCCAAGGTTAATTAAGATTCAGAGCACTTAACAATGGCGTAGTTTGATGCCGAGCCGTGCAACAAGGAGAGGCGACAATGGGAGTCAAACCTTACCTATTTCTTTGACATTGCCCCAGCCAGAAATCCAGCAGTATGTTCCCTGGGCAAACTGCATTTCAAAGTTAGGCAAACACACTGGTCTTGCATGGTCTGTTCACGACAAAAAGCAAATCAGTCAGGGGAATTGATGGTCAAATAATAATAATAATAATCCTTGCATTTGATAGCATAGCACCTAATCATATCGTTGAGACACACCAAAGCACTTCACAGGAAATGGATTGAGTGACCAATTTTATTTGGAGGATTGTTGGCCAGCACATTGAGAGAAAGAAACTCCCTTCTCTTACTGAATAGCGCCAGGGGATTTGTAATGTCCACCTGAACAGGCAGACGGGACCTTGATTTAACGTCTCATCCAAAAATAGTAAGACAGGACTTTAGCCTAACATTCTCATCTGAAAGATGGTACCACGGACACTTAAGCACTTTGCGGAGTCCTGTAGCATATTCGTTAGCGACCTCGCCTCGCAAGCGAGAGGACCCAAGCTTGATTTCTGGGCGAGGCCAAACATGAGGCAAGATTCCTTACTCTGCTTACCTCGGTGTAAGTAGGAACCCGGTTGTTAATCGATTGACGATCGATAATGATCCCTCAAAAAAAAATGTGGTCACTCAATCCACGCCTGTTTGGGGGAACAACACTGTGCACAATTGGCAGCCAAGTTTCATCCACAATAAACAGTCAATCCACTTTATAATATATTCTGCTTTGAGGTGCTTTGAGATGTCTCAATGATATGATAAGGTGCTATAAAAAATGCAAAGATTATTATTATTAAGCACTCGCCCTCTCTCCACACACACACACACCCATAAGAATTACATTGTAGTGTCAGCCTATATGGGGGCTTGAACCCACAACCTTCTGGCTCAGAGGCCAGAGTGTTACCAGCTGAGCACAAATATTTACAGGAGCTAAGTGGAAGGACTCCCTGGTCCCAGTGACTGGTTTGCCCTTCCAAGTGCTGCCGATGCCGAGCCAGACTGAACTGCGCACCCAGAGTTAATGCAGACTAAAGCAAAAGCGATTGGGAGTGACCTGAAAATCTCATGACGCTCTTTAACTTTAACATGGCGATGTCATTAGTTTTGCTTCCTGCTTCATAGTGTGGATTCCTGATAAATTTCTCAAGGGTGTAACGGTTTGTGTACAGTTTTTGATATTGATTCACGAAGCCGATGTACACACTCCAGTAGGAAGAAAAACTAAACCTGTTGGAACAATAATAAAAATAATAATAGTAATAATCCTTGCATTTGAACGTGGCGCCTTATCACGTCGTCGAGAACGTCTCAAAGCGCTGCACAGAGGATTGACTGGGTAATTTGTGGGTGAAACGCGGCAGCCAATTGCTAAAGTACATGGGGCTAAATAACATATATTTATAATAATATAGATATATTAAATAATAATAAAGTGTATTGTTGGCCAGAACGCCGAGAGAAAGAAACTCCCTTCTCTTGTCAAATTGTGCCAGGGGATCTTTAACGTCCGCCTGTTCAGGCAAACTAGACCTCGGTTTAAACGGCTCATCCGAAAGGACCGCATCCCCAACAATGCAGCTCCCTTCTCTCCCCACACCCCACCCCCCCCCCCCCCTCTCCTCCCCAAGCGCTGCATTTGGAGCGTCAGCTTAGACTACGTGATTCCAAGTCCCGACACGGGTGGGGGGCTCGAACCCACAATCTCCTGACTCGGAGGCGAGAGCGAGCACTGCCCACTGCACCGGGTTGTCTCAAAGACACGTTGGCAGGCGAAGGGCACTGTTAAAACAAAGCCCCGAGAGAGAATGACTTGCTTGTCGGCGCAGTGTGCCACGGTGAGGATCCACTTGGAGGTAATGATGCTGCCGCCGCAGACATGGTCCTCCCGCACGTGCAGGCTGACCTGCCAGGGGAACTCCCCCATCGACACTGTGGAGCCCCCAATGATCCGGTTGGTGGAAATAGGCGGCGGAATGCGCTCACCGCAATCTGCAACCATGGGCGGACGTCAGAGAGAGAGAGAGAGAGAGAGAGCGAGGGAGAGAGCGAGAGAGCGAGAGGAGTGTCAGTCACAGCGGCACTAAGAGCAAACGTAGGGTAAGCGATCAGGGGTGATGGGGGGGTATGGGGTGCAGGATGTGTGGGGGTGGGGAGTGGGGGTTGGATGTTTAGTGAGAGGCGAGGAGTGCGGATGCGAAAGATCTGAAAGGCTGGCGGGAACAATTTCAATAACAACTTCCAAAAGGGAATTGGATTGGTACTTGAAAGAGAAAAAATTTGCAGGGCAACGGGGGAACGAGAAGGTGGGGTGGGGGTGGGGGGAGTGGGACTGATTGGGTAGCGTTTCCAAAGAGCCGGCACAGGCACAATCGGCCGAATGGCCTCCTTCTGCGGCTGTTAAGATTCTATGCTTCTACGATTCTGTGAAGTGAGGGGTGTAGATGTGAAGTGTGGGGTGCTAGGGTGTTGGGTTGAAGGGGTGAAAAATACCTACCCATAAAGGGTAATGAGCCCCACGGACACACCAGTAGCCGCAAAGCAAAACGTCTCCAGAAACAGCTGCGATGAAATGAAGTCAACGGACAATTGTACGCGGGGGGTGGGGTGGGGGGGGAATGGTCAACCAAGACTCCGGGGAGGCAAGGTGGGGGGGCAGCAGAGAAACCCTCTTTCTCTTTTCAAATAAATAGTGTCGTTGGATCTTTGACGTCCACTTCAACAGGCAGGCTTATCATACTGCCTCCCAGCACTACACTGGAACGTCAAGACTAGATTGTGTGACCCATCGCCCCCAATCCTCATCCGGCTCCACTGGCTCCCCCATCCCCCAGAGGATCGAGTTCCCAAATCATTGTACCTCGCTTTCAAAGCCCTCCATGGCCTGGCTCCTCCCTATCTCAGTGACCTGCTAACCCCATATCGACCCGTCCGCTCCCTCCGCTCAGCGGGCTCTGGCCTGGTCTGGTCTGCTCCACGTCCCGCGCTGGGCCCGCCCCATCATCAGCGGTCAGGCCTTTAGCCTCTCTGCCCCCATTCTCCGTAACTCGATCTCATAGCCCCCTCGCCTCGCCCTCTTCTCTTCCCTCCTTCAAGGCCTGTCTCTAGACCTTCCTCTTCGACCGGGCCTTCGGTCACCCGACTATAATCATATCGCCCCTCAACCTTCTCTTCTCCACTCTGATCGGCATAAATCGTATAATCGCCCAAGTCGTGCATCTGCCAAAATCCCGTTTAAGAGTTTATATTCTATAAGTTTGACATAACTCATACATTGCATCAGTCAGATTAAATGTATGGTCCCGACTGATATGAGTTATGTGAGATTTACTGTATAGTAGAGAAAGTACTTACCTATACAGCGTAGTGTGACTACTAACCCACTGATACATGAATGGCTGCAAAGGAAAGCGTAATGAACTCTCGGGGTAATGGGTGGAAACAACATTACAGTGCTACATTCTCAGCCACAGTACTCTGAGACACAGAGAAAGAGAGAGGGAGAGAAGCTAACACACAGAGACAGGCAGCCAGACCTACGGACAGATACATAAATAGGCACATTCAGGCTGACAGACACCAAATAGACACACAAAGGCCGTCAGACCAAATCAGACAGATATAGGCAGGCAGGCAGGAAGACAGACAGACACAGGCAGTAAAACAGACACAAACAGACAGGCAGACAGACAGATACAGGCAGGCATGATCATAGGAGCATAAGAATTTGCTAGGCGAACGAAGATCAAGAACCATCCAGTTCACCTTCCACCATCCTGGCAGTCGCGTGACATGTCAGGTCCCAAACTATAATAATAATCTTTCCATTTGAGATAGCACCTTATCACATCTTCGAGACGTCTCAAAGCGCTTCACAGAATACACTGTAAAGTGAATTGATTGCATATTTTGTGGCGAAACCCAGCAGTCATCGTGGGTTGAGTGACCAAATTATTATTTCTTTTCTTATTAAAAAAAATGTTGAAGCCATTATGACCCCCGGAAAAACGATCCACCAATCGACTATCAAAACCGGGCTCCTACTTATTGATAGGTAAACAGAGGCATGTGGAGTAAGAAAACTTCCCTAACATTTTGCTCTGCTCGGGAATCGAACCCAGGTCCTCTCTTTTGCGAGGCGAGTGCTCTATCCACTAAACTACAGGACAACTATATATTGTATCCCGAGATAATAATCACATTGCCATAGACAGACCCAGTGCCACAGAGAGGTAGGGAGTGTAAAGAGCAAGCGAGAGAGCCCTGTATTGTTTTACCTTTCAACCAGCTTTGAGTGTACGTTTTTGCTTTGTAGACTAACATTCAGTTTCAGAAACACTTTTGCTCCAGTGCTTTGGACTGGGACTGATCCTTGATGACTAAAGGCTGCGCTGCAAGGTAAGAACATCCTCTACATTAGTAACTTAACAGAGGAAATGTCCTAGCCAGCCAAGCAACACGGCACATCTCACAAGGCAATAATAATAATCCTTGTATTTGATATCGCACCTTATCACATCGTTGAGACGTATCCAAGCTCTTCACAGAAAATATGGTAAAGTGGATTGACTGTGTACTATGTGGGCGAAACACGGCAGCCAATTGCGCACAGCAGTGTCCTATAAACAGTCGTGGATTGAGTGACATTATTATTTTGGGGCGTGGGAGGGATTATTAACCCTGGAAAGCGATCCACCAATCGACTAACAGCCGGGTTCCTACTTACTGCTAGGTAAATGGAGGCGTGTGGAGTAAGGAAACTTGCCCAAGGTATTGCCCTGCCCGGGAATCAAATCCAGGTCCTCTCACTTGCGAGGCGAGTTAGCTAACCTCTACGCTACAAGACTCCTGAAATATGGGGGGAGTTGGAGGTTACAGGTAACAACAGGCATCATGCAATGTGATAATTATCACCAGTGGGTTAGTCTCGGGTGCTGATACCTGGTGTATCCAATCCTCCCACAAGTGTGTACGGCATCATCTGCAGTCCAGTAGTCCATGCACACTGGCCTCCAAACACTATCAACCTTCGCGTAGAGCATAAAAGCTTCACCCACCAGCCGAACTAATTTTATATCAAAAAAAAGGCACCGGTCAATATAGGGATGAAACAAAATATTAATAATCCTTGCATTTAATACAGCGCTTATCACATCATTGAGACGTCTCAAAGCACTTCATAGGATTTACTGTAAAGTGTAGTGCGTAGAAAGTAGTCGATCCTTTGGAAAGCAAATGAGATAGTTTTTGTTTTCCCCGGACGTGAGCCAATGACGTTTTAGGAAAACAAAGCGATGGCTTACAGCAATCTTCATCCTCCCCATGCGGACATTGTGGGATCCCATCGCACCAGTGATTTCGCATCACGCACCCAGAGGTCAGATCTCTTTGTCCACAGGGCAAACAGTTAGCAAAGTCGACTGGAAGCAAGATTATTTGAGAACAAGCATCAAATAATAATCCAAGCAATCAACTTACATTTCGATTTACATTTAACGCGCTTTGGCATAGGTGAATCGGGATAGCTGTGTGCATTCCCGTTCCCACTGGGGAGTCCCGTAGAGTAGTGGTTAGCGCGCTCGCCTCACAAGTGAGAGGACCCTGGTTCAATTCCCGGGTGGGGCGAAACCTGAGGCAAGTTTCCTTACGCCGCACGCCTCTGTTTACCTAGCTGTAATTGGGAACCCGGTTGTTAGTCAATTGGTGGATCCCTTTCCTGCGCTATATATTATGCAAGGATTATTATTATTATTATTATGATGATGATTAGCCAGTCTACAGTCATCAAAGAGTTCCACCACAATGGGACAATTATCATCTTACGTTGCAACACAACACAATTTACGTTTATCCAGGGTCTTTCACGTTAGGAGCGTGTCTCAGAGCATTTACACAGCTGCCTGAAGAGGGGGGGGAGGGGGGAAGGGGAGAGAGCAGAAGATGGTGGTGGGGTGGGGGAAAGACGGCCAAAAGGTGTGCTCAAAGAGGTAAGTCTTGAGATGAGCTTTGAACACAGGCAGAGGGGGGAGGGAGCGAGTCGGAGGGACTTCCGGGATGGAGTTCTAGAGAGCGGGAACAGAATGGTTGAAAACCCACCAGTGATGAGTTGATTGAGGGGATGTGAAATAGGCACCTGATATAGTACCTTTCAGGTCGGGAAGACATCTCAAAGAGCTTGGCAGGAATTGCTGTTAAGTTAGTGACTGTGTACTTTGCACGTGAACAATAGTAATCCTTGCATTCCATCTAGCCACTACAACGATCAGCAAGTGATCCACAAGGAATGTCAATCAAGTGTGGTGACTGTGTATTTTGTAGGCCAACATTTCGTGCAAAGCAATGTGCTGGAAACGAACATGAAGTGAATGACCAATTTTATTTGAGGGATTGTCGGTTATTTTCTCCCAATAGCGCCGCGTGATCTTTAAGGTCCACTTGAACAGGGGCAGACAGGACCTCGGTTTAACGTCACCGAGGACATCGAAGGACAGCGCTCCTCCCAGCCCAGGACTGCACTGCACTTTACTGCATGGGAGGGTCAGCCAGGACTGAGAGATACTTACTAAAGTACCAAATGATTCCAGCTGTAATTATCAGAATAAAGAACAAAACAGCAGCAGCGAGTACCAAAAATATGTTTCTCCTTCGAGCTGAAAAGACAACAAAGGGTCAAGCAAGATTTTCTTGGAGCTGAATTGGCTCCAAGGTGACATGTTTTTCGCAACGAAATGTTGTTATCGAGCCGGCCCTCTGTGGCGGTCTCGGTAGTCCAGTTCCTGAGCCAGGCGGGTCCTTAGTTTTCCAGGGCATTGCTGATAACAGCACAGCCCAGCCTGGCTCATCTGCAGGACTTGGAAGGGCAGAGCAGTCACTGGGGGATAGGGAGTCCTGCCACTCGGCTCCTGTTAACCCAGCAAGCCAAAGCCCTAACAGGTAGGGTGGTCCAAGCTGGACAAACAGCAGGAATGTTTGCCAGGCAGTGCTATTAATGGCAAGCTATGT